TGTCAGAAGAAAAAGAACTCCCCTAGAGTTCATGGAGTCACTATTCCATATCTTATTCGGAACAATGGATGAAAAAGACAGGAGAGATCTCGAAGACAATATGCAAAAAGTGCTAGATAATTAACATAATTTAGTACAATTAACGCGGAAGCAAACATCTGTAGTGGATGCCACAGTAAACATATTAAAACGAACTACTAACGACATAAATGGACTTCATGAGAAACAAAATTGAAGCCATAAATGAAGCATTAAATGAAACATTCCTAGTATATAGAGAATCAATAAACTACTTTATGGTAACAAAGCAACTTTCATCAATGATCGACGAAACGTCACGTACACAACGAGAAATAATTAATCTATTGATAGACATAAACCACAACAAAATAAATCCTACCTTACTGAAACCACATCAGTTACAAAACGCGATTATGCAAATAAAACACAGGCTAACAAATAACGTGCAACTACCAGGAAAAAAAGGCGGAATTGATTTACAAATCATATACAAACTACTAGAAGCCAATGGGATATTCGTTGGTACCAAATTAATAATAAGTGCAAAAATTCCGCTATTATCAATACACCCATCATCAGTGTACGAGGTAATACCACTATCAATTAAGAAGTGTGATACAAGGATAATACCAAAGATATCAAAAACGATATTATTATATAATTTCGACATAGACTCTTATCACCTAATGACTCAAACAACCTTTAACAAATGTATTAGAATAAGTACAAACAAATACATTTGCAAAGGTAATTGGCCGTGGCAGGACGCTAATGACTCAGCGTGTGAAATAGCGCCGATCAAACCAACAAAAGAGGACAAATGCGAATACGACGAAGTATCCTCCACATCAATATAGATAACATTAAATGGCAACAACAGATGGTTATTCAAAACAATCGAAAATAGCTCAGCTCATTTACAATGCACATCAAATAAAAACGAAATTCTCCAGTTACCCAAACAAGGGATTTTAAATCTGCAAACAGGCTGTAAAGCAAGAATAAAAGGAACAACGCTAATAGCCTCAAATGATCATTGGTCAACAGACGACAAAGAGATGTACAGACTAATGACAAAATTAACAGAAAACATAGAAAATAAATATATAAGGCCACTGAAATCATGGGAAATAAAAAACACCAAAGAATTAACGGAAATTAGAGATGAAATACTTAAGCTAAAAACAAAAAAGACTGAATTAAAAAATCTACATTTTCATCACGCCTCAGCTCACATATCATTAGGACTGATAATAATTGTCATTATTGGAATAATATTATACGTGAAGAAGAAGAAATCGGTAGCAGTTACATTCAGAAACCAAAATATTTAGTCTTAGACGCCGGCAGTATGTTCAATCATGAACATTATGGCCCCGGCAGAATGTTCAATCATAAACATTATGGCCCCTGCAGAATGTTCAATCATGAACATTATGGCCCCGGCAGAATGTTCAATCATGAACATAAATTTATAAATATTTAATTATTTTATATATTATATTATTTTAGTTTATTATTATCGCTTAAAACCTTATCACCTAAATTTCCAGAATAATGTACAAGGGTAAAAATGCATTATATTAATATAGCAAGCATTGTAACATGTGAGCATCCGTATCTAATTATAACAATAAATATATTTATAGAAACAATAGGAGGAAAATCCCTAGTGTTGGGACTTCCGTCCTTTTTTAACCTTTTTTACAAACAATAACAAAATGTAATACAGTCCATTAAAATAATAACCTTGATGTAAAACTAATCTTAAGATATTTTTGTATAAATACAGAACGTTGTTTTAAATAAAATCAGTAATTTACAAATACTCAAACGGTTCAGTTGTTTTAATTTTGAACACACACATTGCTACTACCGCCATTTAGTAGTTTCGAGAAGTGATCCCTCCAAATATTAAGCATGCTTTGGACATCTATCACCAGATTACTGTTTTCATCTTTGCAGGAATTAGCTCCTGGTTTATAACCATTTGTCAGCCTTTTAATTTTTTGATAGAATTTTCGAGCCATATTCCTGTTGCCCAGCTTCTCAAGCTCTTCGTACTCACGTATTTCTGTTTCCTTCTTTTTTCGCCTGAAAAGACGTTTCTCTTCCCTTCTCTTTTGCCGATATCGCTCTTTAACAGCGCGCGTCAAGTATCAAGAGATACTATTAAACAAAAACTGAAAGTGCAAAAAGCTAGGCAAAGAAAATATAAATTATCCAATAAAAGACGCGAAAATAATAAGAAATTTAATGCAAACGAGAAAACCTTCTACAGAGGTCTCAGAAAGGTAACATCATCGAACACCGAAAAATAAACTTATCCTAGCAAAGAAGATACCGAAAGCTAATGGTCGTCTATATGGTCCAATCAAGTAAACCATGACATTGAAGCAAACTGGATCAATGAAGAGAGAAGAAGATACCAGCAACTTGAGGAAATGTCAGTAAACTACATTACATGTGAAGAAGTTAAAGACGTTACCTTAAAAACACACAAATCACCAGCCATGGATAAATTACAAAACTTCTGGTTCAAAAGATTTCCTGCGATGCACCAAAAATTTACTGAACTTCTAAACGATTGCATTCAAGATCCAAGGAGATTTCCTAAAGACTTCACTAATGGAATTACATACCTTATTCCAAAGGATAAGGGATTTAAAGGAAACCCTTCAAATGACAAATCAACTGTTTGCCTACTATTTACAAAATTATGACAGCTTGTCTCAACAACCTAATAAACAAATATTTGACGCAAAATAATATTATCCGTGAAGAACAAATAGGATGCAGTAAATATGCTAAAGGGTGTAATGGACAACTGACTATTGATCAAACCATACCAGAACAGACATATAGCCAGTCCAGAAATTTGAATGCATGCTATATTGACTACCAATGTAGCTACCAATATATGACTACCTATATTAACAGTGTGCCACACAGTTGGCTTATAGAAGTTTTGAAGATATATAAGTTTAAGTCAAATATAATTGAACTCATAACCTATAATATGAAACAATGGCGAACAAGTATTCAAATTTATACGGACACAGGAATAATAAAACTTCGAACATTAACATAAAATGCGGAATTTTTCAAGGTGACTCCCTATCTGCTCTTTGGTTCTGCATTGCACTTAATCCACTTAGTAATCTCCTGAACATCAGTAAATATAGCTACAAAATAAAAGCCGGTTCTAACAAAGAAATACTGAATCACCTTTTGTATATGGATGACCTGAAAATGTACGCCTCTACAAAACAAAGCTAAGACTACCTAATACAAATCGTATCAATGTTTAGCAAGGACATCGCCATGAAATTTGGTCTAGAAAAGTGCAAAAGAATACAAATTAATAGGTTGAAAACATAGAACAAATGGAAGAAAGAAATGTCTATAAATGCCTAGGTATGGTCCAGAATAGGCGCATTGACAAAAAAACGGTTAAGAATAATCTAACAAGGGAATTCACATCACGATTACACAAAATATGCAAAGCGAATCTAAATGGCAAAAACCTTATCAAAGCCATAAATACATATACAGTTCCTGTTCTTTCACATAGTTTTGGTGTCATAAAATGGACAGTCACTGAAATGCAATCGCTGCAATGAAAAATAAGAATAGCTTATTAGCTTTTAGCTTATTAGGAGCTTTTAGCGCTTCGGCCGAGATATTATCAGAACCTGCAGCTTTTTCGTTCTTCAGCGATTTTATTGCATTGGTTATTTCTCTTTTTGACTAAGGATCAACTCCAATCTGTAACTCATTTACTTTATCATTGTGCGTTATCACAATTCCTTCGCATTCTAAGTTCAATACTTGAACAAAGTGTTGACGGCATCAGTTAGCTTATCATTTACGGTTATCAATAGCTCACCCAAAAGGTTCTGACATGGAGAGTTCTTCTAACGCCCTCCTCTGCTAATTTTTTTATTACATCAAAGATACTCTTCATATTATTTGATACCGCTGCATTTTCCGTTTCGTTTGCCATATTGTTCGAGAATTCTTTCTTATTCCGTTTCCGCTCCCTTTCGATCATTAGGCTTTTTCATGGCATTTATTTAGTTTTTGGAATGTGTATGGTTTTCTATCATTATCCAGGTGATATAAAGTCGTCTTTGTTATTATTTGACGCTCTTCCTAAGGTTTCCACGCAGATTGCATTAATAGCAGTTTTTTTTTGTTTTAGCAATGTTGGACATCAATAAGAGCAAAGAGCTTTTTAGAGATAAAACATGAAAAATTTTGTTTTATATGTTGTGCTTTAAATTTAAAAACCTTGTATTTGATTTTGCTACAGCTACTCGACTTCTGGATTCTTATTGGGTTGATTAGTACTTTACTAACTATTAGGTGGCATTTTCTGAGCATACAATCACGACCATCCTTGCTGAATCGAAAAGTCGTGGCTGACTCACTTGATCCACAATCACATGATGGACGACGATTCAAGAATATAACTTGGCTTCAACCCATTTGTACTGCACAAGATTCCTGCGGTGAGTCGTCTCATCTCTCAATGTGGTCTCCAGATAATCACAAACTATCCCATTATAATATCGGATCGTAGGTGCTAGTTTAGCAAAGAGGTTCTTCCTGAGACAAGTTATATTTTCTCTCACAGGTTTTCTTTATGGAATATAGGTTCTTTCATGTGCATGTGAACCTGTCTTAAGAAAATGTAACACTTTTATTACACCTAGCGACAACATAGGACAATGACATTCCTTCAATCGATACTGATGCAGTTTTGGAGAAATTAATACTTGTGTAAGATGTCACCTGTAGGCTTAGTGTTCAGATAAAATTTTCAAAAAGCAATTGTTGCAAAGGAAATTTTTGCTTATTATTGGTAATATCAAATCAGTCAAATCGAAATATTAGAAAATTTATACATAATCATTATTAAAGAAACTCGTATTATAATATTTAAAAAATAACTTAAATTTGCATTACTTATATAGAATGTTCCATTTTTAATGATGAAAATCAAAAATATTGTACCTTGCATCCATTTATTATTGATGGAACAAAAGCAACAGGAAAAGAATTTCCACACATGGCATTAATTGGTAACAAATCTAATAATGGGATAGATTGGCAATGTGGGGGTGCACTTATCAGTCGAAATTATGTACTTACAGCAGCGCATTGTTATGATGAACCTAAGTATTAATAAATGAATATATATTATTTTGAATCTTTTCAAGCATTTGCTTTCCTTTCAGGTTAGAGCTTTATGTAGTAAGACTGGGTGAACTTGACTACAATGTTAGTACCGATGATGCTAGTCCACAAGATTTTAATGTCATAAATTTTATTACACATTACCTATACAGTGAAGAAGGAAATGACATTGGGTTAATTAAACTGGATCGCTCAGTAGATTTTAATTCTTATATAATGCCTGCCTGCCTCCCATATGACGAAAAAGATCAATATTCAGAGTTAACGGCAGCCGGTTGGGGAGCTACTGAATTTGCTGGCAAGAAATCATCGCATTTACTAAAAGTTTATTTAAAAACATTGGACAGTTCGAACTGTGATGACTCAGATCAAGATTTTAACAATAGCACAGAGATATGTGTAGGATCACGAAATGGTAAAGGTGATACATGCCAAGGCGATTCTGGTTCACCGATATTCATCGAACATCCAAAATATAAATGCATGTTCATGTTAATTGGTATAACTTCACATGGCATTGGATGTAAAGGTTCTGGAACTTACACAAAAATACATTTATATGTGAAATGGATTGAGTATATTGTATGGAATACAACAAGTCCCATTTAAGCGCTCTTAAATTAATAAATGTCAATTTTTGTATTAACATAAAAGTAATTCTCATTTACATTTATTTGACTAGATCGTTTTTAGTAAGAATGTTACTACAGCAATTTAAATTGACATCGATATGGTAAAATATGTATTTTATTACATATTATTTATTACATTATTATTACAATATTAATATTATATTATAATATTATATTAATACTGTAAATTAATATTTAATAAAAGTCCTTAATTGAACTGTATTATTTAAAGTTTAAAGATAATTGAAATACCGCCCAACATAGTTTTGCCCAAATTACTGTTGTCTTGTAGGCAGATAGATGTGGTTAAAGGAGGATGGATCATCCTCAAGTAAAACTTTTAATTTCACATATTCTCGTAGTTATGAGTTATATATCGCTGAATGAATTAAAGAATGGTAGTTTTGTGGAGTGTGTGCTCATATACGGCTGAAGCAGCAATTGATATGAGAGGTTCTATCAAAAAGACACTTAACCTGATTAGCTTATTGGCATGTCCGTTCCCCCCCGAATATTCGTATGCATAGGAACCTGAAAATACGAAATGGACTTGATAGTTGTTTGACTGTTAGCGGGAATATGAACTTCCATATTCGCAGCGAAAGTTGTTAACTGACACTTTTCAGTTAAGTTGAACATAGAATAAAATCGAAAACTTTTCCCGTTGTGCACGATGCAGAAAATATAATTATTCAATCTATCATGTGCTATAATATGCTTCTGTACCCTTTCTACTTTAATGGTGATGATATCTAATAGGCTTAAATGAAAACTATGCAAAGTATTAAGTTATATTATTGTTAAAATGCAACAGTCATCTGCGAGTTAAAAGGTTATAACGTTGATTGTAACCTCTTTGACACACGTGTATATATAGATAACAAATACACCGCGTGACCTGTTTTCAGACGTCTCTTTCGTAAAGAACTTAGCAGAAAAATTTTTACCACACAACAAGTTGTTTAAATCAGTAATTTATTATAAGTGAATTAAGTAAACAGTAAATACAAATTCATATTAGTAAATTAAATTATTAAATAGGTAAACATTTTTTACATGTTTTTACACTTTTATGTAAAAAATTGTAAAAGCAAAATTTCATTAATACTCAAAACAAAACTATTAACATTTAATTTAATTTATTGATAATATAAGCCTGTTTGCAAGCCTGTTTATAATAAACTATTAATTAATGCAAACAATGTTAGTATTTTATATGATATACTCATTGAGGATTTTGGATTTTCGAAAATCTTCTATTGATAAAAAATTACAAATTATATTATTATTATTGATATAAGATAAAAAGATAAGAATAAACGGGGTTCTAGCTCCCACTTGAGCAGAGCACTGCGACCATGACTGATCTTTTGTGTTACCACAGACCCTAACCGGACGGAAGACATTCTACCTTCCGAATGAAATCTAAAATGTCGGCCGTTGAGGACCTCCTAATGTCGGAAAGTGAGAGTAGTTCCCGACTCAGTGACCTCCTCCTGGTCCAGATCAAGGCTGGGCAGTTCCATAGAATGTGGCTGGATGTCTCCTCTGCTTTTAAGCAGAGTCTAGACTCTATCTCTTCGGACAGACCCATTTTGTTGAGGTGGTAAAGTAGTCCGTGATGACCCGTTAGATATCCCACCAGCAATCTCAACTCTGTTCTGCTGAAGAAGGATATCTTCTTATAACTATAAGGGTGAACCAGCTCTTTAGCCTGACAGTTACCTCGACTGTCGCGCCAGTAGCGACTTGTCTCGGTTGAAATCCAATTATTGATTAGAGAGCTAGTTATAGACCAACTTAATCCACAATAAGGTTCTGGTCCACAGATTTGAGTGGCAGATCCAGCCCGTGCAAGACTGTCGGCAGACTCAGTATCATTGATTCCTGTGTGACCTGGCACCCAGCATAGCGTCACTTTATTATTGCTTGCCAACTGCTGCAGCGTGTCATAGCAGTCTACTAGAAGCTTTGAGAAAAACTTCCAGGAGCTTAATGCTTTGATTGCTGATTATTTAATATAAAAAATATTTAATAATAACATATTTAATAATAATATATATAATAATACATTTTTAATAATAAAATAAATTTTATGTATTAATTTCAAACAAAAAAACATGTTTTTAATTTTCTGCATAGAATACCAAAAAAAAACATAAAACCGTACAAACAAAGCAAATGCTTTCATCCCTCTAATAATTTGTGTGATGCACGTTTGTTTGCATTTTGCGCTCTCACTTCACCTTTTGCTTACGAAGTCTTCGAAGTTTTTCACTACACTTAAACTTCGAAGACTTCGAGAACAAAAATTCACAAAAAAATCGAAGTTTTTCCAACTTCGAAGACTTCGTTTACTATTCGAATATTCGATTATCGAAGAACTGCGGTTTTTTAAAAAATTCGAATAATGTGAACAACACTAGTATAGAGACAAGAATTTTTCTTCGTTTTAATAAAAAAAAAATGCAATTATGTTGCTGCCAAATATGGATATGAAATGAAATAATAAATATGCATCAAAAAAAGCAATGCTGTTTTTTTTTATTAATGCATTGTCATTTCCTACAACATATGTACATACATATGTATATATTTGCGTATTGTTTTTGGTAGGAGGACAAGAAATTGTGATTGTTACTTCCACAGATTTTAATAGAACTAATTTTGATTTTATTTCGCGGAGTAATATCGTGTGCGGTTCAATTTTAGATTTTAATTAATACTTAATCATAAGAGTAGTTTTTTTAAGTTTTAATTTTTAACATTTTTCGATTTTTGAAAATCGAAAAATTGTTAGAAATGTCACCTTATAAGCGTATTTGCTGCATAACTTCTTGCAGAAATAGAATACAGAAAGGCATGAAGTTTTTTAATTTTCCAAAATAAGGCACAAAAAAATATGAACAGTGGATAAGTGCATGTCATTGGTCATATGATCATAATATGTCTCTAAAAAAACTATTGATATGTGAACAGCATTTTGAAAAAGAAGTAATTGGAAAAAAAAATACGTCTATCAAATTATAGACTTTATATCACACGCTTCAGCTTATGCAAAAAAATTTTGTAAAATGGCTTTAAAAAGCAAGAAAAAGGTGTACAGTGATGTTGAAAAATACGTGGTGCATTCTCCAAGATCCATTTACAATTGGCTTCCAATTGCTGGTTTACCTCCGGCAGTAAATGAGGAAGTATTTATAAATATAAAAAAAAGTATAAGTGCAGGTAATTTTGACTCCAAATCTCGACAAGTAGTGTTAATATTCGATGAAATCGCTATTAAAAGAGATTTAAAATATAATGCTAAGTTCGACAAAATTGATGCATTTGTTGATTATGGAAAAAATTCCAGGAGCGCTATAATTGGAAAAAATATTTGCGTATTTATGATAAGAAGTTTATGTGGTCGTTGGAAACAAGTGTTTAAATATTCTGTATCTAAAAAATGTATTCCCGTTAATACATTGAAAATAATGATATATAAAAATACTGAAGGCTGCTTATCTGCTGAAGTAAATGTGAAAGGATAGTTTGTGATCAAAGCTCAACAAACGAAGAAATTAATAGAAAACTCGGTATTTCTAAAAATAATTCATTCTTTATTTTTGAAACTGGGAATGACCAAAAATAAAAATATTTTGTTTCTTTGATATCCCTCACATATTTAAATCGATTAGTAATAATTTATTGAAATATCGTTCAAAAGATGATGCTAACCAGTAGCGAGATGTCAGCTTTTTGGCAAGGTGTTCACAATTTGATCAAAACAGAATTACAACTATAACGTATTCCCCCTACTCCTGAGTTTTGTCCTTTTCACAAGCAAATAGCGTACAAGACCAACAAAACAATTTATTTAAATGTTCGCAGCCTGTGATCTACTGGTTTTTATGGTAAATAGCTGTAGGAAAACAGCGACTTACCACAGATTTCGACATTTTTACATCAGGTACCAAATTCTTCATATCTGTAGTTGGTCTATTCATTTTATAAATTAAAACCATTTTTTCAGAAGATCGTTTAAAAAAAGATATTTGAATGAAATCTTTAATCACACATTTATCCATTTCTAAATATTATTTTTCAGTTTAAATTTCTTTTCACTTCTTTTTCTTTACTTTTACCATTTGCTAGTATAAAATTGCAATAATGACTTTGTTTTTGGTTTATTACCAACCTCTACATAAGAGTAAGAAACTCTCATGCATTCATTTACTCTTTTACTTTGTATTTACTATGCGCGGTTCGGTTTTTTTACTAAACCATTTGCTCATATAAAACGGCAACCGTGACTTTGATTGCATTTGTACGCTTTGTATGAACTTGGGGTTCAGTTTAGTCGACTGAACCTCTCGTCAAATGTAAAGCGATTTTCGCTTAGTCATTTCTTTTCTCTTTTGTATTTACTTTGCAGAACATTGGAGGTTAACTTTTTTTATTGAACCGCTTGCACGAATTAATGTAAGAATTATGATTATTTAACGTACGTTTTTTGCGGGGCTTGTTTTCTCTTTTATTTTTAACATAATCCCAATGTGAATGTTATTTCATTTGCATGCTTTGTAAGCAGCGCGGTGCAGTTTTTATTCTGAACCTTAGTATATTTAAAGAGGAATGTGTTTTCTCTTTTATTAATTATGAGTAATGTTGGGTGTAACTAACATATGTATGTGTGATTTTGTTTGTATTGTAAATTTTGTGTTTATGTTAATCTGTTTGGAAAAGCTATTATAAAAAATGTTAAGTATCAAAATAGCAAGATTATTTACCTAATAAAAAAAAGATCTAAAAAGGAAACTTTGTTAAGGTGTTCAGTGAACACTCTGAACCATTCGACGCCTTACCTCTGGTGGTAACAATTGTGCCAATTGGGAAGTTTTGAGAGAGCTGTACCGACTTGACTCGCAGTCATCTATTTGAGTGTGTCCAAGACTAAGGTCTAAGCATATAACCCCAGACATATTTCAAAAAATGAAGGTGAATTTAACTGTTCAAGTGTTCAGCGTCAGAACAGTTACTGAAATTCACACTGGCTTGGAAATGAATTTATTTAATAAAAATGATTTGACCTCTGACGCAGAAGGAACTGCATATATTTTTGATAAATTCAATAAAATATTTGATTGCCTAAATAGTAAATCACTGCACTCTGCCAAACCCTACCGTAACGCCTTACAAAAAGAAAGTGTAGTGTATAAATTCTTACAAGACGCAAAGTATTATATTGAAAATTTAAATTTTATCAACACTCCTCGTAAAATAAAAATCAATCGCTTAAATTGTTTAATTCAAAGCATAAATGCAGCTTTAAGTCCCTCTGACGAAATATTTAATGAATTTAAAGATTGGTCTTATTTATGCACTAATAAATTTAATCAGGACTTCATTGAAAATTTGTTTAGTCGGGTGAGGTACAAACAGAAAAATCCTTCAGTTAATGAATTCTGCTTTATTATTGGAAGAATAATTGCTGTTAATTTAATATATGGTTCCAAATACTCTAATTGTGAGAAAGTTGATGATGAAATACTTGGCATTGATTGGACTACAATATCTGTGGGCCATAAAAATTCGATGGAAGCGAATGCTGGAACTTTCAATGAAGAAGAGATTGAGGATAAAGCAGATAACGAAAATGGCTCGGAAGAAATAAATTCAATTATAAAAATGAATTCCGAAGATGGTTTGTTGCCTGTACTTTCTGATAATGCAATTAAATATTTTGCAGGATATATTTTGCACAAGATTTTTGGAAAAACTACGCTGAAAAATTGCGAAAATTGCAGAAAAGATTATATCAAATCGGATAATGGATTTAATGCGCCTTCTGATTGGCTTCTATACTTCAGAAATTATGGAAGTGATGGTAATTCTTGCTGGCTTTTTGCTCCTTCAAATTTTTTCTATGCATTGTGTAAGCAGCACCTAAAAACTTTTGACAAAAAATTTGATAGCAACTGTTATAAGAACGGAATCTTATTGTTGATAATAAATTTTTGTATTCTTGATGATCCATATTGGTACAATTCAGTACATTCATGTTATGAACACAGATTACTGTTGTCAAAACATTTTCTTATGGTATTAATCCGAACCACTTGCAAATGCAAAATTGAAAAGTTTTGCCAAGAAACAAATAAAAGCGTTTAGAAGGAAAGACTGCGAATATTGCACCAATAACGGATATCTGTGTTGTGAATACCTGTTTTGTTTATTAAAAAAGAGTCATTTATCCTTGTACAAACAACATATATTTCTTTACAGAATTACTTAATCTAATTGATATAAGAAGTTAATTCTTTATATTACTATATGTTTAATAGACAATCCAATAATATCCATATATTCTATATAAAAATGAAATACGTAATAATAATATAATGTACTATATAATGTATAATGTATATATGTTAGTCATAATTTTATATTAATCATATGTTTTCATTAAATCCAGTTACCGAATGATATAATAAATATTATATTCTTGTAAAACAATTTTATTTTCAACTTTTGTAAATTAATTTTTTGTTGTAACAATATACTGTTAAAATAGATGTTAGTGTAAGAAATATAATTAATAAAAATAAATTTATTTAACATAATAGAAATATTATTTTGTATTATATAAAAATGTCATTTAGTCACTTAATTTCTTGCAGCCAAATTAAGTAAACATTTCTTTTCTTGAATTTGTGCCTAAAATTACCAACAATTTTCATCAGTAAATATAATATGCATATGTTTAGCAACATTATTTCAAGCAATATGGCCCTGAGCAACAGGTACTGATATTGCTGAATATCAGACGGCCATCAGCTCGTTTGAAATCAAAGCTTTTAGAACAACTTCTAACAAGGGCATTTCATATTACATTATACATTGTCTTTGTAATTGTGTGGAAAGTTAAAAAAAAAACATTTAATATTTTTGCATTCCTTGTATTTTACTATTTTTACATATAAAATTATATTTTGCTTACAAAGATTATTCGTTATAATATATTATAATAGCAAAATGTACTACTACTTTATATGTTAAGTACATACTTTTTTAAAGTATTTGCGCATTATGTTTTTACACTTTGTTTTTACACGCAACGAAATTTTATATTTCTCTCTAAAAAATAAAAATTTTTTAAATATTCCGTTCTCAAAAGTATCTGAAGTATCGGAAAAAGGTGAAAAGATGAAAACTTTCAGTGATTTCAGCTAGTTTGGTGCATTTTGCACTAACACATTCAAGAGCTCCACACATTCAAAAACAAATTGTTCGAAAAAAAAAATTTAGTTTACAATGGAGTTACCGTTCTTGTTAGGTATTCTTTGCTGTGGACGTTAAATATAGGTACAATGCAAAAGAGAACCGATTATCGTAAGTAATTTATTTCTACATCACTGAAACATGTGTTTACAAACCGCTGATTTGCAAAATAATAGCGCTTGTGTATCATTAAGTAAATTTTTTAAGTGTTCAATTTTTGAATGAATTAAAATATTATACTTATGAAGGATCTACCGCGATTTAGTTTGGCATTGCGTGCCAAAACTGAGCTTGAAGTGAAATTGCCGGAAATTATTAATATAGAAAGCATAAAGTGTAATGCAGGATGGCGGAAGTAAGCATTAATAGCGCAAACAACCACACGTCCACATTTTAAATGTTTTCTTTAATTTTTAAGGTCCAACCACACTAAACACACTATTAAAGAAATTGTTTCACTTATTCCAATTACAAAACAGTCGGAGGCTAAAATACAATTTCAGAAATTGAGGAGTTTGGTCTGTGAATGCTTCGGTTACGAAGAAAAACAAGACGTGGTGGAGCATGCTGTGCTTTACATTTTCTGGCTGTTATTAGAATCAGAATTGCTTACAAATGCATCCAGATTGGACGTACGCAAAATTTTTGGTACTATTTTCGACACAAAATTAAATAAGATGCATGATAATGTGAGAGCTATTTTCCATTTATTGGAAGATTTTGAAATAAAAGATTTAAAAAAAGCGCATAAAAGAAAGAATGTAATTAAAAATAATAATTTATGGGGCCCCAATATATACATCCGAGTAAAAATCGCACCTCAAGGCAAAGTTTTACATTTGCAAGACTTGGCACCAATTCAGGCTATTCAAAACCCGGTTGCTTCAGGTTTTTCAATGAGTTGGAAAAATTCTTCAAATGTTTCCGACTATTGTTCACATGACAACAGTTTATCTAATAAAATTACTAAAGATGTAGAGGAACTTCTACAGCTGTCGGAATCTACAGGTGATTTTCAGTTACTTCATAAAGTCGTTCAGATGCTTAATTCAAAATCATCCAATAATGAATTGCAGAATGAAATCATTGAATTACTGGGTTTCGAAAAATTTGAACTTGTACAAAGCCTGCTACAACATCGCACCGAGATAGTTTCGCAGATTAATAAATATGAACTTCAATCCAAATACAACATACAACAACAAAAAAGTAAGGATAAAAATAAAAGTGAAGTCCGACCGTCAGTTGCAACTTCTGTTATTGTACAATCATTTCAAGAAAAAGAGTTAAACAAACAAAATCGGCGTGTAGAAAAAAAACTGCAACGATTGATACAAAACCAAGAAAGATGCGACAGTAGCGAAGAAAATAATTCACGTGCTGTAGATGCATTGCAACTACGAATGCAGCAACAACGTAGATTTCTAGAACAGGCCCAACAACAGCCAATTTTGAAAATTACTAAGCAGTCGAACTCGGCATATGCAAAACCTGTAATGTATCCCTACGTTTTTGATAATCAGCTCAAAAGTAAAGAACATGCTGGATTTATAGGTGGTAGTCGAATTTTTCTACCGGACTCTGCTACACGTATTGACAATAAACAGTATGAAGAAGTTAAGATTCCTGCAACAGAACCTCCACCTCTCCAAGTAGGTGAAAATCGGATTAAAATAAGTGATCTAGATGAAATTGGGAGATTAAGTTTTGCGAATTGCACTGAACTTAATAGAATACAGTCAGTTGTATATCCAGTCGCTTATCACACTAATGAAAACATGTTAGTTTGCGCTCCTACAGGCGCAGGGAAAACGAATGTCGCTATGTTAACTATTGTTCATACAATACGATTACATATTGAAAATGGAATTATTAATCGGGATCAATTTAAAATTGTTTATATTGCACCAATGAAAGCTTTAGCTGCTGAGATGGTCGAAAACTTTTCGAAGCGCCTGAAAAGTCTTAACATTGTTGTACGAGAACTTACTGGTGATATGCAGTTATCTAAAACGGAAATGGCACAGACGCAGATTTTGGTAACAACGCCTGAAAAGTGGGATGTAGTAACTAGAAAAGGTTTGTTATATAACAACTCATTACCATATATCAGTTAAATTTAAAATCCATTATTAAATATAGGCGCAGGCGATGCAACGTTGACAAATGTTTTAAAATTACTTATAATCGATGAAGTGCACTTGTTGCATGGAGAGCGGGGGCCCGTTGTCGAAACATTGGTTGCACGCACACTTCGTTTAGTGGAGTCTTCACAAAGCATGATTCGTATCGTTGGTCTGTCGGCTACGCTCCCCAATTATATTGATGTAGCTACATTTCTGGGTGTAAATCCCATGAAAGGATTGTTTTATTTCGACTCTCGTTTTAGGCCTGTTCCGTTAGACACTAATTTTATTGGTGTTAAGTCTGTGAAACCACTTCAACAAATAGCCGATATGGACCAAATTTGTTACCAAAAGTGCATTGAAATGGTACAACAAAATCACCAAGTTATGGTATTTGTGCATGCGCGTAATTCAACAGCGCGTACCGCAACAATGTTAAGAGAACTAGCACAGCAAAATCAATCAGCAGCTATATTTTTGGCAAATAATGCAGATGGGTTTAGTTTGGCTTTAAGAGAAATACAAAAAAGCCGTAACAAACAGCTTGTAGAATTATTCTCTAATGGATTTGGAATACACCACGCTGGCATGTTACGATCTGACAGACAAATGGTAGAGAAATACTTTGCACAAGGCTATATTAAAGTCCTCGTATGTACAGCAACTTTAGCATGGGGTGTCAATCTACCTGCTCATGCCGTCATTATAAAAGGTTATTTATAATTTTATCTTGTATCAATTTGTTATATATATCTTTGATACAAATAGGTACCGACATATATGATTCAAAGCATGGAGCATTTGTTGATTTAGGCATACTTGATGTGTTGCAAATATTTGGCCGTGCTGGAAGACCACAGTTTGATAAAACTGGGGTCGGGAGCATTATAACGACATACGACAAACTCAATCATTATTTATCGCTTCTTACTAATCAATTTCCTATTGAATCTAATTTTGTGCAATGTCTTGCCGATAATTTGAATGCCGAAATTGTACTCGGAACAATCACAAATGTTAGCGAGGCGATAGAATGGCTTAGTTACACGTATTTATATGTACGCATGCGTAAGAATCCTCATGTTTATGGCATTGAATATAGCGAATTAGAAAATGATGTAACTTTACTAAAGAAGCGAGAACAATTAATTTTAAATGCAGCCATCAGCTTAGATAAAGCACGAATGATAAGATTTAATGTGAGAACCTGTGATTTCAACGTAACCGATTTAGGTCGTACAGCTTCATACTTTTATATAAAATATGATACTGTTGAAATATTTAATGAACTGCTGAAACCTTTTATGAGCGAAGCTGATATTTTCGGAATGATTTCCCGTGCGCAAGAATTTGAGCAACTTAAGGTACGCGATGATGAATTAGATGAGCTTGATGATTTGCGACATTCTTATTGCAAAATTAAAGTACTAGGAGGTAGTGAAAATGTGTTTGGCAAAGTAAGTTGAAAGTTTTTCTCTTTATAATATATTAATTTATATTTGAATTAATATATTTAGGTCAACATACTTATGCAAACATATTTGTCACATGGTTTTGTTAAATCATTTTCTTTAGTGTCCGATATGCTATATATTGTGCAAAATATTGTGCGTATATCACGTGCACTTTTTTCAATTGTGCTTCGTAATAATAACGCTGTGCTTGCTGGACGTATGCTAGAAATATGTAAAATGTTTGAACGCCAGCAATGGAATTTTGAGTCTCCTTTACGACAATTTAAATGCATTAATGCGGAATGCATAACGAAATTAGAAAATATTGGATTTAGTCTTTACACTATATGTGAAATGCAGAAAAATGAGTTAAAAGATCTTTTGCGAAGTCAACGATATGCTGATCAAATTTTCCAATGTGCTCGGGAAATACCTGCAATCGAGGTACAAGCCAGTTTACAACCCATTACGCGAACGGTTTTGCGTATAAAGGTCGACATAACACCCTATTTTAATTGGAATGAAAAAGTGCACGGGAAAGTTTGTGAAAACTTTTGGTTATGGATTGAGGATCCTGAAACAAATTTTATATATCATTCGGAACATTTTCAAGTAAGATTTAAATATATTTTTTTATATTTATTGTAATATAAAATTCTTTAAACAGTTAACTCGTAAATTTGTGTCTTACCGTAAAATACATCAACTTGTTATGACAATACCACTAAAGGAACCATTACCACCGCAATATTATATCCGAGTATCAAGTGATACTTGGCTTGGCAGTAGTATTTGGTTACCATTGTCGTTTCAACATCTTGTATTACCTGAACATCATCCTCCACTCACAGACCTGCTGCTGTTACAACCATTACCTGTATCTTGCTTAAATAATCCACAGTATGAGCAATTATATACTTTTTCACATTTCAACCCTATACAGACACAAATTTTTCATTGTCTGTATCATACAAATAATAATGTTTTGTTAGGTGCTCCTACTGGATCCGGTAAAACTATTGTTGCTGAAATAGCCATGTTTCGAGCTTTCAATGTAAATCCTAAAGGTAAAGTAGTATATATAGCACCACTAAAAGCTTTGGTGAAAGAACGCATAAATGATTGGAAAAGACGATTTGAATCTCTTCCGCTGTTAAAAAAAGTAGTTGAACTTACCGGTGATACAACGCCTGATATACAAGCAATTCACGATGCTCAAATTATTGTTACAACTCCAGAGAAATGGGACGGCATAAGTCGATCGTGGCAAACTAGAGAATACGTAAAAAATGTAGTGTTAATTGTTATTGACGAAATTCATCTATTAGGTGAAGATCGCGGCCCAGTAATTGAAGTTATAGTATCACGCACTAATTTTATAACGTCACATACGCGTCAACCAATACGTATTGTAGGTCTATCAACAGCGTTAGCTAATGCACAGGATTTAGCAAACTGGTTGGGAATTACAAAAATTGGTTTATATAATTTTAAGCCTTCAGTGCGACCAGTACCGTTACAGGTACATATCAATGGTTTTTCAGGTCAGTAAATTTGTAATTTTTGTATTTATTAGTATTTATTACATATAGTATATATCACTATTATCATAATTAAAGAAATAAATTTTGATAACTTTTATGACAATCTAAACAACTTACTCAAATCTAAATTAATTTTCTTTATAAATTAATTGTTAAAGGCAAACACTATTGTCCGAGAATGGCAACAATGAATCGCCCTACATTCCAGGCTATACGCACATATTCACCATCAGAACCAACTATAATTTTTGTATCCTCCCGTCGTCAAACACGCCTCACTGCATTAGATCTCATAACATTTGTAGCTGGAGAAGATAATCCGAAACAATTCTTGCACATACTAGAAGACGAAATTCAACAAATATTGCAAAACATAAAAGACTCAAATTTGAAATTTTGTCTAGCATTCGGTATTGGTTTACATCACGCCGGTTTACAAGAGCAAGATCGTAAAGTAGTCGAAGAACTTTTTTTTAATCGCAAAATTCAAATCCTTGTAGCTACTGCTACACTTGCATGGGGCATTAACTTGCCGGCTCATTTAGTAGTTATTAAAGGCACGGAATATTTTGATGGCAAATTAAAAAAATATGTTGATATGCCTATTACTGATGTACTTCAAATGATGGGGCGAGCTGGAAGACCACAATTTGATAATGAAGGAGTGGCTGTTGTATTAGTACACGATGTAAAAAAAAATTTTTATAAGAAATTTCTTTATGATCCCTTTCCAGTCGAGTCTAGTTTATTGCATGTGCTACCAGAGCACATAAATGCAGAAATAGTAGCAGGAACTGTACAAACTAAACAAGCTGCACTAGATTATATGAGTTGGACCTATTTTTTTCGTCGGTTAATACGAAATCCAACATACTATAATTTAGAAGGTATCGAACCAAACCAACTTAATTATTTCTTGTCATCATTAATTGAACAAGTTGTGTCTGATTTGGAGTTAGCTGCGTGCATAACACAAAAAGAAGGTTTATTAATTCCTACATTTTTAGGACGAATTGCTTCGTATTACTATTTATCGTATCGTACTATGAAACATTTTCTAAATAATTTAAAACCTGAAATGAGTACACGAGAGATATTGTTAGCAATTTCAGATTCATATGAATTTGATCAGCAACCAGTGCGTCATAATGAGGATAAATATAATGAGTATTTTTTAAAAATAAAATCTTAAAGAAAACATCAAGTTTATAATCATGTTTTATTTTTATAGAGAACTGGCTAAAGAATGTAGATATCAACCGATATCACAATCGTGGGATTCACCGTTCACAAAAACATTTATTTTACTACAAGCACATATTATGCGTTTAGATCTGCCAAATTCCGACTTCTTAACTGATACAAAATCAACTTTAGATAATGCTACGCGTGTAATGCAGGTAACTAAAATGTAATTTTACTCAGAAAGTAAACTTATTTGATGTTAGGTGCCTAATCAATAATTTTGAAGCAAATTATCTTTCTATGTTACGAAATAATTACGTCATCAGAATTATGAGTCATCTTTTCATTTCATAATTATTCACAACAAATATTTTTTTCTCTCTTCTGGACAAAGCATTCTACACAATTGATGATTCTTATACTTTTTACATCCATAATAGATCTGCATTTTTTTTTATAAATTATAAAGTTGAATAATTTATTCAGTCAGGAATTTTTCACCTTGAACAACCATCAGACAAACCATAACATAATGGTGTAAAATGTGAACATATGGTTGAAATCTAGCAAAATAATTAATTGATTTTGTATAATAGTCATGAATGCAAATTTAGAATAGGTTTTTAACCAATTTTTTTTTATAATGAAATTTGCATTAAAAAAGAAAAATCGTTTGATATATAAATTTAAGGCAATGGCTGATTATACAGCAGAACGTGGGTGGCTGTCTCCGACTTTGAAAATGCAACAGCTCATGCAAAGCATTATACAAGCTCGTTGGTTTGATGAATCTGCATTTTTAACACTGCCCACTGTAACTAATTCTACTGAAATGTTGTTCTATAATATATACCACAACCATAAATATCTTACGTTGCCCGTCTTAAAGGAGTTATGCCGCAACAATTATGAAATTCTAGCCGACGCTTTAAGACAGATGTTTGAAGAACAAGAAATTGAGCATATATTTGAAGTATGTTACGGAATCTTTTTTTAGTATTTTATACAAAATGTATTATTATTAATCACTTTTTTAAGGTTGTACAGAATTTGCCGGAGGTTATGGTTTCTTTAACATTACAAGGCAAACATCTAGGTAATGCTGAAGCTAAGCGCATTGTATCAACAGACAGTAAATCCACTCAATGGATAGAAATTCATCCAAATGAAGTAATTAAATAAATATATTTAATATATATTTTATATAATTTTATATTTATTATTTTTAGGACTATGTACTTATTGTTGATATTAACCGACTAAATGCAAAACGAGGTGCCCACAATTTAATGAATATTTTTTGTCCCAAATACCCAAAATCAAAATCTGAGGCTTGGTTTTTAACACTTGGTTCCCAATCAAATAATGAATTACTTGCCATGAAGCGGGTCACAATTCGTGGAAATCGTTCTATAAATCGTATTTGCTTCCAATCTACTCCTCGACGAGGACGTCAAGTATTAACATTATATTTAATGTCCGATTGCTTAATAGGATTAGATCAACAGTTTGATCTTAAGTTTGAAATTATTGATGTAAAGTCTTAATTTAAGTTCTTTTAATTTATATACAAATAAAAAAATTTTAATAAAGAAATTTAATTAAACGTAAATTGAATTGGAATTAATAAATAAATAAATAAATTAAGTGGATGAATTGAAAGAACGAATACTGCATATTGAAATCAATATTGGCATAGTTAGTGTTATAAATTTTTACTGTCTATAAACACATACATATATGTAATTCACTCATATATATACTTTTCGTATTCGCCAAAATTCGCCGAAATCGTGAATATATAAAAGTTTTGGAATCTTAAGCAAATTTTTTTTTTTGTAGATATATTATTGCAAAACAATAGTTAAATCATACGTATATAATGGATAAATCGGTTTAACATATTAATATTGTAAACTTAAAACAAAGTATACGTTTTAAGTTTCGAATATTTAAAAATTTAAGTTTCTACGAATAAATATCAATTTTAATCCTTTATTCGAAAAACTTGGATCAAATACCAAATCAAAGAATTAATGTTTATTATCAAGATTTTCAATTTATCCGAATGCAAAAACATATAGTGCTTACAGTTGTATCGCGTTTATTTAAAATTTTAGACACATATTTATAATATTTAACTTTTTAAAATATTTGTAGAGAGGCTTCGAAAAGTAGTGAACTACAACAACAAAAATTCTTTTTATATTATTTTAATTAACTGAATTTTTGGCTGACCATACAGCTGTTTCAAGTATTGTCAAATATCCATCATCACAGTGGGTTTGGAATTATTTTTTCTATTTTTTTGGCTTCAAAAAATTATCTACGAATAATTAAATACAAGGAATAATTTCAAGACCACTGACGATGGGTATTCAGCAATACTCTAAACAGCTGTATGGTCAGCCAGAAACTTAATAGGTTTTGTAGTTCACTACTTTTTGGAACCTCTCTACCAAATGTACTTGTTTCTATTTAATAAACTAGTCGCTTTCTAATTTAATGACGTTAAATTACAACTTATATTACAGTAATTTTATATTTTTATTATTGAATTTATATATATAAGATTTTTTTAACTCAATAGCAGTATCAACTACTTATTACAATTATAAATAGTTCATGATTTTGAAGTCAGCTTATATGTTTAAGTACATTTTTTTGGTCGTATTATCGTATTATATTGACCACTTTTTTATTAAAAGATTCACTAAAAAAAAATATTAAATAAGTTTTATACAATTCATTGCAATAAAAGTAATATGTAAAAGTATATACACAGCGTTTGCTGTGTGTACATATTTATATAAATATTGAATGTATAAAATATAATTGTGTTTAACTAGAATAATTGGTTAACTTTATAACTTAAGTTTTTAATTTAAAAATTAAAAATAAATAACACTAATTTATTTTTCACTCATTTTATTGCGTTTAATATTCCCACTTTGCATAGAAACAGCACGTGTTCTTTGTATTTTTATGTATTTTACAATTTTGATTGGTTTTTAAATTATAACTGCTAATATGGTTCCTGATGATGACTGTAGAAATTTAGAAATAGAATTTCTACTATAGAAATAGTAGAAATATTAAGCGAAATAAAAAAAAGTGAAAAATTGTTTTGTTTTAATTTTTGAATAAACTTCAATGGAGTTGACCATTCGAAAATAATTATAATAATTTTTTTCATCGAGAAATTAAATGTATAAAAATTTAAATATGTTGTACGAATGTTTTTATGTTTTTTTTAAATATTTAAATATACATATATATGGAGTAATATTATATATAAATGCTATAATAATTTGTTCACATATTTTGTAAATGCAGATTAAAATTTTATTTTATATTTGCGTTTATTAATAGAATGTTAGCATGTTTAGTGATTTGCATATTCCTGTTGTTGATATTTCATCTTTTGCTTATTTTTTTGTCGAAATATTTCCTTGCTCGCTTCTCTAATAGCTTCAAATATTTTCGCTTGCGACATTATTTGCTTTTGAACATTTTCCACAGCTGGTTCTGCATTTATATCTATCAAATCACTTAGGCCTTCGTCCATTCCTTCGTTATTGTAGGGTTCAGTTTCTATTGCATTGCGTTTCAACAGAGTAAAAGGTGAAAATTGAGATCGCTTCCTCCCACAACCTTTTTGGAAGGCAGAATATGATTATGATATGATGTTCGCATTAGTATTAAACTTTATATTATATAAAATTATAAACTATCACCTGTAAATGCATTACAAAATGGCCGCTTTTCGTATTTCCACTGTATGACACCACTTAGCTTATGCTTTGTATAAAATAATTAATAATAAAATTAGTAACTGAAGTTTTTGCAAGCACATTTTTCACGCAATTTGCGATTAATATTCATTAAATAATAAATAAAAAATTTTAATAGGAAGAAATTTGTAGCAAATGCTATATATAAAACTAAGTAAACTAAAATTAAAAAATAAAGTACAATTGAAACTTAATATATAATAATTAAATGAAGAATTTTTTTAATTAAATGAAGTTATTTTAAGAATATAAAATAACAGCTAAACAAAAAAGAAATAGTAATAATTAAATACTATTAACTTAATATGGTATTTAAAATATGTGCTTGAAATCGTTCGCTTACATTTGATAAATTAATATCAGCTTCGATTTGGTATATTATATTTAACCAAAATAAAAAACAAATAATCAACGGTTTAAAGGTAATCATATTAAATTAATTAATAATTTTTTTTTGTATTTGTATTTGTTTTTCCTTTCGTATTTAAGTAAATTTACTTAATACTCTTTTAAATTCATTTACGTGCCCTGACACAGTCACTGAAATAGGTTTATTCCTTTAACTTAAACTACAAGTACACAACTGTTCTAAGTAACGTTTGAGATTGAATTGTGTATTTCAAACATTTAACGCCCTATTACCTAACACCCAATATTAAAGCACCGCCACTTTAGTATCATACAGCGATTTACTGCGGTTTTTCATATTTCAGAGTCAGTCAATAGCGCACCACGCTGAGCTAAGTAAGTGTTTTGATTGGATACACATTACAGGAATCAAGCTGTTGTGTTATGTATCATGAAAGCATACATCTTTTTGTTTCACATTTTAGGAAAGGCTGTTTTGGTAAAACTGTGATTACGAACATTGCTTTGCGGTCTCAGTCATATCTGCTACAGGATTTACTTATATTTTACTAAACACATTCAATTATTGAAGGACACATTTTTCAAATATTAAGTGCAGAATAATTTAATTTAATTTTAACAATTCTCTTCATTTTATTAAATATACAAGAAGATTAAAAAGCACATACGAGTATTATGTCTTTTAATAATTAATACTATAAAATAATTTCAACAACAATCACATAAGCATCTAAATAATATCTTCCATTACTAGTTTTCATGTTATCCCGAATTTCTGTAGAAATATATGAAATTGATCTATTTTTAGATGTGCCAAGAATATTTTAGAAAAATTAATTAAAATCAGCCATTCGCGCCGTCTTCATGCCCTAAAAATCACCAAATCACAATTTTTCACAATTTTAATTAAAAACAAATAATTCAACACAATATACACTAAGCTTTCTTATTTATAATTAATTATATATTAATCATTAATACATTTATATATTTATATACAGAATCCATTGCTTTAAAGAGTCAAAAACTTTGAGTGTAAGTTAGTCGCTGGTTTTATTCAAATATTATAAATCAATCTTCAATAATAGAATATTTATGTATCGTATATATATATATATTATATAGCTAATTCTTAACTATTTAATGTTAATAATGCTATTGCCTAATGATATTTTAGCAAGTATTCAAATTACATAGGTGCACACAAGTCTGTAGGTTTATAGGTAAGAGAGATGAAAATTGGATGTAGGGTTAAGTGAGAGAAATGAGTTTGGACGACCATTTTTGAAGAATCTAATACTATTTTAAGATCAGTCTTTAAAGAAAAATTGTAAAGAATTGTTGCTTAGAAATTCAGTTTTACTAAAACTAATTAGAGAAGTTATTTAAAATATAAAATTTTCCTCTATAAAATTATCATTTAGATTTCATTTTTCACGTGAGTACTTAATATATTTGTGAAGTGGTTTAATTTCAACAAATTTACCATAATAATAATTTCATTTAAAATAAATATTTAGAAATAATAAGAATAAAAATTAACATTGTCAACTGCATGAATCGGAAAAATTAAATAAATAAATCGTAAGTTATTTCCAACAATAATTGGTCTCTTATCAAGTTTTTTTTGTAACTAAAAATATAAAGGCTATTTATACATGCGTTCAATTAGTATTATAAAAAAATAATGAATTTATAATGATAATATCTATTAAAACTAAAACGAAATTTTAATTAATATTTCTTTTAATTTTTCATTATTTATAAATAATGAAATTTATAAATATATATATATATATATATATATGTGTATGTCATAAAGCCTTATAAAAAGCTCTTATGTATCACATACCTAAAATAGATATACAAATAATAAATATTTAAAATTGCTGTTTAATGTAGGCAAATATATGTGGATTATAAATAACCAATGCAGTTTCCAAATAATTTTATTTGTTACTCTATACTCTATAACAGCAAATAGATAGATTCTTTGGGACAGATTCTATAAGTTTTCGGCTACTATATGTTCAATTTATATATATTAAATTTTTTGTTTAATTAATGTTGTCCAATTTTTTAATTGGTGCCTGGATATATTCAACTACATCTACAAATATATGATAATTGTGGAGGACTTTTAAGATCTTTTGAAGGATTACACATCAACTACAGATATCATTAAGAAATTTGTGATTTTACTGTCAAAGTGAAATTAAAACGACCGACATTTTTAAACCAAATCTTCCTTTTAAATAGATCATTTTTATTGAATCCCGGACTTCAATTGATACTTGAATGTAATGAGACTTTCAGAATAAAAACAGGAACTCTCATATTTTAATTATTCTACAATATTTCGGATTTATTTACTACTTCAGTGATTTGTGAATTTTATGTTTTATTTTTTATTTGCTTTGGATTTTGCTGTTGTTGCTTTTAAAATATTTTTATAAAGCTTATTTTATTTCAAACATATTGGCTTAAGAAAATTGTCATTTTTATCTTCTTTTTTTAAACCACTGATCGTTTATTGTTATATTAAGTTCTTTTTCTTGTTTAGGATGAAACAATCACAGTACATTAATATCAATATATCCGCTATATAAAATTATATACACAATACATACCACATTTTTCAATTTTCTTTGGAACTGAATGTCCAACATTCGTTCCATGTTTTTAACGTTTTGCGGCTTTTGCTATTCTGATTCTAAAAATTTATTGTAATTTATTGTAATTTTCCATTTTTTGCATTTGCTTTTACTATTTTTTCTGGTTTTCCTCTTCTACTTAATGGCTTCTAGAATTTCACATCTTTTTCGATCTTTTTCAATACACATTACAGGATATAATATAATCATTTTATTAATATAGATGTGTATATAAATGAAACTATCGCAAATTGATTCATAATTAATTCACTAAACTATACAAAACCAATAAATATTGTATATTCTCCCCCTTTGGACTTTCCTGCCTACATCACTAGTCTTTAATGGCTAAATCCTTGTTGCGCCATATAATACCTGCTACGCGTAATACTTTGTCTACTTCTGTAATGATTTCGGATGTAAAGTTATTTGAAAATGTTATTCTCGACCCAAAGTATCCCATATCTGGTCTACACATATTTCGTATAGTGTCCTTGTGCTTAATAAGTTAATTGAAGATTATTAGCGACTTTATAGCTTTAAAAGAACTTGAATTGATTTTAATATTTATTGTATAATTATTGTTGAAATTTTTAAATCTTACTTTTGTCTGCTTATTTTCTCTGTTATATCGATAATAATCCAAAGTATTCTCAAAACTAGTGTGAGAATACCTTCTACTTCTCAAAAACTTTGCTGAAAGGAACAGGGTTCACTTAATATGGATCCCAAAACACAGCGGATTTGAGGTAAACAAAAAAGCAGATGAACTAGCCAGAAAAAGGGCGGCCTCATATTATATTGGACCACAACCATTCTGCGGTCCTTAAGCTTTTTCAAACTAAAATGAATGAGTGGCTGGAAAGAGCAGCTCAGACTGATTGGGATAATACAATTGCCTGCAGACAAGCTAAAGAATTCATGCCGTATCGATCAAAAGCCAGAACTAGGGAGCTACTTATGCTAAACAGAAGTGGCATCCGACTTGTCATAGGATTTCTGACCGGATATTGTGGAGTTAAAAAGCATCTATCGAACCTAGGTATTACTAGAGACGATAGCTGCATCTTTATTGCGAAGAAGAGGAAACAGCAGAACACATTTTGTGTCACTGTGATAGTCTCGCCAGACTCAGACTTCGGTACCTTTCTATTACCTATCCACTTACAATGAAATTAGGTAACATCTCTCTAAAGAACATAATGCGTTCTTAACTGCTACTCCTCTATGGAACTAAAGGAGTAACTGGTATGTCACAATTATCCTCAAAGGAATCAGTGATGTGATGATTAGTTCCCAAATCTAATCTGATCCAAAGTAGAATATGTTTTAAATCTTTAGCAGCAGACTTATAAATGAAAAATATTTTAATATAAATAACTAATTCTAAACTTGTCAACCCACAGCACATAAAAACAGATAGTTTTATATATCGAACTTATTATGTCTATACAATTAAACTAAATAGGTCATTTAAATCCGAAATTGATATGACGGCAACAATTGAACAGCTTTATAACTACAAACGATTTAAATCCATACAAAATGATTCGGCATTTCTGTTTCTGTTATATTATAAATATGCATTGTACATACATATATAATATATTGATTGTATGAAGCAGATAATGCAATAATGCAATTAATAATGATCATTATAGAGACCTTTATTTATTCAAATAATAACAACAAAAATAACCATAACTAACATAAAATTTATGCAAACACCAAAAATATTTATACTATAGATATACTAAATTTTAAAAGAAAGGCTAAAAATTTTAATAAAACGAATTAAATATAACATATTTTTCAGTTTTTGGCAAATTGATTATTAAAAATATCACACCATGTCTGAGGAATCTTCTCAACAAATACAGCAAGACAACCGCGATCGTTCTAAATCCACTGAAGATAATGAAAGTCCACGAGAACCCTCCCTAGTATGCAGAGACATTGATGTAAGGCACTTCATCTCTTTGTAATCATAAAGTCATTAATTTTAGTACCTGTATATTAAAATGCATCAGGCATTTATTCAGAGTTTATCTTAGCAGAGTATATTTGTTTTTTTTTTAATATTGGATTAAACTAAAGATGGGCACAGACATATGAGATGGAGTATTACACATACATGTGTAAAAAGAACATAAAATTCTAAATTATATAAATAAATTAATTAATTAATGCGTTATTTAATATATGTAATAAACGTTTCTTAGTGTCTACAAAACTTAATCAATTCGTTTTGTCCCTTTAATCTGGTGCATGGACAAAATATAATTATTTTTATGTTTAAATTTGAGTTCATATTTGCGAATCTTATAAGTACGAGTAATAACATGTATACGTACAACATTTTACATATGTAATAATTGATATATACTTTTAAGATTAAAACAGAATTAGAATGTCTTGTGAAGTTACTTGATGGAAAAATTTATAAAGACGAGGAGGTTTCAATGGAAGAACTACATCAATATTTAATTGAGGATGATGGATCATGGTCGTTAGGAGATAATTTTTTAGTTTTTGTACAACGTGTTTTGCGCGAACAGTCATTTTCGCCTGATACGAGAATACATTTGATACGTACACTAGCTTACGCAGCACTTAAAGATGACGTCATAATTATATTACATCAGGATCGTAGGGATCATTCGTTGATGAACTTTGCTCAGGATATTGATAAACATACACCTGAAGAACAGCAGGCTTGGGCCATGTTTGTAAGTTGTAGATATTGATTTGATACATAAATATTATATAATATTAGCTTTTTTTGAAAGATGTGCAATCTTTTTGAAAATGTTGGCCCTTCAGAATGGTTACTATATATATCAGAATGGGACTATAACGGACAAACGCTTTCAAATATACGTGTAACGACAAAAGTTACAGTCCATTGTATATTATCGAATTGTCCTCAATTAAAAAACATTGGTTCAATGATTTTATACAATATTGCAATTAAAGAAGTTAAGACGGTTGTAAGATATAATGAATTTAAATATACCTTTTTCTATATATTCAGATCATTCCTTTACGTTACAATCTTTTACAGGTATTTGATGATGTAGCAGTAGAATTAACTATGGCTGTGCTACAATTCTACCAAAGTAGTCCTAATGAAGAGCAAATATTTCGTACTCTAAAAGCACTTGTAAGATTTCTTGAGGTGAGGTGATTATATATATGCATATTATTTTTAAATATATTTTTAGTAATCCAATTCTTTAATTAAATAATTTCAATAAACAAAAAATGGTTTTGCATATCTAAGAAAATTATGTTAATGTGTAAATACCTATTTAATATAATATAATAATAAATATTACATTATATGTTATATTATATATAAACTAAATATATATTTTCCTATACCTATATTTCAGGTATCTGCAGATGTGGCAGCAATAATTCAAATGATTGGTCCTCATCCAAAGCAATTTACTGGAAAAAGTGATCGAATTAATGAGCTGCTGAATGTTATTTGTCGAAAAGTTCCTTTATAATATACAAAAGTCTAAGTTTTTTAAATTCTATTACACTCTTAGTTTGTAGAATGTTCAAATTTTTTTACATTTTCTACCTAATTCTGATATTTAAAAAAATGTTTTTTAAATAAAGCTGCACTTTAATTAATTCAAGTTATTTAAAATTACATTTATTTCAAAAATGTATTAAACATTAGTATTGTCATTGCAACACATTTTAAAATATAAAAAACTAGATTCTCCAGCCCGCAGTTGTAGCCAATTCTTCTGGTTGGAAATGAACATTTCTGAAGGCAGTTGAGTTTCCTGTAACGCTTCATCGTCTGTCAAAAATAATAAAATAAAAATAATTGAGCTATAAAATTAATAGAAATTTTATACTTAATTTATGATCATATGCTGGTGACTTTGTTATTGAAATTATATCTTCAGGTTTGCGGAGTAAAATCTTTCCCACACCCTTACACATGCGAAGAACCTCATGATTACTCAACTTATCTAATTGATCTTGATTTATGAAGTTGCAATTTAATATCCATTCACGAACATAGTCAAAATCACTCAGCAATCGTAGTGCGCCGGCTATATTGAATTTTATGCGTTTATTATAAATAAAGTCTAGCCAGGACTCACATATTATTCTTAAAATAAGTTTCAACACTGCAAGTTCTGTTGTTGCTTGTATTATGGGTAAAAAGATTTGGTCCAGAACATAATCGACATAGGTAGACTTCACTTCCGCATTATATGTATTTTGCTGCCAATGGGTAACTGGCGGAAAACATAGCGTAAAAGTGGCCAAACTTAATATCCGGCATACAGATGATAATATATTAACACATTCCTCTGTAGTATTCTAATAAAATATGTTTATATACAAGTAATTGTAAAATTTCATGATATTTTAAAGTCATTAAAGTTAGAAGTTAGTAATTTGTTGACAAAAGCGTTATACACATTAATTACTAATTATATATAAACTGATCTGGATATACAATAAATTGTAATATTTTATGCCCAAAATAATAGAACACGAAAGAGTAGAGAATTTTTTGTATTGCAAAGGATTTATTCGTAAGCATGATATTAATTTTTATAGATTTTTAATAAACACTATAAATCGTTTTAAAACTCAACAATTTTATTACTTTTCAGTTCAATATGGTATATCAGAAACAACAAACTTGAAATGGCTTTTTCATTTATGACTTTTTAAGACCAATAAGTGTTTTTCAATTACGCTAAAAACTGAAAGTAAGGGACTTCTTGAGTCGTCTGTCTCTAATAAAATGAATATATACTTTATTTATCATAATTTAGTAAAAGATTAGTAATAATAATATATTTATGTAGCGAAGTAAGAATTAGGATATAATTCAGCATGATGAATATTTTCTTCCCAACACTAGTAATGAGACCGGTTTCGTTCATTTGATCTAACGCCCGCAACCGGTTCTTTTTGTTATTATTATTTAAAATCTATACAAATAATATGTAAATATAATAGTTCATGAAATTCATCATTCATCATTCATCATTAAATCAAGGTCGTTAGCACTATAGGAAGTTTAAACATATCACTATATAATACAATTAAATCACAAAAAAGCAGTGATGGGATAACCTGAACCAAACACAGCCTAGGTAGTGGATTCTTATTCTAGGTAGCCATATTCTTATTTTTGTATTAGTCTAGTATTCTAATGTGTTAACTCATGTTACATGCATATTCACGTCTATATATGTAAGCAAGCAAAGTATATCATATCTTTACTCTTTGGAAAATTTTCGAATATGTGAAAATTAAAGAGCAGTGTGAGTGAATTTTGTATAAATAAAATGAATACTAACACTATGCATCTTAATACAAGTCAGTAAATGAATATTACTAGCAAAATTTTCGATTGAAAAATTATTATAATGAAGTGTATAAGTTAAAATAATATATGTATTTTCTTAATATAAGTTATAATCGGTGCTGTTATAAACGTAAGTTTCTTACCTTTAGTTTTTCAATATTGACTTTGACCTCACATATTAATTTTGTGCGCAATGCAATGCATACCAGCATTAAAATGTCATTCAAATTAGAAGATAAGTTTGGCAGCTTAAATTTATCAAATAATTTTAGGCAGATTTGCACGTCCTGTTCTAATATCTTGAAAAAGAGACTCATTTTCCATTCACAACATAACAATTTTGTTTGTTCAGTAACCCATATGCGCATTGAATGGACTGAATGATCTGAGTAAAAAGAATAAAATTTATTATGTGTACATATAGTATGCCCTCGATAATCGAAACAATTATGTTATAAGGTTTAACTCGATTTCCAAAATGTTGAGATTATCAAGAGATTTTTATTTTTCTAGTAATGTATTAAACTACATCCAATATGTTATACATACCTATATACATGGAATAATATATTTACTAGGTAGATACGAGATATTTACCTGTACCTTATATATTTGGTACCTTATATTTACTGCTAAGGCAGAAAAAATTTTGGTGGTGCGTATGCGATAACATATTGTATTCTAATTAGGAATAACAATTACTCAAAAAAGGAAACAAGAAAAAATAGTGTCGCGATTATACAGATTACAATGAAAATTGTGATCGGAAAACGGAATTTATTTACAAACAGGAGAGATTTTGATAAAAATTCACCATCTCCTTCGATTTATTGAAATGTTTTTATGAGCTTAAAACAAAAATACGCATATCTCGGGAAAAAAGCTTCTTCCGGAGCGATACCAGGAATATGGTACATGAGGATTTTAGAATTTGCATTTTAGATCATTCGCACGCTCTGTGAATGACAGACTATTCAAATTTCCTACGTTGTAAAGATAAATAACATAATTGAATACTTTACTTATATAATGTCCATTTAAAATCGTTTATATTTAATTACTGTTGGAAATGTATAATCATTATTGAATAGTGGACTATCCTTATTTAATTAATTGTATTTAACATATATTAAAATCAAGATATTCATTCACTTTTTGACTTCAGATAAGATCTATATTAATAAAATTAAGTTGGTTAAAATACAAATAAACAATTACCAATATTTGTCATTCATGAAAATATACATCAAATATTTTTAGATTTAGATTTAGAAAATTTTGTAAAAAAACTAAATCTTTTTTGAAGGCAAAGAATAAGAAATACTTTTTAAAAATTAATGTATCTCTCGTCTCACACCAGACGTATGCGAAAGACATATCCGTTAAAAAATCTCAAATTATTTCACAAAAATAACTAAGAATTTTAACTAAGAACTAAGAATTAATTACACTAGTTTACAAATAATTAAAATATTTCCTTTAGGGAAATTTTCCATGGAACTCGAAAATCACAACGATTTTTTTTCCTGCGTACCATTTTCGAGTTATTTGCAAAAAACCGTTATTTTGACTTTTCTCAAAACATCACCCTTCACATGGCCCCCTAACTTTATTTTTTTAGAAGTTACTATAGTAGTGCGTAATATATCAAATTAAAGGTGAAACTTGTATGAACATTTTAAGCTACATAACGTTAATATAACTTATTTAGTTTCGCTGCTATAGCTAAAAATGTACAGATGAAAATGTTTTTTTACGCTTTTTTCAACTTTTTCGATTTTCAATGTGATGGGACTCCCACTAAAATATTTGAAAAAATTATTTTTTTGATTAATGTTAAAGACTGTTTTAGTACAAACATTTCGAGTGGCTTAACATAAAAATCGAATAAAAATTTCAGAAGTTATTTGCCATTTCCCAAATTTCCCCAAAATAGTGGTTTTTATTGACAAATTAGAAAAATCATTTTTTCGAATTTGTTTTTTTAAATTTAAAGTGCAAATCAAATAATATTATGTAAAATTATACAAATTTTATTCAAAAATTAAAAATTAATATTATTAAATATTAATATATTGCATTTTATATAAAAGTTCGACGTCGAACGTGAGACTGCATTATTAAAAGTGAATTTATATATTATAATGAGGTATATGTGTACTTTGAGCAAGTACACATATTAGACACACTCCATTAGAAGTCCACGGTTTATTCTGCTTAGCCATAGCAAATCCCAAGTAGAATCGTATGGTATCATATGATACCATATGTAAAATTAGCAGTTTAATAAACTAACGTTCGAAGTCAAACTTTTATATACCTAAAATGCAATATATTAATATTTAATAATATTAATTTTTAATTTTTAAATAAAATTTGTATAATTTTACATAATATTGTTTTGATTTGCACTTTAAATTTAAAATAACAAATTCGAAAAAATGATTTTTCTGATTTGTTAATAAAAACCACTATTTTGGGGAAATTTGGGAAATGGCAAATAACTTCTGAAATTTTTATTCGATTTTTATGTTAAGCCACTCGAAATGTTTGTACTAAAACAGTCTTTAACATTAATCAAAAAAATAATTTTTTCAAATATTTTAGTGGGAGTCCCATCACATTGAAAATCGAAAAAGTTGAAAAAAGCGTAAAAAAAACATTTTCATCTGTACATTTTCAGCTATAGCAGCGAAACTAAATAAGTTATATTAACGTTATGTAGCTTAAAATGTTCATACAAGTTTCACCTTTAATTTGATATATCACGCACTACTATAGTAACTTCAAAAATAAAGTTACGGGGCCATGTGGAGGGTAACTCGAAAACGGTACACAGGAAAAAAAATCGTTGTGATTTTCAAGTTCTACGGGAAATTTCCCTATAGGAAATATAAGTCTCGTCTTTAGAAATTTTTAGCTGTAAACTAGTGTTATCTAAGTGTTTTGCAAAAAAATAATTCATGCCGAACTTTTTATCAAATATGAGTGAAACAGTGAAGGACATTGGGTTGGACAGCGTAGAGTCGTCTAAATAAAAAATATAAAATTATAATATATTTCATAATGAAGTTGCTAATATTGCACATTTGAAACTTGTCTTTATCAAATCACAATATTACAAATGAGAATTTTGTATTACTTTTATATAAATTTTGTTTTCGTGTCTACGAGAGCATATCAACTGAAAGTGAAACTGAGATTCAAGAATGCGCCAGGTCCATTCAAAAAAGGTAAACATTAATTTTATGTTTATTTTCGAAAATTAACTTCAAATTATTTATGTTAGACTGCTCTAGCATCCACTGGGATGGCAAGCAGCTTCCAACCATGACTAGGTACCAAAAGATTGGCAAAGTAGCAGTAATTATTTTTACTAACGAACAAGAGCATCTACTAGGAGTTCCTGGATTGCCTTCTGACAGGAGGGAAAACGCGGTATCAACTATTTACGACTTGCTAGCTAAAAATAAACTTTTGCATACAGTAGAGTCCTTGTGCTGTGACACTATTGCGTCAAATACTGAAATAATAAAAGATGCTTGCATTTTATTGGAACGTAAACTTGGAGAAGATTTATTTTACGAAGTTTTCAGACACCATTTATATGAATTGGTCAATTTCTAGCAAACAGTATCGATCAAGACACAAGTTGTTATTTAACAGACTGGAAACGACTAGCAGTTAGTTATGAAATCTTAGGCTAAAACGATATGAAATTACGTTTCGATCAGCTGACGTTTTTTACCATATCATTTCATATATTTATACTCGAAATGAGTTTCGTTTGATTGGCAATAAATTTGAAGAAAAAAGAGATAGTATATTTATTGTAAAAATAAACATAAAAACTTGGTAAATAAATAAAAATTATTCATTAACAACATAAAAATATTATGGACATTTGTGGTATCTTACTAAGGAATTAGTGGCTTAATCGTTTTAAATAATACATTTCCTGTCCAAATGAAAGTAAACATGGCGAAAGCTTTTGCAGAAAAATAACCAAATGATTGAATTGTCATCCAAAAAGATATCTACATTTTTGAACTATTGTCCGGGTTTATTGCTCGTAATCCTGGTAACTAGAATTCTCTTTCTGATAATCAACATGACCTCACAGTACTGAGACTATTAAACTTATTTTAAATTTTATTTAAAAAAAAAAATGAAAAGGAATGGAGATTCAACAAAATATCAAATTAGTGGGACCACTCTAATATATTTATATTAAATTTGTTTATTTTTGTAACTTACCAATCCGATGTAAAATTGGTATTTGTTCAGAAACTGGAACTAAGGACGAGTTTCCCATGTTAATAGTAGGAAAGAAATTATTGCTTAAGTTGACTAAGTTAAAAAATACTACTATCCAAATTGTGCCTGTAGCCGTACCCAAGTTCTATAAAAAAAAAACCCATTTAAAGTACTTTAATAATACATATCCAATAAATATATAATCGTACATTCTTTGGGCATCCATGATAAGCATCAGATATTTTAGTTACTAAAACATTTATAGAATTATTCGAAATAAACGTAAATCGAAAAAGTTGATCCCAAATATTATTACACACAAAATTAGTAAGAATTTCACTTACACCTCTAAGAGTAGAATGTACTGGCTCTGGAATATCTGGAGCATATATTAATAGTATATTAATAAAAAATTATACTTTCACGAAAATTTATTAACCTTCAATTTTCTGCATTTGCATCCAAAGTCTTATGGAATCAATATGAATTACAGAATAACATGTTATTGGAGTATCCATCCACCAAAGTAGTATATGATCCAAGATTACACCTACAGATGACCATATTATGCGCAACCCATGTGCAATTAAAGTATCGTGATTGCTATTAAAGTCTATATAAAAAAGTCATTAATTTGTTAAGCAAACCAATTTACGAACCTTGAAGAATGCTTGGGCATATTTCATTCGCTTTTGATAGTAACTGCTCTATAAGCATTCTTTCCCTTTCTAAAAACATATTTGTATGCTTCCGGCACTGATTATTATCTTTTTCAACATCTGTTTGGAAGCCGTCACTGTTATTTCTCAATGGTCTATTGAAAGCATAACTATCATTTTGGAAGCATTGGTGAATTTCATCGGTTCCAATATTTAATGTTAGTATGCGCAAAATTTCTAAGCTGGAACAGTTCGATTCACAGTTTTCTAACCAAGAATTTCTTTTACTTTCCTCCTGCTTATTAATATTCAAAAGCCCAAGCATTAAATCTAATATGCTCTGTTCAATGCGTGTTTGAGATATAAACTATAAAATACAACAAGTAAAATATATATAAAAATATAAAACATGATATTTTTCATATAATTCCGAAAAACGGAATTATTGCTATTCTTAATAGCAAAAAAGTTTGTGAAGTTCACTGGAGTAAATTTAGTAATTCGGGAATATCTAATGGAACATGCGAATGATTTTCGAACAATTTGTGAATAAAGGGCCCATTAGACATCAACGCTCGTTGTCAACGCGCGCTTGCCATTACACAAACAATTTTTTAAAAATTTTTTAAACACGCCTCAGATAAAACAACAAATATACTAAAAAATCGCTCTCACATGAGAATTTTTTCTCCTACTTTTCTCCTACTTTGTGAAATGCGAAATTTGTTTGTGTAATAGTAACATTTGAAATTTTAAGAAATGTGTTGACGAAAATCAAAAAATTTTGATATTTCTTCAACCACGCTCGTGTTTTTGCATATACAGTCGGATTTGGTCGGCATGCAAAATTTAATTTATTTTGAGAAATGGAAGCGTAAACATGTAACAAAAGAATAGTGAGTATTGAACAAAAGAATATATTTTAATAAGAAATTGCAATAAATGATATATGTATATAAATACAAACAAATAAATGAAGATCGGAGTATCGATCATCTACGTAAAAAAATCAACACCACTTGGGCCGTTAGAATCGGCCCGAGCCGTTTGAAACGAGGTTTCAAACGGAGTGACTCCGTGTCGTATGACTACTTTAACCTAATGTTGAAAAGGATAATTCAAGCAGCATATCTAAACCGCACTGGCACAATATTCTACAAAAGTGTGATGCTACTGGCCTGAGCACCCGCGTCGTCAGTGCAGCATTTTCCAATTTAGAAAAACAAGCGAAGCAAATGGGTCTTGTGATAAATGAGGACAAAACAAAGTACTTTCTGTCAACAAAAAAATCCAGTGAGCGTCTTGGGACCCATGTCACTGTTGACAATTATAAGTTCGAAGTTGTAAAAACCTTTGTTTATTTAGAAACCAGCGTAAACAACACAAATGATGTTAGCCTAGAGATTTAACGAAAAATCACTCTTACCAACAGATGTTACTTCGGGCTAAGTAGACAATTGAGAAATAAAACCCTCTCTCGACAAACAAAAATTACGCTCTATAAATCTCTTATCATGCCTCTCTCGCTATATGGTGCAGAAGCTTGGACAATTGCCAACAGTGATGAGAATTCGTTAAAAGCATTCGAGTGAGAAATTCTTCGGAAGATCTATGGTCCTATGGTTGGCGACAAGTATCGAATTAGATCGAACGATGAGGTGTATGAGCTATACAGCGACATTGACGTAGTTAATCGCATAAAAATCCAGTAGCTTCACTAGCTTGGCTATTATAAGTCGTGCGAATGAAATAAAGTGTTCCGGTTAGAAAGGTGTTTGATTCGGTACCCGTAGTTAGAAACTTGGTAGATGACGTCCGCATTTTCAATGGAAGGACCAGGTCACCAACGATTTGGAGCCGGTCGGTACTACCAACTGGCGGCTAAGGACGACTCACGTCTGTAATGGCCAACTAAGTAAGTAAGTAAGTATATTGACTAGTGAGATAGCATTTATACCTCGAATATAGTGTAGTTCTACTTCCACAAATAAAACCACCATTTTTTATTCTTACATATATAGTGCCTGGTGCAGTTTATAGCTGTTAGTCAAATTCTAACAGTACTATATATTTGTCTGCGTCATTTGTTCATGAACATTTGCAATTGTTGGCAGCCACACTGGAGTTATGATCTGAAACTATCTGAGATTTCAACTCTAAAAACATTTTACTTGATCGATATTATTAAAGAAGCAGATTATTAAAGAAGCAGACCCACATGGATGAAACAAACAACGTTTGATTAAACAAACAACGTCAAGTTGTTCAAGAAAGTAAAGGCTAAGAGTGAAAAATTACTCATCAAATTCCAGAGGTGGTTATAAGCTCACCATCTACCATAGCTACCACATTAGGTTTTGAACCTAAAAGTACCTACGCCACGGAAGGTATGTCAATACTGCTAAAATTGGAAATAACCATTACTGTCAAAGCCCAGTTGCGTAAAGTGGCAAGTAAACAAAAATATATTTGTCACATTTACATATTGACACTCTTTCCAATTACAATAAAATGTAATTTAAATATCAATATAAAAAAGGTGAGAGTGCGGTGGACGCAATGTATATTTAACCGGATTTGCGTTTGCGTGCAGCTTGCGGTAATTTGATTGTTTGCGGTGCACAACTTGCACTAGTAAAATTGCTGTTAAAATATAGTTTATATCGTAACACAACTTAACTTAACAACTTAAGTTAAATACGACAGAACCTTTGAAATTAAAAATCGTCTAATGTAGATTCAGAAGTACTATTAACGAGACGATTTCAGTCACAAATAACAATAGACCAAGAAAATTCGATTCTAACTATAGTAATCGTAGAAAATGTATACTTTTGTAAAATAAATCCTGTAAAAATATTTACTACATTCCATACCACAAATACCATATGGAGATAACGTAGCTTCTCTACGAAGATTCCATACCGGACACGGGAAAGGATGAATTTCGGAAAGGTCGCCGAAAATATTTGACGGGGATCATGTTAGGTCCGAAATTGATTAAAATCTAAGATTCGAGATCTGGATTTAAATAGTATAGCTGTATCGAAAATATTAAGCAATCATCGTAGATATAGGTAGAAATCAACACAATAGGGTATTTGAATTTTGATTAAAGCTCAAAAATAGGCATATGTGCGTTTTAATCAATACTTTTTTAAAAAAATCATTCTTCTATCACACTATATAATATTCTGCGGACCTATTGTCATATGACTTCTGTTTGCTTTCAGATATAAAAAAATATTTGAGATACGACATTTAATCATATTAAGGAGGTTATTAGTGCAGTTAACCTAGAAGTTGCAAATATAAAAAAAAACAGTTTTAAGGACTGCTTTCGAAAGTCCACCTTTAAGATTCAAAAAAGCACAGCAATTTAAGGCAATTATGTTGAAAAAATTATAAAGGTAAAAGTCATAAAATTAAAATTATTTTCATAAATTTTTTTGTTTTTTATTTAAGCAAGATTTTTAGCCCCCTTCTATATAGTTGTTTACTATCAAAATTTTGGAATCTTATAAATAGGGAGTATTAGTATAGGGAGTATTAGTACCTTGTGATCAAATAAGAACTTATTCGTTCTTTTTTTGAATTCCCGTGCTTATCCAATCGGAAAATTTTTTTATTTTCACGCTGGCAACACTATTATACACATTCTGTCAAAGTTTAACGCATATCGTACGATTCGTTTTTGTTTGGCGTCTATACAAAGAAATCGAAAAATTTTTTGTGGCGATTTTTAGCTGAATTTCATTCAAAAAAAGCGTCGTTGTTATGCGACCAAAGAGATGATTTCCAACGCAGATAGTGATTTGAATAGCAAAGAAAACACAAGGACAAAAGTTTTATTTAATTTATTGAAATTTAGCTGGCCATACAACGTTGTATGGCAATACTCGAAACAGCGTTGTATGGTCACCCAAATATCAATAAATTAAATAAAAATTTTTGTCCTTGTCTTTTCTTTGCTATCCGAATCCGCAAAACAATTTTATTTTTATTATATTACTTATAAAGGTGATAACCCAACCGTTTAGAGAGTTTGATATTAATAAGGAATATAAGATCATGGTACTATCTTTATATCCGTTTTATTCATATTCGGCATTATATATGTTGACTTTCATAATATTATCATATCCTTTAATTATGTTAAGGCTAGTTGAGTCAGTGCACCTGAGCACTTTTAACCTCTATTAACTGCCAGGTTTCTTCAAAACCCCTCTTTACGCCTTGACTAGATTATTATTTATCACTTCATCAGACTAAGCAATAATTGACCTCAGATCTGCATACCTAAGGAGCCGAGGAGCCTGTAACCATTCTGAGATTTGATAACGCGGTGTTGGTAAGTCTGTCAGATTTCGCAAATAATTTCAGGGCTCTATCCTTTATGTATTTCTTGATGGGATCAATATTGATATCCCTGTGGATGTCATTCGTCCTAATGTACCATGGAACTTTGAAAAGTTATTGGAGGTAATGAAAAATTTTGGCACAGCTAGTTCATTTCAGTTGAACATGTTTAAGCCATGTGAATCGTTTGTCCAACATGATACTGAGATATTTAACGCTTTCCTCCCAGTTTATCACCATATCCTCCACTCTCACTCTCGACGGATTCTGTCTCCACTTATGCGTTATAAATAGAGCCTTAGTTTTTCATTATTGATTTTTATTTTCCATTTCTGAAAATACTCCAGAATGAGGTCTATATACTCTTGAAATGTGTTCGTTATGTTGAGAGCACATTTATCTGAGTATAGCATTCACGTATCGTCAGCATATAACGCCAGAGTCGAGGGACCCAACATTGGAATATCAGATGTATAAATGTTGTAGAGAGTGGGGGAAAGTGGCGATCCCTGAAGAACCCCTGCTTCTATAGATCGGACTGACAAGAGAGCGCTGTTGATTTTCGTGCGAAAGGACCTCCCACGTAGGAAATATCCTTTAATATTTTTTAAGTAAATTAATTAAGAAAAATATCATATTGTATATTTTAATGGCTTTATCAAGACATTGATATAATTCAGCGGATTAACATCCAGCGGTTTCGCTGGCTTGGTCATGTCGTGAGAATGGATGAAGATGCTCCGGCGAAAAAGGTGTTTGACGGAAGAAGACGTAGAGGTAGACCGTGTCTCCGGTGGAGTGATCAAGTTGAGGGAGAACTAACTGGACTTGATATACGAGACTGGAAAAGGCGCGCACGCAGCAGAGGCGCCTGGGAAGACATGCTGCGTCAGGCCGAAACTCGATAACGGGTTGTTATGGCCACATAAGTAAGTAAGTAATATTTTAATGGCGATTTCTAGCAGATCATGTTGCGCACCTTAAAATTTCTCCAACTTTTCAAATATCTTTACAAATGAATACCAGAACCAATATACAATATATTAATTTTTAATCGATATTAATTTACTGTCAAATGTTTTAAATAAATATATATTTTTAAATATGCTTAAACAACAAATCAAAAATTACCTGTAAAACATGGGAGAAATCAATCGCTTTCAGTGTTAAAAGCAATGACGGATAATTATTACTGCAAACATTCGCATTTGGTTTACAGCATCCATCGCTTTTTTCATCCTCCACATTTAAATTGCAGCATTCATTGTACAGTTTAGTAAGTTGGAGTGCCCAATTGAACCAATCGTCTGAGTGATAAGATTTACGAAATAAATAACATAACTAACGAGGGAAAAATTCATTTTATTCTAAGTTCATATAAATAAATTCAGAAGCATACTGTCTTTTTCAATGTTAATGTAAATTGATTAAACCGACGATCATTTAGTTTTACTAATTTATGGAATTTATTTAGAAGTAAGGAATTATACGGGCTTCGCTTCATCTTCTTCGATAGCGAGACAAATTCCATACGATTGCAATTTTTTTTAAAATCCCAGTATCTTTTTATTATACGCTCTGATTCTTCCAAAATAAAACCCTACATAAGATCCATTGGAAGTACAGCAAACACATATTGTTTCATGAAAGATTCTTAACCATTTATTGAGTAACTTACGCGTTCAATAAAAATGTCCATTTTAACATCCATTATGACGTGTTTCGTAATTCTGCGAAGCTCAACTCCCAGTTTACTTATTTCAGAAAAAGTATTGACACTTTGATTTTTATTACGACAGTACCATTTCGGAGTTGAACTCATTTTTATAAACTCAATTTTTATCAAATTTTTGTTAATGAAACATTTAATATCTTTCCAGTATTCTTGAAAATAAATTGCTTTCTATTCTAAAAAAATAATTTTATGATTCAATCGATGTATTAATCCTCATAACAACCTTATCACCAAGCGACCATAATAAAATAAAGGTAGAGTAAATTTTACAAAAATGTAGTTACCTTTCTTACTTCCTTATGCAAATTATATTTTAAATTAATTATGAATATTTATCCACCTATTGGATTTTGAAAAGAATTATTTTATTTTATTCCATGTGTGTGTAAAAATATCTTGTTTATGAATGAATGCAAATCAAAATAAAAGAATATACCTTGAAAATTATATTAGAAGTTGAAAGATAGAGGTTTTTTCAATTATAAATAACGTTAGAATAATTTAATATCCGTTACACATATTTTCTCAATAGATCTTATTGAAAATACATGAACAAAAATTTTTCACAGACATTTGCAAATCCAAATATATTTAAAATATTTTTCGATTTTTTTCTGTTATTTCTTCCACTTAACATAAACTTGATTAGTTAACTAAGCTAACCTGTTTTTTAAATATGACTTTTCGGATTAAGGCTTTAATTCCAGCTACTAGTGAGTACATTTCTACCATTTGCTACATATATATATGTAGCTATATTTTCCCACTGCAATTCTACTATCCTTTCGTTAAATAACCTATATATGAGTTAAATAAAATAGCGTTTTTAGTTAAACAACGATAAATATAAATGGGAAATAACCGTTGGGGTTTAGGATCGCAGTGATCGACTGTTGGAAATTTCCAAATTTACAGGCCTTCCACGAAGAATCTAATTTATAACACAAAAATAGAAGTAGCAAAAGATTCTATACTGTAAGACAAAATAATATATATCTATCTCACTCAATTACAGTCCTTGAAGATAAAAATACCACGCAGCACCTTCAACCTTCCCCCCAACTTTCAGAACACAATAGATATTTTTAAATTATCTCTGATGCGAAATTCAAGAGGTGAACTTAGGAACTACACAAATATAAAACCATACCAATATGCTGTTCTGGATAAAATGGTAACAGTTATCTCACAAGGTGATGCCTTGCACACTAGAATAATATACAGGTAAACGGGGATATTATGAGCTGACTTTAATTGATTCTGGAATGGACAATGTGGAATGTTATTTGTCTGTTTTTGCGTTTTGAATACGTTGACAACTTTCGTAACAGAAACACGCCTTCCTTATCCAGCAAGAACAAAGATCAAAGTATAAATAAATGCTAAACATTTGCCCCGAAGAAATTACCGGGGCACTGTCTGTAATTTGGCACATTATCGAAACTCTTTTCAACAGGGTAAAATGTAATGGTGGCTAAGCTGTTCGTAAGGGAGTATTTACTAAATTTAACAAGCCTAAAAGGAATGAAGGCAAAGTCGGAAGACCGTGACAGAATTACATACATACAGACTTAAAAAAATTTTAAATTTCCAAAAAATACTGATCTAGGATTCGACAATCAGCGACACCACTCTGCACAGTTGCATACATTTTTCACCTTTAAATTGATAGAGTGGCAACCTGAGTGTGAGTTTCGATTGTAGATAAGGGCGCCTTAATAATCATGCCTCGTACTATTAACGCGGTGTTAAAACCGGTAGAATAAAAAGTAATACATTTATTTAAAAATCTATAATAAAATTTAAAAAATGACAATAAATAAAACAATAAATAAAAATAATAAAAATTCATTCAACAAAACTTCGAGAACTTTTAATTTCTTCCTGTTGATTCCAAAACTAGAGATAGTAATCTAATTTTAAAAAAAGTTCTCAGTTTTGATTAACTTACGCTTTCAATAAAAATGTCCAATCTGGTCATCAGATCTATATTGTCCGCTCCTGCAAATATTATATTATATAACAGCTTTCATATTTTATAGTACAAATACTTTCAAAATAAATAGGCTCTATCCAACATCGAAAAGAATAAAATCTGGGTAATGTTCGGAATGTACCAGGATAAGGGTATATTACCGACGGTGAGCGCCACACACACAGTTATAAGGAAGCCCTTAATCAAAGAGTCTCTAACCTAGTACCATTTATTTCATCAACACGAGCCAATTAAAATCGGAGATAATGGAATTTGGAGAGTTTTTCTCTCTTGATTCATGATATTCTTTACGTCAATTAAGAAGCAAATTAAAAACAATCTCACATCAACAAGGGTGTGATATTGCATCATATACCATGATCTTGATATGCGTAGGTGAAAAGTACTATAGTACGCTTATCTATACCAGGGTTCATTAAAAAGTCAAAACCATGTATGTTATTTAGCACTACAATATTATACTAGGTGGATTGATAAATATCCGGCCTAAGTAATAAAAACGTTTTTTTTTGGAAAATTATATGTTATACTTCAATAAAATTCTTTTTTAGCTCGTCACAACGAGTCCAACGATCTTTTAACATTTGGATATCTCTTAAATAATACGATTCATCAATTCCTCCAAAATATACCTGTTTCTCAATCCACTTCAATATTTGATTCAAATGTTTTCTTGGAGCCACCTTTTCAAGTTTGGAAAGGTTTGGACAAGTTATAGTCACTGATGGCACTGATGACAATTCAAGCAATTCGTACCGTAATTCATTTAATTTTGCCATGGTTTTGATTGGCGTGTGAACAGGTGCGTTATCCAGCAAAAACAAACGTTTTTTCTTCAACAAATATTGTCATTTTTTCTTGAATTCCTCATTCAATAAACTCAATACTCGTAATATACAATAGTAATCTAATGCTATTGTTTTTCCTTTTTCCAAATAATCTAAAACCAAAACTTTTCCAGCGGATTGCTGAGTTCGTGGTTGTTTGGAAACACCACCCCCGGGCTCTATCCATTCTATGGCTTGTTGTTTTCCCACAGGTGTGATGTAAGGGATCCCTGTCTGATAATTATCACTGCTCGATGCTCACACGCAGCTAGATTGTGCATAAGCATTTTCAAACAGTGTTTTAAATGTCGAAGTCGTTGTCGTTATCATTTTTGATCAATTAGAAGCAAACGCTGCACCCATTTTGTCGGAAGCACTTTCATACCCAAATATTCATGTAAAATATTCGATACACGTTCATATGATATGCTTGTCATCTCTGCTATCTTACGCAATTAAATTTTTGGATCATCTAACACAATATAATGGATTTGTTCAAATTTTTTTCAGTCGTGACCTCTTTTAGACCACCCTGACGCTCTTCATCAAAAACATAAAATATATAATTTTTTGGTTATAACTAAACAAAACATCCAAATTATACAAAGTCAATGCTACTATTATTGTTTTGAATTACAATATTTTAAATTTCGCTTTAATATATTTTCAAGGAAAGTTTTCTTTATTTTATATACAAAAGAAACTAATTAATGTATTTCGATATTAAAACATGTCCTTGAAAACAATTACAAAACAATTTTGCATATAGACAACCTTATATGGAGTATAGCTCCAATTAGGTCACCCATTGGGAACGGAGTTGTAAATATGTGACAAATAACTATTTAGAATGTTCCCATTTAGTAGATATTGTGGTTTATATTTACTAGTTTGCGATGAAATTGGTATAATCGCAAGGTCTCTCTAGTCTTAGAAGCAAAGTGGAAAGTTTGTATATCATAAATGTTCAGGCACTTGAGAAAGATATTCATGAATTTTGTACTCATTGATATGTGAAGATTTTATATCCTAATTGTTCTTGGACTTTCAAATCAAAACGAGCTTCTGCAATCAATTGCAGCTCGGAATAAGATAAGCCTTTACTGGGTTCCGGGTCACAGGGGACTTTTAGGAAATGAAAAAGCTGATGAGCTAGCCAGAACTGCATCAAAATCTGCTTTTATAGGCCCTCAACCCTTTTGTGGAATAAACTGTACCAATACAAAACAGATGATCAGGGAAATGGAAAATCATATGCGGCTGGAGTACTGGGTAAACTTACCAGGACTCAGACAAAACAAAGCACTGATAACACCGTACTCCTACAAAGACATTCTTAAATTTAAAGACATTCGAAATGTAATTTAAGGTTGTTAACGGGTTTCATTACAGGGCATTATGTTCTGAAATATCACCTTCATAAACTACAATTATCTGCTAACTCGGAATGCAGATTATGCCTCGAAGATGAGGAAACGAACATGCACATTCTTTGTAGCTGTCCAGCTTTAATAACGCAATGAAGAAACCTGTTATTATTATTATTATTATTATTATTATTATTATTATCCTAATTGTTCAGTAACTTAAGGAAGGTATTCATTGATTTTGTTGCACAATGCAACAGGGTCATTGACAGATAAGAAAATTGTACAATCATCTGCATGCGTAATGACTCTAATGCTTGAAATAAATTCGTAAAAAAACACTGCCGTGTGGGACTCCTTGTTTCAATTTCATGATCTGGGATATTTTCCGCTTTAAATCAAAAAAGATGTGCGTATGAGATAGCTACTGATCCATCATTTTATTAAGTCGAAGATAGATGTCTTTGAGCAAAAGTATGTGGAAGACTGTATCAAATGGCGTAGCAACTAATATTTTGCGCATACAGGACATATTTGGTTAGTGATGGTATTAAGACACTTTCAGAAACTATTTTAATGAATGAATAAGTGTCGATATCTGTTCAAGAATCAATGACTACAAAACCTAGGTACTGGAAATATAAGAAAGACCTGCTTATATGATGCATATGACCCCCGCGCTTTCCTTTAGCCTCATAAGGAAATTTTTTTGCTCGTATTACCTGCGTTAAGTGTGATGTGCGAGCCAAACGAAGTATTTAAAATATCAGTTAAGACTGAAATACCAAGAGTACCAAGAGAATAATTAAGTATAGATATGCCATCCAGATCCAATGCTTTTGATGCCTTGATGTATAATCTCATTAATCAAATCATTAGTGAACATTTCTATTTGCGAATCTCATAGAAAGCAAAGGCATTGCGAACGAAAAGTCTGCAAAATTATTTCACACCATACACTGTATCATAGGTAGAAATACTATTTAAATTTATCGCCTTATTGTTGTGACGTAATAGAGTAGTTAAACAATTTGGAGATCATTATTATACAAATGGTCTCTCTTATTATCACGACGATGGTTGTCCACCATGTTCTAAGTTTCGGTGTTAAGGGTTTTTATTCGTAGATTGAATGGAGATAGTAAACCACTAGAGAATGTCAAATCTGAGGACACCACAGCTCAGTTGGGAAATTGGTGATTTATATTTTTTAACACAACTCCAAGTACCGGGTAAGCCCATTTCAGAATGGATTTTAGAAAATATAGCTATTTTGTGAAACCTATTTTACTACGATATATACTAATTTTAGCTTGCAAATTTGTACATGACAAAGTGGCGTGTCCATTCGTTCTTTGTATAGTCAATGAAAAAAAATGAAAAAATTACCTTACTGCACTAATATAGTTGTCAGATTGCCGTACCCGGGTAATTGGATTCGCGCCCATATAAATTTTTTTACCACATAATTATTCTTTCAACAGATTATGAAGTGCAGATTTTAAATTCTGTTGTTCACCCAAGTGCTAATATACAAGTCTTAATATATAACTCACATTTATCATATACAAAATATAATAATGCATACATAATAATTTGCTGAAACAATTATGTATTAAAACAAACAATGGCATCCAATTCCTACGAATATTTCTAATTGTAATCTTAACGACATATTATCACGGTTTGTTTACTCTGGGTTTTTGAATTTTCACTGAAAAGAGTCGTGGGAAATAAATATATTTATATTTGTTCAAAAAAAATATTTTTTTATATATTAGGTGTACCGGTATGAAATGAGTGTTTTTTGGTGAAAATAAAACACTAATTATCAATAAGAAAGTAAAAAACATTTTATTCAAAGTATTGGCCATTGCTTTCTACACATTTTGACCACCTTTCTGGCAATTTGTGGATACCACGCCAAAAAAATTGTTCGTCTTTTAAAACAAACCAACCAGACACTCAATTTTCGACCTCCTCGTAGGAATCAAAGTGCTGCTCAGCCAATGCGTGTCCCATCGATGAAAACAAATGGTAATCGGAAGGAGCCAAGTCTGGTGAATACGGCGGGTGGGGTAGCAGCTCCCAGCCAAGTGTTTTAATTGCATCCTGAACCCGTTTTTCTTTGTGTGCAGGTGCATTGTCATGGAGCAGAATTACCTTGCCGTGTCTTCTGGCCCATTCTGGTCGTTTTTCGATCAATGCATAGTTCAAATTTATCATTTGTTGTTCATAGCGACCAGCATTGACGGTTTTACCAGGTTTTAGGAGCTCGTGGTACACCACACCTTTCTGGTCCCACCAAACACACAGCATTGTCTTCTTGCCGAATCGATCTGGTTTTGCAGTCGATGTTGATGGTTGTCCCGGATTAACCCATGATTTTTTCCGTTTAGGATTCTTAAAATAAATCCATTTTTCATCGCCAGTAACAATCCGATGCAAAACCGATTTTCTTTCGTGTCTTTGAAGCAAAATTTCACAAGTGTTTTTTCGGTTTTCCATCTGTCTTTCATTCAATTCATGTGGCACCCATTTTCCACACTTTTGGATCTTTCCCATAGCTTTTAAACGGTCAGAAATTGTTTGTTGTGCAACATTTAACATTTCTGCCATTTGCTTTTGACCCAAAGTGTCATCTCCATCCAATATCGTTTGCAATTCGGCGTCTTCAAACTTTTTTGGCGGTCTTCCACGTTCTTCATTTCTCACATCAAAATCATTATTTCTGAACCGTTGAAACCATCTTTTGCATGTTGCTTCTGATAGAGCATGATCACCATATGCCTCGACAAGCATTCGATGCGACTCTGCACCACTTTTCTTCAAATGAAAACAAAAAATTAATGCTTTCCGCAAATCATCACTTTCTGGTACAAAATTCGATACGGTGAAAAAATATGATGTTGTCTGTTCAATGACTTGATGTATACTAAATATATTTCACACATGTCATAGCAAACAAACAAAAAAAAAAAAATAGAGAAACATTTGGATCTTTACGCTCACTTCATACCGGTACACCTGCTAAAATCAACAGTTTATAATCAAAAATCAACATACTATAATAAAACATCAATTTAAAGCCAGAATATATTGAGGTTTTCTTTAATGTGAACTTTGTAGGTTCTGATAAAGACTGACAAAAAATTACCATTCGAATGACCTACTCAAATCCGATGTACCACATCGCAGGTAACTTGGTTAAGTTGTTATACTATACTAAGTATATAACAAAAAGTCATATGTAGCACATTTGTCCATCATTATTTATTTATCACAATAAATTGTTACAGTACAGTAATAGTGTGAGTTAAGTTTTGTATGAAATGTTTATATTAGTAATATTTTTCACACTTCACACGAATAAGTCTAAAATTTTCTTTATTTCATTTATATTTAACATAGAAAAAAATATTTTTATTCATAATTCTCTTCGTTCTCACCATATATGTATATAGATAGCATTTTATATAATTTCGAAATTGAATTTACATACAAATAAATGATCATTTATATATATATATATATAAATAATATAATATAATATGTAATTAAAATATATATAAATATATTATAATATAATTATAATATATAATAACATCTATATTATATACTTTATAATATATAATTGGTTTAAATGGTATACAATATGTATAATGCACACCATATGTATAATATATAATACCTTTATAATAAATATATATATATATTTATACACTATATAAAATTTTAATGAATGTATGTATGCATACATTATTTATATATTTATTTTCAAATTTTTATACTTCTGTAGTAGTTTGCTCTTCTAGAGTTGGAATATCGTCTTGTAGTTTCAGGACTTGTAACCTTGGGTTATAATAACCTGCTAAGTAATATGTATCATTGTTATCATATATTGATTGATATTGCTTTGAATCAGCGCCAAATTTTAAGAAATAACGCTGAAATGGAAGAACTTCACAATGATGTGAAATAGTTTGCACATCGTTTTCATCTTCATGTGGTGATTCAAATAAAGCACCCTGCAATTCAAATTATAATATAAATAACATAAAAAAATAAATGAAATTTAAAAATCTATTCAGTGTTTTTTAAGCTCAACGTAGATTACATTAAATATTTGCTTTCAATTGTCTTACCGGAAAAGTTAAATTAGGACATCCTATAGTTTCTTCAGGATGATAAAACCAACGCACTCGCACAATCTTATTACTAGATGTAGTTTCCCACATTGATTCAATCCGTCCTATATATGGCCTATCCGGTCTTCCAGTCGACAAAAATACTGCACAATCCCCAACCTTTAAAATATTTTGTGAAAAAAATATTTTTTTACTGAATTAAATTTATATGCACGTACAGTAATTGTTTCCTTTCCTCGTTTAATAGCTTTATAAAACTGTTTTCTAGCTCTCCCTTTAACACCAGCTTTTCGATATGCCTTACCCATCCAACCCCAAAGTTGACGTTCAGGTAAAAAAGCAGCAATTTTACTCCCTTTCGAATTATTATGCTCTACTTCATCCTCACCCTTAACCTAAAAATCTTTATTTATTTCTAAACGTGAAAAGATATAAATATTTACTTACCTCATCAGAAATTTCTGACATCAAGTTAGATGCAGATTCCTCGTCTAAATCCAAATTAACGTTTTTAACTTTAATTGCACCACTAGTTAGCAAAACTCCTGTCTCATCGGTAGGTTTTTTTGTGTTACACGTTTCATTTAAGCTATCAAATCCAATTTCCTCTGTACATATCTCAACCGCTTCAATTTCGTAATTTGCATCATTGACTTCTACTTTATCGTTTTCAACAATGGGCAATCCTTTACGATGATGTTTTTTATGTTTCTTGCGTTTTTTACGTTTATGATGTTTACGTTTAGATTCACTGCCATCAGCAGGATTGTTGATGTTTGTTGGAAGAATATTATTCGATATTGCAACTTCTGTTGTGTTTTTATTATGTTTTTTCTCCACACGCTTTGAAATCTTGTCAAAGGTCGGTTGATGCACTGTACGAGTTGGAGGAGTTGATCTAGAATTTTTTTCTGCCATCAAGGAAAATTCTTCTCGCTGTTGTACTTCTATTGAAGCAGATTTCATATTGGTTTTTTTCTGTTTACCTAGAGAGTATAGGGGATTATCGTTGTACTCTAAAGGAATGTAATAGAAAAAATTATAATAAAAATAAATTATAATGTAAAATGTATTCGCGTGGCTAATATATAACAGACAACTACAAACAATTTTCGCTTTATAAACTTTAGGTATAAAATTTACATATTTTTAACACTGTGTTCCAATGCTAATCATTTTTGACTGAAATTACCGAAGCAATTATAAATTTAAGCTAAAAATAAGCTATAAAAATTATATTCCATAATTTATTTTAAAAATAAAGACAAATATAAAATACCAAAAAGCTTAAATGTTCGCGAGATTTACTTTTTACTTGTTAATAAAACATAAAAAATTATATTAAATATAAAAAAACCAGCAAAACAATTAAAAACTAAAGACATAAAAGCTAAGACTTTCATTTTTTATATAATTTTTTTATATATATTAATGGTATTCAAGATCTTGTATAACTATCTCAGTAACCAAGTGGATAAAAATAAAAAATACACTTTGTTAAAGTGTGTTTTATTATTAATGATCCTTATGTACTTTTTACTAAGTTATTTGGTCACCGAGTTCATTGCTAAAGATTGTGAATATTCCTATTGTTTTTATCGCTTACCAACAATTGGATAATCGCTTAATAAGAATCGAATATTTTGCAAGCGGATCCTGCCGCTATCTCCATCATCGAATTCAACACTTACAAAGTCTTTCATTGTTTCATTATCGTCAGAAGACTCAGGTTCAATAGCACGACCTGGGTATAAACAACGATATTGTTGACTCCAATATGCACATAAACGTGTACCAATAGGCACACTTTCCATATTTTTTGGTGTTACTTCCAAAATCTATTATATATAAAATCATATATTAAAATAATTATATTTGAATAATTATGTTATTAGTATTATATGTATTATATATTTAAAGAAGTTTAATTTAAATATACTCACAGTATCCTTAAATATTTCTTCACGTGACATTATATGTGACTTATTACCACGCTCTCCATCTAATGTAATTGCATAAACATCTGGTGGCTGTAATGGTTTCATAATTCCAGCATAAAAAAGGCCGCCCATATCAGTTAACACTCGTGTTTCTTTCTGATATAAGTGTTCATTAGTTAATATAAGTTCTTTATCCTTTTGATGAGTTTTTCGTGTAAAATCTCCCACAGTCTGCACGTTTATAATTCTAGATTCTTCGGATTTATTTAGGTGTGCAGAACAAACGGATGATGTCATTTTCATTAGTTTACGTTCTTTGTATGCGGGAACTGTTATAAGGTTTGTTTTAGATCCTGATAAAGAGTGCTTTTTAACCAGCCCCAAACACAAATTTCTATTGTCAAGAGCTGTAGATAACGCACTCGGTTCTAATCGCACTGGTTTATATGTACATGGTGAAACTATAGAAACTTTTTCACCAGTTTCGTCATTAAAATCAACATCAGGTGGTGGAAATTGTGCAACTGTTTGATTTGATTTCTCAGTAAAACGCAAAAATGACGGATTCAATAAAGTAGAACTATTACTTAAACCACTTGAAGTGGAAAATTTTCCAAACTTATAATCAGAAAGAGGCAATACTGATGTGAGTAAGTTACCATTTGCATTATTTGAATTTATTGGCAAGCCATTTTGATTTCCAAGTAAAAGTGCAGACGCTTGAACCTGCTGTTGTTGAAACTGATTTGCAATCAATTTTGAACATTTTTTCTTTTTTCTATTTTTAGTAATTTCTTCTAGTTTACGTTTTTTTTTACGATATTGCCGCGTTATGTCAGCCAATCGCATCCGCATATTCGATTCCATAATGTTGAAAATTTCCTTCGGATTTGGCCATTTATAACCTTTACATTTTGGATTCACAGAACTGAATGCACTTTTTAGTTCCTCTTGCAACTGTTCATCATTAAAGTCCAAATCATTTGACAACTCCTTATTATATCTTCGTTTTTCTTTTGAGTATTTCTTTTTACTTTTCTTAGTACATCGCGTTGATTTTTTACCTATCATTAAATTGTTTTGATTTAATTTCAATGATTTGGAATGTTTATGCTTTCTACGTTTAGATGACTCAGTAACGCTGCTAACCAAATTGCTACACGTTAAAGGTAATTCTATATCTTCTAATGAAGGAAAAGCATGATCTAAACTTGACGATAACGTTTCTTTAGCTAACGAAAATGTAGACAAATCATCAGTATTTTTATTCTCATTGCTTTTAAACGTCTTATTACTTTGTGACAAAAATAGTTCACTATTACTATTTTGTACCTCTTCTTGTAATCGTTGCTCTGCAAGTGAACAAAGAAGATTTAAACCACCTAATGGTTCAACTGTCGAGGATTGAAGTTGACTTTTGTGCAAGTTTATTGTTTGGTTTATAGTACATGGGATGTCAAACTCATTGACTTGTTGTGTTACTGCGGTATTTTTAATTAATAATTGCTTTTTAAAATTATAGTCTGAATGTTCAATTGGTTCTTGCTTGACACGAACATTGCTATTGCTTTTAGCCAATGAACTTGTACTTATATTTGACAAAAGTTCGAGTCCGGTTAGATCTTCTGTTGAGTTCCGATCTACATGAGAAGTTTCACATTCTATTGTATTTTGGGGAACTGCTTGTATGTCTTCGCATATAGAAGTTTTCTCTGAATGATTTAAATCCGTTTGAAAAGATTGTTCATAAGAACTATGTTCGATTCTATATTTGTCTGCTTCGCTACTATGGCACTTAGTTCTTACTGCTGTTTCCACTTGATTATTAGAAATATTAATATATTCAGCATTTGATTTTGTTAACTCCAATGGCTGCTGTTCACATATATCTTGTTCATGAGACACGCTCGGAAGAGAATTATAGGAATCAGACGCTGGTATCGTTGAAATAGAATTTGTTATTTGTACAGTCATATGCGGACATGAAGAATTTTCATCCTCACTACATATTGGTGTATCAGTTTGTATGTTCACATCTTGCGTTTGTGGTGTTAGGCTTGTTATCGGTTGTTTGCTTGTTTGATTTACTTTTGTAATATTAACTACATGTTGTTGTAGGGTCTCATTGTTCTCATCTAAATGACTTTTCGAAGTGATATTTGTTTCGTTTAATGAAGTTGATGATCCATTTGATGTTATGGATAAATTTAACAAAGATGATGTTGGTTCAGGCTGGTAAAGAAGTTGAGATTGTGTTGCTGGGATTCCCACCGTTTCCGTTGTTTCTGATGTTGGAGGAGTAGGTAAACGTACCAAGTTTAGAGCTTGAGAGTTACTATTTTGTAAGTTTATTAAAGTGGTTGAATTCGATATAGAAGCACTTTTGTTTTCTCGTTCAATATCTATGCCTGCATGTGGTTGTTCAACTAAGTGGTGCAGTGGCGTAGATGACGAGAATGTTGAAGTTGTTTTTGTAGCGGTAGTCATAAACTCAGAAACGCCATGAAAATCTTCAATTTTCATATTTGGTGGAACAATCAGAGATGATTGAGGTGTTATTGGAATTGGTACAGGCATATGTTGCTTTTGTTGCTTTTGGGAATCAATTGGTGGTAGTGCCGATATAGCAGAAGACATACCTAAAATACGATTATTGATACTGTTGCTGTTACTTGTACCAGCTGATCCCGTTACAGAGAAAGCTGACGAACCAATACTTAAATTATTTGAACTCATACTGCTATTATTTGTTTGTGGATTATGCTGACACAATGTAGCTGCTGCGGCAGCTGCAGCTGTTAAATAATTAGATCCAAATAATTGCAATGATGCAGCATAGGGCTGTCCTTGTAAAGTTGTAGCTGTTGATGGAAATATAAAATTTTGAGGAGATGTGATAGCTGTAGCTGCAGATGTGTTATTGTGGGCCCATGATGGCCAAACTAAGGCCGCCGCTGCTTGTTGAAATGGATCTGTGGGTGTATAGAGTGGAAAATTCGATATACCTTTGTAGTTTAGATTAATAAACAGAAAAAAGGATATAAGACCCATTATTTTTGGAATGATTATTTCGTAAATGTTTATTTTATAATATAATACCTAAAGTAGCAGCGGTTGCGGGCACAAGTACAACTTGTCCTCGGCTTGTATCACGTGAATACTGTAACCCAACAGTTGCTGGTGACATAGAAATAACTGATTCAAGTGGAAGGGCACCTATAAGTAAAAAAATTAGTGTGTATATTGTTAGATAATAAAATATTTATAAAAAAATTACACATTTAATGTTTTTTTAGTAAAATCTATATCAATAATTACTACAAATAAAAATCTTACTTGGATATTGCCAAAAAGATTGATTAATTGATTGTGCACGATTAATATTTTGAACTCCTCCTGAATTCATTCCGAGTTCTTCTGGAGATGATCCTGACATTAAATCGCCACTTCCTGTAAAGTATAAGTTATTGCAACTTGAAGTTACTCCACCTAAAAGAATAACAAAATCTTATAATTGAAAACTACTAACATATTTAAAACAGTTTTATATATGTTTCGCCATTGAACATTCGCCATTTTTAATTGTTATTATTTGTTTTTTATTTATTACCAAATAATAATATATAATCATACTCAAAACATATTACATTTATTATAACAAAATACATTTAAAAAAGTTTCAAATTAAAGAAAATAATATTTATTTTACCGAAATCGGCGACACGAATTCCAAAACAGTTTATGTCTTTATTTATCGATTGTTGCATAGAAATTGTTGATGAATTACTTAATGTCGAAGATTCTTGCGGACGTTTGCGAGCCACTGCAATACCAATGGGAACTGGGTTACCTGAAAAATAATTTCACGTATTACATACTTATATGCATTTTTGCTTAAATAATTAAAAATGCATACTTGATCCCAGACCGCATGGCGTTGTAGTTAATGTTGCTACTGGTCCTTTACCTACATCAATAACTTTTGGAGAAGATGCTTCAATTTTTACTAACGTTGTTAAAGTTGACGACATTGTTTTGGAACTTGAAGCCGTTATTGATGATGTAGCACTACTACCAATATTAGTTGCTGTTCTTACAGAAGATGTTGATGTTTGTTGCTGCTGATGACAATTATTTGAAGTAGTAACTTCAGAAACTTGACAAGGCTCCCTTTTTATATGAACAAAAGTATAACTGGATGTAGAATTTGTTCTTTGATGATGATGAGTGGAATGGGAATTGCCTAAGGGCATTGAAGCAACTAAATGCGGTGAAGCTGTTGCAAAAGGATCTAATTGTAATGACGTTGTTGGGGAAGGTAAAATAAAAGTTGACGATGGATTGGATCGCTCAAAGTTATCAACAGGAACGGATGAAGTTAGTGTATCCGCACTGGATGCATTAAAAGTGGCCATTACACTGACACGAACTAGTTATATATAATGTTTTTGGGATTTATGTTTATGTGAAATCAACATATCTAATTCTTGTCGCCAAAATTTTGAAGGCCGCCGACAATAAAATTGCGACGCAAATCATTTGTACCCATAATTGTGAAAAACATCAAATATATTATTAAAAGCATTTTCACTTGTTTTTTTTAATACACGCGTCTCATTACATTTATTTTTTTATTAAATAAAAGTGACATAATACCGCCACAGGAGAATAAATGTCTTTTAAATATTTAAAATTTAGTTTTCATTAAATCTTGAATCTACATATTAAGAGCCACAATTTAACATATCAAAAATGTAATTCTGTAGTATACTTCTATCGCTGCGCTTTTTTTGTCCTTTCACACTTTAATATATTTTCTTTGATGAACCAACTTGCTGTTAACACAAAAATAAAATAAGACTAAATCAAGTTTTCACTTTTGCTTTGGTTAAGTGTTTCCAGATAAAGCAGAATCCAACCTAAACTTAACAACAATAAATGCAGCGCTGAGAAACATTCAAGCAGTTTAAAGGTTATCAGCTGATTTTGATTTACACTGAGGCGAGTGGCAACTATTTGTAAAAATATGTTATAGGAAATTTAACACCTCGCATCGTTCACGTTTCTATTTATGTTGTTTTAAGACTCTTCGATAACATGCGTAAACAATCTTTCCTTTACCTCAGTTTTGGCACAGTAAAAACAGTTTAACTGCCATTTTAATAAGGAACTACCCTTAAAAACTTCACATTGCCTTAAAATTACTTTTAAGATTAGAGTGCCACCTATTAACTAATTACAATCTTGTATTGTTATTGAAATTTTCGTTAAAAACTGTTTTAATTATCCTAGTATACATTTGTGTTGCAAAGTCTGCTTAATATATTTTTCTAAGTATGCATATGTATGATATATAACGATTAAAACATAAAAATTGTAACCTTCTTATCAAAGCCTACTGGAACAATATACGCTGAACAATCTCAAATAACGATATATGTATAAAATGAGCTATTTATAAGTTTAATTTATTAAGAGATAAGAATAGCTGTAATTTTTTCTTTCAGAGTTGTAAAAAAACAACTTTAAATTTCATTTAAACATATTGGCATTACTTTTAAAGTTGTTAAATGCTTTATTCATATATATGTACATATATATACATATATATGTATGTATGTTTCTTGTTGTTTTGTGTACAATATGCAATATTAAAATAGGAAACACTAAAGGTTAATTTAAAGTTAAATTTAAATTTAAGTAAAAGAAAACAAAATGAATAATAAAAATTTTTATCCTATATATTTAAATTAATTTATTTAATTAAGCATTTAAATTTATTAATAAATGAAATAATTATATAATTTTAACGGATGATTGGAATTTCGCAACATATTTCCAATGAACATTCACAATAGATTGATTTTTGGATTTGGCTGCACTAAAACTTTAGACGTAAAATTTTTTGCAAGTGAAACCTAACTCTGAAGATTTTAAGAGCATTGTTATTGCTTCTCATGTTTTCTTTCGTAAATTGCGAGTAATATTTTGCTACTCTGAAAAAAAAATTACAGCTAATAATAATACAAAAAGAATATTCAATTCATAATACATCAGTCAATAAGTGGTACGACTGACACACAGATGGTGCTGTCATTGCCAAATCTATATGACTTTTATGAAGTTCAAGTACCAACCTTCAAAAGACTATGTGTAAAATTTCATGACATTTCGATTAGTCAGGAAAAAGTGACTGCCGTTTAAGTGAAGCTGCTTTTGTTATTTTCAAAACAATGAATTCAAAACAATTTCATGTGTTAGTTTATCATTGCTTCTTGATGAAAAAAAAATACTGTACAAACTCAGTAATGGCTTCAAAAGTGTTATTCGATCTCTGCTCCATTCAAAAAAACCATTTGTTATTGGTTTGCTGAATTTAAACGTGGTCGTACAGATACCGATGATGGTGAACGTTCTGGTCGGACGAATTGGACAATTGAGGTGGTTACTTCAGAAAACATCAAAAAAAGTCCAGAAATTGGTTATATCTGATCGTAAATTGAAATTGCATGAGATAGCTGAGACCGTAAAGATATCAAAAGGCAGTGTGATTACAATTATGCATGAACATTTGACCATGAGAAAGCTCTTTTTCAAGTGGATGCCGCGTTTACTCACAGTCGATCAAAAACAACAACGTGTTGATGATTCAGAGCAGTGTTTGGCCATGTTTACACGTAATAAATCAGATTTTTTGCGTCGATATGTGACAATGGATGAAACATGGTTCCACATCTTCACTCCGAAATCAAGGAATCAAAACAATCATCATCTGAGTGGACTGCAACCGATGAACCACGTCCGAAGCGTCCAAAGACACAACAGTCAGCTGGGAAGGTTATGGCTTCAGTATTTTGGGATGCACATGGTATAATCTTCATTGACTATCTCAAAAAGGGAAAAACTACCAATAATAACTACTACACGGCATTACTGGATCGCTTGAAAGCAGAAATTGTGAAAAACCGAGCGCATATGGCGAAGAAAAAAATTTTGTTTCACAAGTCAATAAAAACGATGGCAAAATTGCACGAATTACACTTCGAATTGCTACCTCATCCACCGTATTGTCCAGATCTGGCCCCCAGCGACTACTGGCTATTCGCTGATTTTTATGTAAAAGACAAATCCTTCTACAAGCACGGCATCGAGAAGTAAGAGAAGCGTTGGAATGAATGTATTGCTCGTGAAGAAGATTATATTGATGAGTAAAATCGGTTTTTGGCAGAAAAAATTTGTTTTTCTTAGTTAGTCACCCGTATTATTGACTGATCTGTTGTTTAATTTATTTACGTAAAAATTAAAAAATGTCTCCATTAATTCAAATAGATCATGAAGTAAATTACTAGAAAAAAAACCTAGAAAATTAAAAACAAATTTGTCAACTATTAACATGTGTGTTTTCTGACCAAAAAATAAAATTTCTTTCATATATTCCTCAATAAGAGTTCATATATTCATAGCTTTTTAACTCTCTTTTTAACTTTAATTTGAGTATGCAAACAAGTGAAGAATGCAACTTAAACGTAATTTATTTAAATTATTAATATACTAAATGGAGTATAAAAAATGCAAATCAAAATTCTTTAAATACATTGGAAAAATTGGAATAAAATTTAAATAAAACTTTGGATTTCCCTAACGTCTTTTCAAATATCATTGTTTTAAAACAAAAGTATTAGGGAAACCTTTTTTCTTGTTTGAATATTAACAAATCATATGATTATTGTTGCAAAGAAAAGATATTTATATTTTCGTAAAGGATTCCCCGTTTAGACTGCCAAAAGCTCCTATCACAATATTTCAAACACAAAATCTTTGAGTACTCTAACAAACGAAATTGTCAATAAATTTTTTTTATAAAAATCACATACACTAGTCGACATAAGTATTTTGACAAAATAAAAATCGTGCATTTTTAAGTTTAACTTTAAAATGGATTTATAAAGAATTTTTGTTTGTTTTTTTGTTTTTATTTATAACGAGCACAAAATTAAAAATAAGCAAACAAATATTTTTTCATAGAAACTTAAAAAGATATAAAATTATTAGTAATTTCGTAAGTTGGCATAGTAATTTGACAAGTATATAATACTAAAATAACCAAATTTAAACTTAACAAAAGTATAGAAAATAAGTAGAATTTAGTAAAATGTATAACCCCCTTTGGCCTCAATAACTTTTTGAAGGCGTCTCACTACTGAATTCACTAAATTTTGAAGAATCTCTAGAGACATCTCTTTCCAAAGGGAAGTGACCTCAGAAATTGTCTCCTATCTGGTTTTATTTACCGAAACTCTTATCTTTCGTTTCAAAAGAGACAAGACGTTTTCTATTATATTTTAATATGGACTTTAAAGTGACCAGTTCAAAGTAGAAACATCTTCAAAAAATTACTAATCATCCAGGCTTTGTGGCATGGGACATTATCCTGTTACACGATAAATGATTCTCCAAAAAGCCTATCTAAGGAAAGAAACGTATAATCGTTTAGAGTAGTCAATTATTAACCTCGGTTCATTGTGCCGACGATAGGAACCAAGTCACCCAGCTCATTATATGCAACACATCCCCAGAACATGACCGAGCTTCCACCCTGGTTCACGTTTTGAAAAACGGGACGTCTTATTTGCTTTTGTACCTTTGGAAGTCTTACAAAAATTGTGTTTTGGATGAGTTATACTCAAAAGAGCTTACATCTGTCCATAGAACGCTTCTCCAAAACACTTTTAGCTTGTGCAGATGTTCCTTAGCGAAGGCCAGTCTTTTAAGTTTGTTTGCTTTTGATATGCACGGTACATCCTTAGCTTTTATTGTCTTAAAATCGTCTTCCGTAAAACGTCACGAATTTGGTCTTGGCCGCCAAATTCTAGTTATCTGCAGCAGTTTGAGGCTTTAGAAATTTTTTTTTGAATTTCCTTAGAAGGACTCGTTGTTCCCGATTTCGTTAAGTTTCTTATGTTATTATGCTTTCTAAACTTATTAATTTGATAGTAAACAGTTTGATGCGAAACCTTAAACTTCTTTGCTATATCTTTGACTGCCGTTCCATTGTAAAACTTTGCTACCATTGAAGATCTGGTAACCAAACTCAATTCAGCCATATTGCCAATGTGTTTTAATAATTTGTAATTCAATAAGGTTAAATACAAATCTATTTTTTTTGTTTCCACGTGCTCAAAATTAAAAAACATTTACACAAAGATGCCAAGATTCGTTGTCTGAATGGATTCTTATCAGCACAAAGAGAATACTAACAGTAAACAATATAAAATTTGGCATGCACTGAGATAAAAATACATGCTTTGGTTTGGAATTCGTTTTTGCACCGTTATGTAGCGGTACTAAGCAAAACTAGATTTAATAGTCACAAAAAGGTTTTGCTAAAATACTTATGCCGACTAGTGCATATTTTTACGATCCATCAACGTTTGCTGACGATACAGCTATTTTGTGCCGATATATAAATGCCACAATAGCTTCCAGCCAACTACAAAATTATTTGTGCTTCGTAGAAAGATAGTTGTCACTATGGCGAATTAAAGGCAATGAGCAAAAATGTGTTCATATAACATTCTCTTTTAGCAGATCCTTCCAACTATTACTCTCAACGGAATAGCAATTCCACATACAGAAACAGTGACGTACTTTGGTATTCACCTTGACAAACGCTTAACTTGGCGAAAGCATATTGAAACAAAAAGGACTCAAATGAAGTTCATGGCTTTAAGCCTTCACTGGCTAATCGGTCATCAGTCTACTTCATGTTTAAAGTACAAAGTCTTATTATACTACCAAGTCATTAAGCCAATCTCTATGTATAGCTTACAGCTATATGGCAATGCCTGTTCGTCAAACATAGAAATCCTGCAAAGAGCTCAAGCAAAGATTCTAAAAATGATAACTGGTGCAGTCTGGTATATCAGAAAGAAATATCAGAATATCAGAAGAATATTTCCTGCCTATAGCAGGAAGTATTCTTGAAATCTTTATAGTAAGAGCTGCTAATCTTGATTTTTCAATCAATTTACTTTTTATATGTTTATTATCGTGTGTAAGTATGACAATATACTCGGCGTATTCAAATTCTTCTATATGTTAATTTACTTTCCATAATAATTCTCTGTTAACTGAAAAAACAGAATTAAGAATAGAGTACAGGGTATAGAGTCCACAATATTGCTGAACTTCGGTGAATAAGTGCTGTAGAGTTCGTATAGTAAGCCTTATAAGATTTTTGAGAATCTTTCCGCTTCTAAAACTATGCAGGTATCATTGTGATCGACAGTTTTTTTGTTCAAGTTTAAATAATTTTACTTGTTTTTTTTTTTGCTAAGGTAAGCTCAGTGTACAGCTGATTGTTGCATATTTTCAAAGTTCTTTTTTTTTTTTATAGTTTAGAATTGCATATATTTCTAAAGAGGTCATACAGAATTTATCTATGTTGCAGCATCAAATAATTGGTTTTTGTTTAATTTACCCGAGAGAGTAGAGTTCTTCTTCAGATTTTTCTTTTTTGGACGATCGACAGATTTATGGTTTATATACTTCCATAAACCGATTGAAATGAAATACACGTAATGTAAATGTTTAGTTAACGAAAAAAAAACTATGTAATAAATTTTTTTGAATTGATGATTAATTCTATTAATTAAATACAATATTTGACTTCTCTAAATCTCGATATTGATATTTTTTCGTTAACACTATTTACACATTAGGATGAATTTTCACTGTTTCATCATTGCAACGCTTAATCTTAAATCGACTGCACTATTCTCTTCATCAATAGATGGAGTATAGACTAACAGACTGCAAAAATAACAAATTCTATAAGATGTCGCAGTTCGCTCTTATACATTTCAGAGCTTTTGTTGAAGTGGACCAACATTAGATGCACAACAACAATTTGTTTTAGCCAGTTAACATTATCCACATTTTCTTGATACCATATATTTTGTTATTATGATTTTAACAGAAATGAATACAATTCTGTTAAAGCAAGTAAGATCAAAACATGCATTTGGAATTGATGTTTATATGGCGGCTTTACTAGACAAAGCAAATTGTTGCTAATTTTTACTGCTTTAAGCAAATAATTTTTTTGTGAAAATTAATGAATGGAAGAAAATATATGCTTATTTATTTGAAGAAAACAAATTTATTATTTTTGACTAATGCAAGCTATTCTAAAATTTAGAAAGCAGTGTATCTCTTTTATCTAAAAGAGCTTTTTATTCAAACATTATTTTAAAAATGTTTTCTGATATCTATTGCTCTCTTCATATGTGTCTCTTATTTACAATTAATATTAATTGAGATCAACTGTGGTATGATATATGCGAAATACAGTGGAAGAGAGACGACATCAAAGAATGCATTGTTGACAATGAGGAAAAACAATAAAACTGAAAGTAGTTCTATTTACTGTACTTGTTTGCGGATTGCTTTTCTTTCTAACAATCTAAAGATTTCTTATCAACCGAAAATATTTTAAAGATAACCCATTGACAAAAATGAAATCATAACATGTATCACAATTCCAATTAAATTTAATACAATTGCATTTAGTTTCGATCATTTCAAAATATGAATTTCTATATAAAACAATTATCTATTCATTTTCACAGCACATCTGATGTAAAATATAGAGCAACTGTTTTTTATGCAATGTTATGGTATTATTATAAAAGTCAACCATTATTTTACTATAAACAATCTATATTTTCAATAAATTAACTTGATCATGTGCTGTTAACGAGAGTGGGTTTCGATGCACTTTTCAACAACATATTAAGGATAAGTTCATGTGATAACTGCATAACAATATTCCTAAATCTATACATACATAGAAATATGAAATAATTAAAAAATCTGTAAAATAAATCAGACAGTACAATCATACTAAAAGTTGAATGTTTTGAATAATTATTATAAAAAAGAATTTAGTAGGGATTTCATTTTTAAATTCTCCACACTTCTCAAACATTTTAATTGCATTTTGTCATAGTTAATCTTTGAAATATGTTCGCGTAGTTTTAAATTTTATTGCAAACTTATTATTGAAAATATTTAAAAAATCATATATCCATATGTTATAAGCATCTTAACAAATTTGATATGTCATTTATTCACAATAACTAAAGCTGTAAAACTTCAGGCCTCGATTTCGTTACCTCATAAGTAATATATATTGAAAAGAATGGCAAAATTTTGTTTTTTTCTTACATTTAATGCATATTAAAATATATATTACATATAAATTCGTCTTAAATCTTTTGGCGTTGTAATCACATTGCATTGAGGACAAAGTTTTCTCATACCCAATGAACGTAACCAACATTTATCGCAGTGTACATGCCAACAGGAGACAGAAATCGCTGGATTGCGATAATCATCTAAACATATTAAACATTTGTACTTATTTGGTATCTGATTTTCATATTGGCGTAATTTAATCTTTAAAGAATCAATAATATTTATAAAATGAGCAGGAGAACTCGAACTTGTTGGTGTATGCATCGTCGATTCACTCACTGCATCTCCTCCAAACATTTTTCTCCTATAGTCAGTATTTGATAACTCTTCGGTTTCATTATTTAAAACAAATTTATTTAAAGCAGGCATGTCCTTCGAATGTTCGTTGCTTTCAATATTTTCATTTGTTTCAACGAATGCTGATGATAAATCATTTTCGCTATACTGTGCCGGCCCATATACTTGAGTATCGTCTTCATCTACATTTAAATCCTCTTCATTATCACTTAAATTGGTATGATTCACTATAGTCTGTCCAATACCAATTGCCGCATAACCGCCTTGAAGTAAACTTGAGACGCGTATCCGTTTCTGACCAGCCCATTCATATTCTTCATATTCATCAATACCTTCATCACTAATGCTGCCATTTCTAGTGTTATTCTGCAAACAATCTTCTACGTGGTTTTGAATTTCATCTTTCAAATAAATATTGCCACAAAGTGGGCACGGATGTTCTGGTAATGTTTGAGGTCGTTTTCTTAAACGTTGCTAAATACATAAAATAATTAAGAAAATATAATATCGATAGTTATTAACTAACTTTTAAACGAGCCTGACGATTTCTTTGCACTCTTTTAAAATCCGTCCACGGTCTACAGAGTTCATCAGTGCTATTTTTTAACGAATTATTTCTTAATTCTGCAGCAGTCTTTTGCTGATCTTCTTTTAATCGTTCAAGTTCCTGTTTACAATGATTATCAATTTCAAAATTTTTTATCCTCTGATTACAAGAAGGACATTCGACTGAGTCCTCTTCACTATTAACAAATTGACATGAACGTAATGACCTATCTGATGTAGTTTCCGACATATTGTAACTTGAATATAATATTTGTTTAATTCGTCCAGCGATTTTTCACAAAAAGTAAGATTGATTTTGAAACTAATTAAACAAAACTGTGTATGTTCATTGATGACAACTACTTTTTATGATAATATGTGTATTATATGTGTAAAATAACAGAGTTGCAATTTATTTTAAAAATTATTTTAACTGCATTAAAGTCTTGCAACTAATTACATTTAATTAGTTTATTAAGCTAACTAATTTTTTAATATATTTTTACACTAGTTTTTATTATTCTTTCGTCTCCGACTACCTTTAATTATATTAATCAAGTTGTTTCTTCCATTTATCCTGATTCTAATCGGTTAGGTTATAGAGTATATAGAGAATATGTAGAGAGCATATATAGATGCTAAAATGAGCATGCTAAAAATGAAATTCATTTCATTTGTTAACTAATATGCACAAATAAATAAAAACACATTACATAAATAAATTTATAAACTCATGATTCGTAATAAATCAAAAAAGTAATAACTGTTTTAATTTCTTTTAAACATCGATTAACTAATCGCAGTGAGTAAAATGCAAATGAACAACTAAACAACTAAGGACTTAACAAGCAGTTATCTACGTATAACAAACAAGTGATTTAACAAGAGGTAAAAATATCGGATAAAAATTCTATAATTAATAATTATATCTTTATATACCAATTTTCAAGTTATATTTAAATTCGAGATACTCATAAGTATTATATTTATATCAAACACATTTTTGTTTCGACAAGTGGAAAGCATCGAAAGCCACTATGTAAGACTTAAACCCACTAAACGACTTCTTAGAAATACAAGGTAGTCAAATTTTATCCTGCGGACAGTAAGATCAAGAGCTGAAACTGTATTCCAGTAATCAAGAAAATGGCAGATATTAGAATATAGAAGGTTTAGCAGTTAGATAACAAAAATATCTAAGCCAAAATTGGAATCGGAATGGGAAGTGAGGGATGGAAGAGAGGTTGTTCGTGCTAAATACTAATTACTGACTAAGAGTAAACTGTCAAACCGTTATTGTTGTAACTCGGTTGCAGAGCGAAATTACAGGAGAAACGGGGATGATGTCGTCTAAATAATGGGACAGGAATTATAGAGGGTTCTGCGTCAAATTATTAATTATGTCGATAGAAAATTAAGCTGGGTGAATAATATCAGAGGGATAATTATTATGCCTGTTAAAGTATCTTCGCGCTACGGATCACTAGGGATAGTCATCTAAAGGCTTGATGTCGAAAGATTTGTAGATAGCGAATTTGGGAAAGTGTCTGCTATCGAGTCTGCGTTATCAAACTAATTGTACAAAATCGTTCTTGTGGTTAAAGCTAGACCATAAAGTTTAGACTTTTGTAATTATGTCGACATATCTGCGACCCTATGTGTCATTATGTGTAATGCAAAATCCATTTAAAAATATGCTAAAAATGTTAGATAATTATAAATACAAATATGATATTATGACCATGTGCAAGTTCGAATAAATAATAGTAAATTGAGGGAAATAGTAAATTATGTCGGTATGGCAGCGAATGTTGGTATTTACCAGAATTTCGACTAAAAATTGGGTAAAAAAGGTGTTTTCATTGTAAAAAAATATCAGATGTTTCATAAATAAATTTGAAAACTTTTAACCAAAAATAATAAATAAGTGCAATAAATCTATATATTTTCATAAGTGTAATCCAAAAAATCCCTTTAATATTTCAATTTATTTCATCTCAATTTACTCGAACTAACACAAGGCCTATATATATCCAAATTATTTATATACTCGATCTCTGTCCTTTTTTTGATTGAAAACGTCTTACTCATACTTATTTCGCTTAGAGTCGAGTATTGGTTTGTCAATATCTTGTCGAACTCGAATATGTCGTGACTCCTATTCTTCGAATTATTCTAAAAAAAATACATATGTCATACTCTATTGTGAATAATGTTATTTATAATGGATAAAAATTATGATAAAAATAAGCCTTTTCTTTTGTAAGCATGCCGCAAAAGAACAAATAAAATAAACACTACTTTCCATAACAACTCTGGACAAAATGGAAATTTTGTTAGGCTTTTATGTGCAAAATACGTAATAAAATTTAAAGTTAAAATTTCGAAAATAAATAGAATTTCTTTGCAATTATTGATACGAATATTTTTTTTTGTGAAACGCTTACAAAAGAAAAGGCCTAATATGGTAATAACGACCCATGCCACACTTGAGTAATTTTTAAAGATTAATTTTTGCATTAATTTTTTATGACTGCTACACTTGATAGGATTTGTTTTTTTAACGAGGATTCAAAATCAATAAAAGCTTAAGTCTGCGGGATTTTAATCCATTAAAAATATGACTTCATGTCCAGACGGAAAGTCCCTCCTAGAACTACCGTAAAATATTAAATCAGAAGACGTCGTGAGCATCAGCACAAATTGTTAGTTAGGACGTACGAGTTAGTAACAGTCTCATTTCTTGAAAGACTGCCTCTCTGGTGACGGACCTCGATGGCACGTAGTCATTCAATAATTCTCAATTAAGTCATGATCAACCAATTATACGTAGCGCGCTTAGCCGGTATGTACTTATTGCGCCTGCAGCGTATGTGATTATTATGTGAAGTTATTGTCACAACTTGTGATAGGGAAACTGTGACTCTAACCGCATTCTCATTTAACGCCTTTATATGGTCTCTAAAGGTGATCCTGGTATCTATGAGAACACCCCGATATCGCAGGAATGGATTTGAGGCTATTCGGAAGATCTCTCTCGTTGTTTGAGTACTGCGAAGCATCCCTTCTGTTCTTTAAACCGTTAATTGGAGTCCATTTTCGCGAAGCCAAATGGTTACTTTATCAACAGCTGCTATATACTGCTGCGTAATTTCCTCTATCTTTTTCGCAATGACGGTGATTGCAAGGTCATCAACGCAGCCAACGCTTGTGCAGTTATTTGGAAGGACGACCTCAAGTACTTCGTCGTACATCACGCTCCATAGTGCAGGACCAAGTACGAAGCCTTACAGAACAGCACAAGTGACCGTGTACTTGCGAACGATTCCAGCTTCTGCCCGGACCTGAAGCTGTATACCGCTAAAGTAATTACACACATTTTTGTACCACTTCTTCTTCACCGTAAGTGGATTCACGGGCAATGTCAATGGCGTGCGATGTACACCTCTCTTTTTCGAAACCGGATTGCCGCTCACTAAGTTCTCCGAGGTACTCCAGGGACTTATGCAAGCGATTGACCATAACAGATCCCGGAGTTTACCCCAACAGACAAAATGATCGATACGCCGTTGGATTCTGCAGATCTCTCTCCGATTTAAGGAGTAGGACCACGTCTTGCTTTTTGCAAGTGTTTGCAAATACGTTTGGTTCAGTTTTAATTGCCGCAATAAGCGCTCACTAGCGATGCCGTCTGCGCTAAGTGCCATATTGTTCTTATGCGCTTAGTAGAAGCATTTATCTCATTAACTGTGTCCTGCGGTATTGTAACCAAGAGAAGAGGAGTACCGGGAAAAACACCCTGTCATCCGTTGGTGGAATCAACGTAGTCACTATGCGGTCTATTACCAGCGAATCCGTCGATTGAGGCATTCTATCGTCACGAATCAAGAGCATCACCATCTTATAGGCTTTCCCCCCAAAGGTTAGCGTCAGCATTCTGATATAGTTCACTAAAGGAGCGCTTCCTGCTCTACTTCATTTTAGTTGTCGTAGAATTGTTGTGAGTTTTCATTAAACCAGTAGGCTGGTTTTATAGTTGTTTATCGCGACGCTCGGGATTCGGGGCGGCGTCACAAGCTACAATTCATTTGAAGAAACTGTTGTCGCCTTGCTAGCAGGAAACTTCGACTACTCAGCATTCTCGCACCAGACCAGTTTGAAGATATTGTTGTCGAAAAGTCATTTTTTTCATCTCAAGCAGACATTTGTAATGCGCATTGGCGGCATGCAGAGTTTAATGATAGCACGATGATTACTATGCAAGTAAATGTCTTCAAGTGGCTATTTTATATTTTTTGCTAGCGTGTCGTAAGCAAACGTTAAATTGATGGCAGATCAATTTCTACCTGTATCTAACGTATGTTCGCCAGTCTTAAGAAGCACAACATCCATTTTAGAAAACCACCCTAAGGGCACTCAGTCTATGGTGTTGCTATGATAGACACCCCAAAAAATGAACCAACCGTTAAAGTCTCTCGCAATGACTAGTGGAGACTTACCCCTGGTTTCTGTCGGAATGTCGGAGCATTGTTACTCAAATTTCTGTAAATCCAAACTTGGAGGAGCATAGCAGGAGAACATGAAGATCTAATCTACCTTAACCCAAGTAAAAAAGCGTCGGCTAACTGTAGTAGAATATTAAAAGGCTCCACAATACTTTAAAGGAGGAGTCCTAAATCCACAAGGATCTCGTTTCGTCATGATGTTGTTCACACAGAAGAGTTATATTCATATTTCATATTCATAAGCCATATGGAAAGCTGGTCCTGTGCAGCCCTGTAGTGATTGAGATTGATTTGCACAATCCTCATTTAAGCAGTTTTTTCACTGCCTTCTTAAATTCCGAACAGCGCGCGTTTCCAAACACGTGCTTGCCTCCACATAGGACCCATTTGCTGTACTTGTTGCACTCAGAGGCAAAGTGGTCCTGCTCACCACATTTTCGGCTATGATCTTCTGGGAATTTACGGTTTGAAGATTTGCGATCAAAGCGCCAACATTTCATAAAGCGTTTCGGTTCCACACAGTCCATGACTCAACAGTTTGACCAACTGATGCGAATCTTTCTGAGTTTGAGCAATTTATCTGCATGTGATGCCGGGAGTTTTATAAACGCTATTATTAAACCTCGTTGTTTTCCACCCGCGATGCAGATGTTGGTTTCTCAAGTTCACTTATCCCACTTTCCAGATGAAAAACACCGAAAATTTCCTGTTCGGATGTGATTTCGTCCTGGTCTTTGATGACCACTGTCTTACAGTGAGTCAGTGCCGCCACACCTACTAAGTCGCCAAGTACAGTTTCCACTGCTGACTGAAAAGCCACCGTGTAGCTTTCTGGAGCCTTTTTAAGCTCTAGCAGCAACTCATTTTTAACAGTCGTGTCAAACTCAACTGACCGAGCCGCCAAGGTCCTTAAGCGATTAATCATTCCTTATGGACCTGAAGATATCCCCTAAGCTCTTCTCCGAATAAAGATTGCATCCGACTTGGATCGCAGGCGCGGTTTTATTTCCATTCCCACCTTTTTCCAACCCTGGACTTGAGTATTTTTTTTTTGAGGAGGCTTTCCAGGTATTTTCGTAGGTGTGTGATATGCCTTTATTAAATAATTGTTAATTTCAAAGTAATTTTATTTAAAATAAAGAATTTTAAAATTGAAAATTAATATTACAGTATAAATGAGTTCCAAATGTACATACAATGTACATTCATACATTTAGTATACCAATCATATACAGTAGGCTCGCAAGTGTTGTAAAAAAACAGCAAGTTGCTGGTCTATGCTGCAAAACAACAACACTATATATGCAAAACAACAACACTATTTTATCTATCTAGCCCAATAGTTATTTACTGGCCAAACACTTCGACCAGTAAAGAATAAAGTGTTACCAACGCAATAAGCGAACTATTGTAAATCTTCATTGGAAATTCCAACGTATGTTGCAATCATATGTCAAAAATCATATGTAAACAAAAATTCAAAAAAAATTCAAAAATATAAATTTAAAAATTGGGAAAAAAGAAAAAATTTCAGTGTTTTATTATGAAATTTCCAACATTCTTTTTAATTCTTTTTATTTCTGTATTCATTTTAATTATCAATAGCTCTTTTCGGTGGCTCACAATTACGGCAAAAAACAGCAAATTGCTGGCCTATACTGGCCTATGCTGGCCGAAATGTATGCAAAACAACAACACTATTTTCTCTACCTCGGCCAGTATAGTTTACCAACGCAATAAGCGAACTATTTTGAACCTTCATTGGAAATTAAAACGAATATTGCAATCATATGTGAAAAGTTACATGTAAATAAAAATTCAATCAGAATTCAAAAATTTCATAAACTTGAAAATTGAAAAAAAAGAAAATTTCAGTGTTTTATTTTAAAATTTTCAACATTTTTCCCATTCCTCTTAATTTTCTATTCATTTTCAATTTTCAATCTATGTTTATTATTTATTTTTATACTTATACAGTATGTAATTTGCTTAATTTATGTGCACATATGCAAAATTTGCTAATTGTCAAAACATAACACTTGATAGATTGCAACAGTGATGTCAATGCTCACGTGGCCAATATAGGCCAGCAGCATTTTTTGCCATACTTGCGAGCCACCGAAAAGGACTAATATTAACACATGTTATGGCAAAATCAGAATAAACCACAAAAACTTTTAAATTTGAAAAGAAAAATGAATAAAATATTTTTAAATCGAGGTATTTCTTGCAAAATATTTTACCCACACACACATGTTTTACACGTATATAATAAAAAAAATAATTAAAAAGTATTAAAACAGTATTTTAACAAAATGTTACATGTATAATAGTTTATACCAAAATATGTAACTGTGCATGTTATACCACTTATCTGTATAATATTTAATTAATAGGCAAACAATTATTTGTTTATGGTAACACTATCATGAAGCAGTAGACCTGAAATTTCTTAGATACAATTGGCTTTCAGAGAAATTGAAGAATGTATAGAAGTTGTGTTAAGAATTGTGTTAGTGACTTTTTTAAGTATATATAAAAAAATCGAAAAAAAATACGTATTACGAAAAGTGAAGGAATAGTATTTATTGTGTAAACTAAGGAATATAAGTTAATATATAAATTCTAAAGTGCAGAAATACTATGTTATATACTAAATATATGTATATAACATAAACATACACCACTTTTTAAGAAATTAAAATAATCATTTTAATTGTTAAAAAATAGAGTGTCCCAAATATATATAAATATATATACATATATAATTAGAAAATGTCCATTAATCTTGGAAAATCGTTGCCGCAACTACAACAATCACTATTGAGCAACACCAGCAGTAACAACAACAATAATAAAATTATTGCCACTAATATTTATGGCTCCTCATCAGATTACCAATGCTCAGACTTTGACTTTGATGAATTCGACTCAGAATCCGTGACATTAGATTACTTTAAAGAAAGGTAAATTTTACTAATTGTAAAATGTATTTAGTCTTGTGGGATGATATCTCAAAATTGAACTCATTTCAATTCAAAACCATGCATTGTTGTTGTTGCTGTTTTTATTGTTGCTACAATTTATTATAATTTCTTAAAGCCCAGCATTTTTGCATATATTTTGGCATCATTTTATATTTTCAAATCTAAAAATAAAAAATTCGTGTCGCTGCTGTTTCAAAATTTGTCGTTTTATGTTGCATTCTTTTACTTTTATTACATACGCTTTTATTTGAATAAATTTGCAAATGTATTTTGTGTGTATTCATTTATAATTATTTATTTATGTAAAAATGATGTTCCTATTAATTTGGATGGTTTGTTTATTTTTTTAAATTGTTGTTTTACATAAATTTTGAAATTGTTAATTGTTTTGTTAAATTTTGTTAAAATAATTTTATAACTAATGCATTTGTTTTGATTTAACCAAATTTAAAATTTATTATATTCTATTCAGTTTTAAGTCAATCGATAGTTATATTCGTATTTCTAAATTTGGCTTATATGTGTCAATTATAGATATTTGATGTGTTTTATTATAATGATTATTTCAATTATTAAGTAATAATTTATTCTGTATACATTTTTAATCCAACTTTTGTTTAAATTTCGACAATCCAAACGGATATCAACATTGATATTCAGATTTTAATTATTTTGAAATAATTTATTTAATTAATGTTGATGTGTAAAACCACAAAACAATAACGTTTTTAATAAGCAAAAAAAAAAACGCAATGCTTTTTATTTCTATTTAACAGATATTAAGAAATGTTATACATATGCATTTATAATTAAACAAATATACAGCTACTAACGCTGGTAATCACCACTCAAATAATTGAAGTTTACCTTTACTAACAAAAATTTCCAAGTTTATATTAAGCAAATTTATAAAGGATTCAGGTTTTGACGTCTGCACTATACGTAAGTTTAAATATAAACTGATTAATTGTATGAAATATAAATATATTTGGATATACTAAAATAAATTCATAATTTATTTAATAGTTCACGACGTCCATCTCCATCGAAAATGGCTCCTACCACTACCATCGAAACTATAACAATTACACGTCCGTTAAAGGTTTGACCTCTTATAATTAAATTTTTTTTATCATTTCTATTTAGATATATAATAGTCTTGAACAAGTTAACAAACTTTATATTCACAATTAGTAAAACAAGAGAAATATTTATTTAATTGATTATAAAATAATTATATTAAGTTGCGTTATTTAAGTATTTATTGTAAATGAAATTTATTTATTGGAATAATTCTATGTAAAAAATCCGTAATATGTTATATAATTCAATTTACGTTAATAAATTAAGATTCATTAAGTTTCTTTGAATTAAAACATAGAAAATACTTATAGTTTAAAGTGTTTCATACTATGTTTTAACAAAACATTATATAATTATTATTTGTTATTTTCAGTATTTATACATTATTTTCACCTTTTATTGGAAACAAAAAGCATTCTGCCCTATAATACGATATAAAAAAGCATAGATTAAAAGCGAAGAACATTAGGTTCGTTTAGCTGTGATAAAAATATATTAAATAGGGTATTTGTAAAAAATAATGTTTAATTTTTATTAAAAAAAGTTTGTAATATTTGTTTGTCGCTTATTGGCTTCATTGTGTTTAAGAACCTCTATTTGGAAAAGAAATTCAACGTTTTAAAGGTGTTCAGAATCAACGCCTCATCTCCTTTTCGTTCGAATTGGTATGTATATCTATAGCTTCACTAATATATAATTCAATTTTAATAGAGTATATTAACAGTATATTGTGTATCGCTATACACAATTTATTGTTAAAGTCAATAAAAGTAGTCTAACCCTTTCGATTTTTACTACAGGTAAAACTATTTCTGAGTCATTAAAATCTTTCTTAGTTTAATTGTTGATGGACTTGTCGGTGAAGTAAGTTTTCGTAAATCCCGCCCTGCGGTAGTAGTTTTATATACTTTTACAACTTACAGGCTACTATACTTTTTTTTTAAGTTCTTAAGAATTTAACACGAAATATGTTTTAAAAATTGCGGTACTGCAATTTTAAGTTTTGAATAATGCTTTGATCGAGTGGCTAGCAAACATCTATGGTGTTAGATAAAGTGTGCATTATCCAAAAATAATAAATAATTAATAATTTCTGTTTTTCTCTTCCTATTTTCCTATGAAATTCACACAGTCAGTCTGTTATAATTTTACGTCTCATCTAGGTCTTTTGATGTTATTTCCAAAGAGTAGACAACTGTTTAGCTTAATATTTTTAAATGTACGCGGGTAAACTGCACTTCCAATAACTAACATCTGTTGTATTCGCTAGGCATGCACAAATTTGAACAGTTAAGCGCTTCTTTTTTTATTTTCCACCTAAACAAGTTTTTCCTTTCAAAGCTAAAGTTTTTTTGTAGAAAAGTCTAATTTCGTCTAGAATCCAGCATCATTGTAGGGCTTCTGTTTAAAAATTGTTATTATCTTCTAAGTGAACAGCAACTGTTTCACCTGATGAATACATAACATAGGATTAATTTCGTTCCTAATACGCAAGTAGTGTACTAAAAATAATTTTTTGGTATAAACGAAGTATAAGACGCAGAGCGGGAAAGTACCGATTTTTGTTAATAGCTTCACTTTGTGTTTACGCATGGTAATCTTTCTTTTTCCTTGTTTTTTTTTCGCATAGAAGTAGGTGTCTTGTTAACGGAGCACAGCGTAGAACTTCAGGTATATAAAAATTTTTTTTTGTGTGTCCGCGTTTATATTTAAAGCGCCCGTCGAATAGAATGCCTTTATAATAGAAATTTAAAAAAAACTTAAGACTAGCAACACTGCATCGTTAAAAAAGCTGCCAATTTATAAGAGCGTTCATTTAATAGACGCTCATTTCAGTGCACAAATTTGTGGTTTTTAGAGTTGATCCCATAACTTATACAGTAACAAAGAAACGAAATGTGTATAGGTGTTGCATTTCTTTTTAGCGTCGCATCTCAACTTAACGCAACAGTTTAGAGTACAGGATTTTATCAAAAATGCTTTTAGAAACCCAAAGACCATGGTATTTACATATAAAAAAATAAGCAATTTAGACCGATTAAAGTCATTATAAAAAATGTGCATCATACGTGGAACTCAGGGTCGGTAGTCGCAGACTTACAAAAATAAGGCTTAAAAGCAATTTCAGCGGTAAATAAACTTAAATGGAAAACTAAAGATCCGTTAAACATGTTTTTGGTTTCGTTCGACGCGTCTGAAGACATAAACAAAATCTATAAAATCTCGAAAGTTTAAAATACGAATCGGGCTGTGAAACCAGTTAAACAAAAGAGCTGCAAAAGGTACGAGATAAGAAAACAAGCTCGGTTAAAATAAACCTAAAACAACTAACCAATAGCGGAACGCATAAAAGTGACTTACCAGTCAAAATTGTAAAAAAACACTCTTTGTACTGTAAAAACACAAACAGAAGCCAAAATGCAATCCTAGGCACAAAAAACTAAAATTGGAAACTTAAATCCGAAGTCTAAAAATGTAATCCTTATCCAAATTTTTGAGAAATAAAATAAGCAAAAAGAATTCAATAAGCTGATTGAAAAGCGTTTAAAAAGTTTAGAAATTCTCTCGAACTCTTGAACTCTTGCTTCGTACCCAAAATATTGACACTTGCCGTATAGCTAAAATCCATCGTCTTACATAAAATTTAAAAATTATTCAACTTATCACTCAGTTCATTCAGATAATTGTACACGAAAAAGTAGCGCAATTATACTTCGAAGCAACATTAAGCATCGCCAAGGAAATCCACCTTCTGAATTCCAGTTAGTTTTAGTTGAAATCGAAGCTGACCACCAACCCTTAACAATAGCTGCTTTGTATAGTCCTCCGCGGCGTAATATAGGCAAAGAAAAATGTATTGAAGTGTTAGAGACCCTTGGAGATAAATTTATTCTTGGTGGCGAGTATTTTTATTGCTAAAAATACTTTTTGGGATTCGAGACTTATTACGACTAAGGACTCGGAACTTCTTAAAGCTATTCAACAATCTGGTTGTGAAACAATATCGACGTAAAAACCTACTTATTGGCCCACAGATGAAAGTAAAATACCTGATCTTATTGAATTTTTTAATTTCTAGAAGTTTAATGGAAATAAAAGATAAATAAAAGCTTATCTGGACTCGGATCATTCCCCAATATTTTTAAATATTTGCAGTTCTATTGTAAAAAAAGAAAATCCTTTTTTTTGGTTAATAAATAGGTAGTTTGGAAGCTTTCTAAAACAGTTGTAAATCAATCAATGATGATCCATGTTACCGCCATGGAAGATCAATACCAACTAGAAAGCGATATAGAAAAATTTCCACAAAATATACATAAAGCTTGCTGGAACAGTACTCCCCTTATAAAGCAGGTTACTACTGGCTGCAACTATTCCAATGAAATTATATAAATAATAATCAAAAAACGCAAACTTAGCCGGAAGTCGCAAATGACCCGATCTCTTGGAAATAAGTCCCTGATCAATAAAGTCTGTAAAAGATTGACTAAAAGGATAAGACATCTTAAAAACAACTCCTTTAAAACATTTCTATGTAGCTCTGGAAGACAACAAAAAATTTTACACAACCAGTGACACACTTCTCGCCATTATAGCTTGAAAATAATTGCGCAAACAGCAATAAGCAGAAAGCATAAGTTTTTCCGGAATATCTTAGATGTACTTTCACAATAGAAAATACCGAAAAGAATATTCCGGCTAATATAAAACCAGACAGCAAAGTGACCATATCTCCAGCTTCTGCTCAGGAAATAAAGGACATCATTAAGTTTTTAAAACCCAAAAAGGCTGCTGGATTTGACCTCTTGACAGCTGAGATTCTAAAGAACTTGCCAAAAAATAATCAAATATTATTGAAAAGTTCATCGAATTTGTAATATAATAGAAACCTCACACAGGGAAGCGTTTTTGGTCTCATACTCCTTCTTCTGTTACTAATGATATCCCAGTAACAGAAAATTGTAAAATTGCGACGTTTGCTAATGATGATAGCTTTACCTTCAATTGGTTCTAATGTAATGAAATCAACTAAAACCCTCCAGCTGGCCGTTAATAATGTTCATCAGTGAACGAAACAATTGCAACTTTAGCTTAGACTTTAAACTATATTGAAAAGAGTATGTGAAAATGAAAAAACAAGAACTTGAGCTAAAGTTTAAGCTAAAAATTAGCTAATTGTCAGGCATTCAGTTTACCGATACAAAATAAACTCCTGATTTACAATCAAATCTTAAAGCCTGTGTGGACATACGGTATACAGTTATAGGGATGTACCAGTAAGAGCAATGTTATGCTAATACAACGTTTCCAAAACTAATTACTAAGAAATATTGTACATGTGCCCTAGTACATTCGTAGTGCAGACCTACATCGTGACATGGCAATCAAACCCGTCAAGGACGTCGTAAAAACAAATGCTCTTGCCCACGCATCGAAAATTACACAACATAAAAATGCAGAAGTTTTACAATTAGTCAACGCAATTGACTCTGCACGGAGATTAAAACGTATAAAACCCTCTAACCTCACTAAGTAATAAAACCTTAGCGTAGATATTTATAATTTATCAAACTAAAAATGCTTGTTAGTCCTAAGTATATTTACTAGTTGCATTAATAAAAAAAAATGTCGTAGGAAAACCATCGATGCTTAAGTACCTAGTCATACTAGGTACTTACTATAAAGATGTTATGTGAAGTAAAGAACTTCAATATTATAGTTTCTATTAAGTAAAATAGTTACTACCGTTATATTGACAAAATATTTATTATTAAAAATTATATTATATTATTTTTCAGGTTATTGCTTTCATATGCGGTGTGATTGTTGTCATATTAATGATAATGGCGTTAGCATCAACTGATTGGCTTATGGCAGCAGGTTGGAGACAAGGACTTTTCGTACATTGCATTGAAGAAGACGTCATTTCACCACTTCCATTTAATATAAATGAACCACCCGGTTGTTACAATAGCCGCGATGTTTGTAAGTTAATATAATAATATGAATTTGAATAGAAATTATCTGTTTTTAGAAGTATTTAGTATTACGTAGTTTTATTTAATTTGTTTGTTTGATTGTTTGTTAGGCGTCACAATAGTTGTATCAAATTCAAAAATACTTTTTTTTTAAAGTGTAAGATCCAAATTTTATTATAGTGAAATTGATTTTATTGATATGTATTTACGGAAGTTGTTATCTTGGCACTTGTTTTATATCCATATCCATATTGTTGAATGCCATCATAATAACATAGAGTACTTCATCCATTATGTAGTTGAACAACCTCTGAGACCAGATTTAAGTTAAGCAGGCGTTGATTTTTCAACATTCACTATAAAACAATCTCAATTGAATAGAACAATTCATTTTATAATTCAAGAATTAGGAGTCAGTTGTCAAATTCGGGTGATCTGTCATTTGTGTCTTTGAAGATTGAACTAGTACTTGGTGTGGTTAATCATGTTGGTGTTATGACGCTTGAATTTACCATACGTGATCCTGAACTATACTTTGAAATGAAATCACAGTTTAGAATTTTGTGGAATTTTAATGGATCAGAAGAAATGAGGCGACGTTGTCGGCAAACTTGCTTGCTTGAGCAAGTGCAACTGTCAAGAATCGGTTGATTTAGGTCTACTCAAAATCAATTTAAGGTTCGATTAAAATATTTTTGTATTAAAAAAAAGTTTTAAAATAAATTTTAAAAAATATATACTATTTGTACCGATATTTTGACTAAAAAGTACAGCCATTCAAAACTGTACATATATAAAATTTGGATATTAAAACAAAAATATATGCTTTATTTCTTATAAATTGTCTAAAATTATTTGGTTTCTTATACTCTTATGTACACTATTTATAAAATTGTACGAGCTCTTGGGACGCTGATTCATTAGAACCGGTACTTATTAATGAATATACTTATGAATTATTTCTGTAGTTAGTGTGAATACGTATAAGTGGCGCATGAGAAAACAATTTATGCGCATTTATATTTAGTTTTTATAAGTGTACTCTAAGTATTTGCGGTTCTCTGTTGCAAATTGGTGAAAGAAGTTATCCATACAAGTATTTTCATCTGATTATTTAGAATAGTTAGTGTGTTTGCTTTTAATTTTATAACCATTTTATTATATATAATTAAATTATTTTTGATTTAATTATTTCTTTTAGTTTATATAAAAGCTACTGCAGGTCTGTGCATATTGACATTAATCACAGATGTTATTGCTACAATTTTAACTGGACTCGGTTTAAAAACACAAAATCATAATTTGAAATACAAGTTTTACAGAATAGCGGTAATAGTTATGCTTTGTTCATGTGAGTGAATGTATATATAAAATAAATTCAGCAAATATATTAATTTATAAAATATAATTTATTCTTTCAGTATTAGCGGTGTTATCTGCATTGATAGTATATCCGGTATGCTTTGCCGGGGAACTTAATTTAGGTATATTAATGAATAAAAGTTTAATTCCTTTAAACAAATACTTTAATTAAAAATATTAGCTAATCGACCTATCTGGGAGTTTGGATGGGCGTATGGAGTAGGGTGGGGAGCAGCTATTTTTCTTTTTGGAGCTGTTGTCTTACTTTTATGCGATAAAGAATCTGAAGAAATTTATTACAAGGAAAGAAAAATTGTGCACGAAAATCAAATGCGCGCCTAGGCCAGGCCGCACGACCTGCCGGACGTCGTTCTTTAATTATAAGTATTTATTTTATATAATTGAAAAAGATAATTATGCATTATTTACCAAACATTATCATTAATATATATAAGAATTTTCGTAATTGACATTAAAATATTACAAAACCTCCTCCTATGTACAAAATATCAGCGTGTTCTTATACTTTTTTTATTTCGAATACTCATATATATATATACAATTTTTGTAAAAAAATGCAGTGTTTACCTGTTTATTTACTTATTGTAAAAAATATGTTATTTTACTTATGTTAATGTATGAGTAGAAATATATTGTATTTAAATTATTGTAATGTATCTTATTTTTGAAAAGAACATATTATTTGTATATATGGTTTTTTTCTTTATTTTTCTTGTTACAAATTTTTACAAAATTTTTATAAAAATATGCCAAATATTAAGTTAAATGGTTCGATCATTTATAACACAATCAATACTCAACTTTACATCTATTTATTTAGAATTTTGTTATTGTAACTCACACAAAAGACCTGCTTGTTGGGTCCCTGTTGAGAGGGATGAGGGCCATTTAGTTGTCAGTACAGACAAGTGGCTCCGAGGCATAGGCCCAGCTTCTCCTCAAAGCATTTATTTACAGTAATCTCACTTATTTGTTTTTATGGGCTTTGTAAGAATTCTTTCGTTTTATTAAATTTTTTAAATAAAATTTGTTTTTATATTTATAATAAATAGTTACTTTACACTTTTTATTTATTTTGCCTTAATTATACGAAATAATATATCAATTGTTTATATTTTTAAAGATTGTTAAGCCGGTTAAATAAATTTTTATATATTTGTAATATATATTTTATTTTTTATTTTCATATTAACTACAAAATACACATGTATATACTTTTTTATGAGTTTAAAGCATTAAAAACTGCCAATTTTAAAAATTACTGTTTAATTTCCTAAATATTTTTATATTTTTTCCAAAATTATGCAGTATATCTGTACATGACAAATTATATTTAAAAAAATCATCTCTAGCAGTCGACTTATTTCGTTTCCAAAAAATAACTGTAGATAACCTCGTCATTATTAAATATCTCTTCAAAATCTTCAAAATTGCATATATTTTAATCTGTTTGATTTATTAAACTAAAAACTCCAACATCCAAAAATTTGCTACGCTTAGTACATAAATTGTTTATAAATTTTGTTGAATTTATAATTATTATAATTTAATAAATAAAGGCAACAATTTAAAGAATTTTATGTACCATATTATAAAAATGACGTGAAAATCAACAATACCATTACATATATTTTGTTTTTGTTGTTTGAACAGATAAATAACTAGTGCAAAAAGCAAAAGCAGATTTTCTTATTTACTTCATAATCATTCATCCAAAAACATCTAAATTCATTCAAAAACTTAACAGGAATCATATTTTTATATTTTAATAAATAATAAGAATATTTAATTATATGAAGCTGAACAAATCTTAGGCAGGAACGTGCGGTGGTAAATGACGTAGATTTATACAAAAAGATGACTTAGTGTTTACTAATAATAATTAAGTAATTAATACACATAATTTACTAATATACTAAAATGTATTTTATTAAATGTATTAATTGAATAACAAATTGTAAACAGCAGTAGTATGTGTACTATTCTTAACGAAAAATTATAATAATGTATTTAATATAAAAATATTTGTGTATGTGAAAATTTAATTAAACATTTACGGAAAGAATACAATTAAAATCAATAAAAGTAATAATATATTTAAATTTATATATTTAGTTTTACTTTACTTTCATTCCGAACTAAAATTTTGAATTTTGCTTTGATTAAATTGTGTATAAACAGTGTGTCTCTATTAAATCTCTATTTCTAAAAAATCCCAAGAAAATGGAGTAAAACTAAAACTTAATCTTGATTTTTCTTTAAATGAATAACAATTAGCCGATCCAAGAATAAATCATTCGTTCAATGATTATCTCATCACTCATCAATGTACCTCCCGATAGTATTCTTCCACTGCATTTTAAATGGTTACTGATCATGTGAAATGTGAATCATTTTCTTGTAGATTAAGACGTTTCATTTACTACACCAAATGATAGTCCAGACTTCAGTAGACATTGGCAACTTAAATTTAATCTGGAAGAGTTATCTGTTAATTGTATGAATCAAGTATGTATGTGTGACCCAAATTGATAAAATGTTAGCTTGCCGATATTTGCATTTCTTTCTTTCACTTATTCTACAATAGTCTCTTTCGCAAAAACTTTTAAAAGATTTTTCAGCACTATGTTCTGAGTAGTCTGCACTTGTTTAATAGTAAATTTGGCTGCTTTGCCATATAAGCTATACCCCAACATAGTAAACCGGTACCCCAACATAGTTTGTATATTGCTATATTGTTGTTTAAACAAGAAACGAGATGAAACGAGTTACTGTATGGCATAGCCGAGTCTTGATAGCCAAACATATTAAGAGCATTTACACTAATAACAACTGTGGTTGCACTACTCCGGTGTTTTCGCATCATGTCATAGGCAAACATCATATATTAGTATGAAGCCAGTATAAAATTTCAGCAAAAATCAAATTTTAAATAATTTGGAAGACTTGTGCATTTCATGCGCACGAAGCCAGTCATATATTTTAAGAAAAAAAAAGCACACAAACAAAATCCAAGCATCACATTCAAAAATATTGTCTCACCTACCCATGCATATACAGTCAGCGACAAAACTCTACATACACCCCCCATTTTTGCTAGTTCGTAAATCCAGGGACATAATAGAAAAAAGTAATGATACAGTTTTGTTTAGAACTGTTTTTTAATAATAATAAACAAAAGAAAATCCATTCATCAATATAAATTAACAAAGTTATTCGAAAAAAACCTAAAAAAATCATTGACAAAAGTCTACATACACTTCATTGATTTTTAGATATAGTCGACAGAAATATAAATGTTAAACGGGAAAGTACCGTTTTTCATATTTCATGCTTGTGGCATGAGTCATACATTTATATAATGCACTTAGTTGTGCTTTGAGAGTGGTATTTAATTGACACGATGGGTCCACGAAAAGAATTTCAAGTGATATGCGAAATCTGGTTATTAAGCATAGAAATGAAAAAAAACCTTATGGTGAAAATATCAAAATTAGTAAATTTGACCCGATCAACAGTTCAGACGATAATAAGAAATTATAAAAATACTGGTTCTCCTGAAAATAAACCTCGCAGTGGCCGCCCAAGGATACTCATACGTAGGGATGTCAGTTTGGTTTTAAAAGAAGTTAACAAAAATCCGAAAGTAAGTGCCTTAAATTTAGTCGAACACATTGCTAATGCAACTGGAAAGCATGTCAATCCACGTATAGTACAAAGAACGTTGAACAGCCACGGTTTTCATGATAGAATACCACGCAAAGAACCTTTAATTTCTGAAAAAAACCGAAAGCTGCGCTTAGAGTTTGCCAAACAATATAAAGAAAAGAATTTTGATTTCTGGAAGCAGGTTTTATTTACAGATGAATCGAAATTCAATATATTTCAACGCGATTGGAGAGCTAAAGTTTGGAGGAAAGCGAAAACAGCACTGAATCCGAGGCATATAATGCCAACTGTAAAGCATGGTGGTGGCAGTGCTATGCTTTGGGGAGCCGTAGCTGCAACTGAAGTAGGAAAAATAACTTTGACGTAGATTGGCATGCTTCCTAGTTGCATTAGCAATGTGTTCGACTAAATTTAAGGCACTTACTTTCGGATTTTTGTTAACTTCTTTTAAAACCAAGCTGACATCCCTACGTATGAGTATCCTTGGGCGGCCACTGCGAGGTTTATTTTCAGGAGAACCAGTATTTTTATAATTTCTTATTATCGTCTGAACTGTTGATCGAGTCAAATTTACTAATTTTGATATTTTTACCATAAGGTGTTTTTTCATTTCTATGCTTAATAACCAGATTTCGCATATCACTTGAAATTCTTTTCGTGGACCCATCGTGTCAATTAAATACCACTCTCAAAGCACAACTAAGTGCATTATATAAATGTATGACTCATGCCACAAGCATGAAATATGAAAAACGGTACTTTCCCGTTTAACATTTATATTTCTGTCGACTATATCTAAAAATCAATGAAGTGTATGTAGACTTTTGTCAATGATTTTTTTAGGTTTTTTTCGAATAACTTTGTTAATTTATATTGATGAATGGATTTTCTTTTGTTTATTATTATTAAAAAACAGTTCTAAACAAAACTGTATCATTACTTTTTTCTATTATGTCCCTGGATTTACGAACTAGCAAAAATGGGGGGTGTATGTAGAGTTTTGTCGCTGACTGTATATATTTAGTAAGTGTGCAATAAAAAGAAGAGTAGAAAAAATTTACCAAGAAACTTACATACGCATGAGCTAGAAGCTATGTGTGCATTTGCTCTGATATTAGAGTTTTTTCTATATGATTTTGTCCAAGCAAAATACAACATATTCGCTATTGGTTTGATTGCTGACTTCACTAACAAAATAGCATTGATCACACATAAAATAATAAGTTCGATTATTTATACGTTTGAACAGACATGTTTTTCCCATTGCGTGTACCTTTTCAGAATTCATGATTTTTTAACAGAGGCAAATTACATGTCTTTATATTTCTATGTTTTTGGTATTAGAACAAAAGAAGGAATCAAAATTGTTGGGATTAATACAGTTTAAAAGTAATCTGAAAAGCTCACATTAAATAAATAGCTAAAAGGTTATCAAAGTTTTCACAACATGTAGATCTATCGCACGTAAGAGTTTGGGCTTTACACTAAAACTACTACGCCGGATTTATAAAGAAATGATTACTCATAAAGCTGTGTCTGAAAAAATTGCACAAAACAACAAACTGATTACCGCACTCAACAAGATATGTGTAAGCAATAAGGTAGCTGTGCGAACGCTTCCGACACATTTTAAGAACTCATATTTCTTCACATTTACATTCAATCCCAAGCACCATAGATTAAAGACGACCAATAAATTCGTCTTATTTTTAAAATACTATAACAATTATATAATTTTTAAACTGATATAATTCACACTCTCTAAAGTTTTGCTTTGGCATGAATCACGAAAAAATATACAGAGTTGTATAATACTTTTATCTTTCAAGCTTTGTAAGCATGTCTTATTAACATTGAATGACATTTAATGATATGAACGATATTATTTATATGGTATAAAAATTTAGCCTCAGTAGAACCATAGCTATTTGATTTTTTTTCTAACAAATGATTTTGACTCAATAATGACGGTTCCAAGAACCGCCAGGTCTTCGTCAATCTAGACGACCAAGCAAAGTATGTGTCTGTCTGAAATTTGACGTTTATATGTGTTTTTACCACTAAGAAGCAAGTCTCAAACATATTGCTTCTTATGTCAGGACGGACCAACCACTTTAACCTGGCACTGTTCTGTCTGCAAAATTCCTATTTGTGGAAATCAGTCTTTAAGGTGCAACAGCTGTAATAACTGGTATCACCTTTGTAACTGTTTAGGTTTGCATAGCCATGCTGAGTCAAACCTTGCCTTTAGAGGAGCTTGTCCAACAACTTCCCTATATAGACAATCTCCATCTTTGTCTACCTATGGCAACCCTTTTCCAATCAACACCAACAATCCCTCTCCCGGCATCTGTCTTACTATCTACTACTTCAGTCTGTGCAGTGTGGAATAGAGCAATCTCCAAAAATAACATTTCTACGTTGCAACACTTACAATGGTGCCATCTTATGCCTTGCTCAGGATCAAATTCACACCATGGTTGAAATTCATATTATATTGACAATTATTGCCAACCTCTACTCATGATTCCAGGAGTTCTTCTCCTCTCAAAATCCTACAGTTTAACTGCAATGCCCTTAAGGGGAATAACATCGCAGTAGCTGCACTGCAGGGGATAAAGCTGCTGCCTAACTCCCCTCTCTCACCCTCGTCAAGGGGGAAGAGTATCCTTTCTGTTCGGGACTCAACTTCACATAGTGAACTAAATCTGCCAGCGTCGAATGACGAATATATGAAGGTTATACGGTTAAAAATTTTCATTGCTAGCTCATCTGCAATTGCTTGCAATTGCAAAAATCTGCTTGCAATTGGCGTCCCAAATTTGCGATTCACTTTTTGGTATACTAAATGAAGACTCGCCATAATAACTCTAACTTGCTCAAGCTCCCATTATCTAATCTTGATCTCGCTTAAGCATTTGACACAATCTCCCATAGCATATTGTTAAATGACCTAACCGAAACATCTATCCATGATTCTACAAACAATTGCCTCTGTAACTATCTCAGAGGCAGATCAGCCTTCGTTGAACATATCAAAAGCAAAGAAATTGCAGTAAGGTACGCAGGGCTCCGTTCTCTCACATATCCTCTTTAATCTAAATATGTCTAAACTCCTAGAGCACCCTGAAGGAGTCAAAGTTGTAACGTATGCACTTGACTGTACAATCACAACAATGCCCTAGGACCACTGCATATTGTGCAACAAACTAAATGCATACCTTCAATTTGTGGCATTGTTTTTGGATGATAGAATTTTTCACCTATCACCAAATAAATGCTTCGAAACTTGCTTTACTTCCTGGACTTAAAAAAGTATCTTTGACTTTGCCCATAAATATCAGTCCCTTCAGAATCCTCACTATCATCAAATCGCAAATCCTGCTTGTCGTTCTCGACAGCATGTAGACATTATCTGCACACGTTCAGTTATATCCAACTTGCGGTTGAAGTCTCGAAAAACGTGCTAAAAGCACCTGCAGGTTGTTCATGAAAAAAGACAAAGAAACCCTACTGAATACCTATTAAGCCGCTTCTTATTGCGGCCTATGCTACTGCACTATGAACCCCACAATTCTGCAAAACGCAATGGACTAATATCCCATAATAACAAAACACGGCATTGCGAATTCCGACCGGCTGCTATTGCATGTCGCATGTTGACCATCTTCATGCAGAATCGAAAATGCTTCTTATAAAAGAACATGCATAACCAACTACTGTCCCAGTAATATCTCTTGACAAGGTGGAATGCTTTATGCACCGTCAGACCAACCATTGTCTGAATGGTATGTCCGACTAATTTCTAATTTCTTCACTTTAAGGACTTGAATCACATATGACACTATCGTTTACCAGTTCTCTGGGTTCGCTCTCATCTTTTCCACTACATAAATGTACATAAATGAAGTCAGATAGATTCGCCTTTCCCATGTGGTACAGGTAATTGTAAAAATATCCAAGTTCGGTCAGCATCTGAGTGAGATATAATTTGTGTCTTTAATAACAATGACAACTGATACCATAAAATAAACACATAACTAATCGTTTTTTTAAACTAGTTTCTAATAGTTATTATTTATTGAATCTTATTAAAATTTTAACAATATATTCAAATTTTTTATATCACAAATATTAACAATTAAGAAGACATAAATAGTTTTATTGTACCAGAAAAAAAGATAAATAGAACAGAATAGTTAAAAAACACATGCAATATTAAAATATAAATATAAAAAAGTAGAATAGTAAGAGATATATGTGTGTTCTGTATTTATGTATATATATATATATATATGTGTGTGTGTATACAAACACGAATGTATGTATATTTATATGTTTATGTTTATATATATATATATATATATACAGCATTTAAATTTAATACATTTAAACAATCAATTGATTCCTAATAAATATTTTATATGGTCGTTGCATATTGCAGCCAATCAATTTAATTCATTTATTTGCTGAGGCTACAAGAGCATGTTTATTAGGAATATTTCGCAGTATTTTTCTCCTTGCTTCAAATATCTTTAGAAGCTTAATATAACCTTTATTTACAACAGTGTAAATTAAATAATAAATTATCACTACTTATATAGTCTACAGATAAATAATAATATACAAGCATATATAATATGATATTTCAAGTCATTATGTTATATCTTAAATCACTATCTATTCTCTCAGAGCTTTCAGGCTCTGGGTCGAGAATTGAATTAGTTTCTGACAAATGTCGACGACATGTTGGCAAAACTTCACATAAACTATCGTACAAACGCTGTTGAAATGTTTTATATTCGATATCAACGGATTGTGTGTCACTAAAGTTAAAATCTGCGACTTCAACAGTGAAACTATTAAAAATAATTATTAGATTTTATGCTTTATTTTATTAATTAATTTAATAATTACCGGTTATGGCTTTGTACATAATAAGAAACTCCAAAAATAACCAAAATTATTGCAATTAGCGTAAATGTCACAGGAACCACTACAACGGAAAGTTGGGATTGCACTTTTGCTATAATTAAATGAAAATGAAAAAAATATTCATAAAATTTTTATATAGTAGTAACATCGGTACCTTCATATATATTAATGGTCACTTGATTTGTAATCTCTGAAACATCATTACGAAGGAAAAATAAAATAGTTTTACTCTCTGTGAAAAAGCGAACAAAGTTGAATTTGCACTGAGGCAAGGAATAATAATTATCACATGTTTCGTTTCCAGTTGCATTATATGGTGCTACATAAAAAATTCTCATTAGTAAATAAAATAAAATATACTAGCAGTTTTAAATATGTTCAAAATATATATTATATATAACATATGCATATTAGAAACGAACCATCAAACACCATTGTACAGCATTTTATTTCGTTTGAGCCTTCGCATTTGATTTCCAAAGTTAATAAGTCACCATGTTGTAGCCAATAGTTTCCACTGGCGGAGAAATTTGTAACAGGGGCTAATAAAGTATCAAAGAAATATAATATAAAATTTTTATAAATTAGTTTTTTATTTCTTACATTTTGAAATTATTCGGTGTTTAAAGTAGCCATAAGAGTTTTTCGGATCACGTGATATAATTGATTTATTAATGCAATTGTAGGGCGGTTCAGTTTTTAATTGTAGGGCCTTTTGTACATCGGAAGTATAAAGTTTAGAATCATGGAAAGTTTTTATACTCACTGTACTTGAGTCATTAGATTGCTTTTCCAATACTTTCGTTAAATTTAATCCTAACAATTCAGCGTTCGCACGTGCTATATTCTCAGAGAATTGGGAAGAAATATCATTTCGCTTTCTTCGTTTACTACTCTTTTGAAGAAGTATAGGTTCTTTCATTGATGACGACTTATCAGTGGTAGGTGATATAGTCGTGGTAGAAGTAGTAGTTGTAGTAGTAGTAGTTGTTGTTGTTGTTGTTGTAGGTGTTGGTGTAGTGGTTGTGGTAATAGGTTGGGGTAATTTTTCAAATGATCCAACCACTAATGCTTCAATTTCGTAAAACATACCTTCTACAGGATAGTTTGCTACATAACTTAAATCATTTGACATACCCAAGTACGAGCAATTCCGAAACCAATAAGTTTTTATAGCAGTTGCACTTTTATTTAAATAATCAAAATCGCTTGGACGTAAATGGATGCTATGATTTACCGAGTTTGCAGTGGAAACAAATTCATTTCTACGTTTTAGACCATCTTGAATCAGTAATAATTCACCACCTAATGATTCTGTTACATTAACGCTAAAACTGTTAGATGCTATTTTAATCCACACGGGGAAAAAGAAGTATCTATCAACTTCAACATTTATTTGATACGTTCCCGAATTTATTTTGGATTTTGCATATTCTACGGTCCAATTACTGTACGGTTGAGTTGTTTCAAATTCCTGTTATGAATAGTATTCGTTAGTAGCAATAAACGTATAATATATTATATGAGAACAAAATGGGTAATAATCGATATCTTGCAATGGGTGCAAAGATTAACCGTGGAGTATTCACTTCCCGAAGTTAAAAGTAAATCTTAATAAAACCTGACGGCCTTACTTTCGAAAAATTAGTTCAATTAGTTCGCGTACGTGCATTCGTTAACTAATTTATTATTCGTTAAAACACATATTGCCGCATCCACCTCAATCTCCAGATCTCAACCCCATTGAACATTTGTGGAATAAATTGGATAGATGTCTAAAGAAGCCCATTATAACAACAAATGCAGAACTGAAGGAGGCACTGCTGAAGAGTGGCAAAAATTTGGACCAAAAACCACACAAAAATTAATTTCTTCGATTCCAAAACAAATAGTAGCTATTATTAAATAGAAGAGCTTGGGCACTAAATATTAATTGTTATCGAAAATATAGCTTTTTAATTTATTTTTTTATTTTTTACGTTAGCTGTGCCAATAATTTTGTTTAGCAAAATTTAGTTTTTTTTTTGGTTTTTTAATTTTAAAAAACTGAATATAAGAAAATAAAATGAAATAAAATGAATATAAAAGCAAATTAAGCATTTTATCTAAAAAAATTTTTTGTTTATTAAAAATCGCATCATTAACAGAATAAAAATAGTGCTAAAGTTCAATTTGCTTAGCCCATTATTATTTAAAGCACATATACATTTGTAAAAATGTTCGTTGACTTTTACGAAGAAACACAAAGTACTGCACCAAACTGAGCGAATAGTGGATTCTTTCGCTTAATGTGCAAACATGATTCACGTTTAGACAATGTGTTTCATACTGGCTTTTAAATGCATTCATGCTGATCTCTAACACATGTCTACATCGTACGAGCTTAATCATGTATTTACCATTAATCCAAATTAAAGTAAATACAAATAGTTCGAAAATTCCTAATACTGCATAACTGTATTTTATATTTAATGTTAAAGAAATTGAGTTCGTAATTAAACGCCCAGTTCACTTACCATCGTACGAACAGGAGATGTACTATAATCTTTCCAAATGAATTTATAACTTTCATTTTTAGCTATACTTCCGTCATTAAATAGGATAGCGCTGAAGTTAACAGTAGAACCTATAACCGAATCGCCAGTACTTTTTATTTGTACAGTATATGCTTTTACTAAAATAAATGCAATAAAAGAAATTTTAATAACTTTCTATAAAATAAAGATATAACCATACCTCCTCCATTTACACAAACCAAAGCAAAAAATAAATAAATTGCTCGCTCTGAAAACGACATAACGTATAGTACATACGCAAAACCCGTTGTTATCTATTTAGCAGAGTTCTTTCAGTTTGAAGTTACTTTGGCACCTTAAAGAATTTTTTTATGGAAACTTAATAATAAATCTTTGCTTCTTTAGCTTTACAAACTGGTAGATAATATTAGTAATATAAGATATTTGTGAGCAAATAATTAGATTTCTATTGTTGTTAATATGTCAACTAGTTCAAAGCTGTTTGCATTGTTGCATTTTAAATTAAGGTTTTGCGCCGTGTATCCAAAATCAATTTACCACTGGGTAATAATAAAATCTGTTTAACCTGATTATACCATTTTTACCATTTATCTCAATATATGGCATCACTTATTCATTATTTTGCACTTATTTATTATTTTTGATTAAAAGTTTTCAAATTTATTTATTTATTTATTTATAATTTACCCTACTCGAAAATATGGTAAATACCAACATTCGCTGCTATACCGAAACAATTTACTATTTCCATCAATTTACCATCAATTTACTCGAACTTGCACCAGCCCGAGTATTTAATATTTATACTCAATTGTGCAAGATAAAAGAAAAAAAATCTGTCATTATCTCTTTAATTTGTGCAATTCAAATTCCCTTATTAACTTTTTATTAGCTTTTATTACTTAAATTAGCTGTTCTGGTAACTCAACTGCCATTTTAATATAAGTAATAATAGTAATATCGAAAGAAGGTAGTTAATTATTGAAGCAATTGATTAATACTATGTTCAGACAGCCAAATTTTTTTAATATCTTAAAAATGAAATTAAGTTAAATTTGAAAGTGTTCATACTGCCACAAATTAAGAAAATCATATGTTTTTTGTTTATTAATCGAATGTTAAAAATTACATAATCCAGACACCATTTTTATCTGGGAAATTTGAAAAGTTGTTTATTATAACTGTAAAGGATGGAATTCAGTAGTTTTATTAGCTTTAACGGATTTATTTTAAATTAATAACAGTAACAGTTTTTTCTTTCTATTTAGGTCGTGTGCGAGTTAGGCTAAGTTGCGTTCTAAATGAGGGAAATTCTAAGTTGCGCCGATAATGTATTGATGTGTCGATACGTGTTGATAAATGGCAAAATGTGTGCAGTGCAAAAAATCCCAAAAAATCTCCCATTTGGTTTAGCATCAACTTAGCCTAACTCGCACACGACCTTAAATTGAAAAAATTTCCTTCTTTCAAACTATTATCCCGGTTTTATTAAAGTCAGCTGTCACTGACGTTTATTTTAAAAAAAAATGTCATTTTTTGATTATCTCAACTTTGTCTTTTGCGTAAAATTTATTTTATGTATAGTTGCATTTGAAATGTCCCTTAATTTCAGTCTTTGCTTCAACGAAATTAAGGGCATTTTTCTTAATTCCGTTCTCACTTTAAAACTGAATTTATTGAAAAGTAAGTAGGTCTTAAGCATGGTATAGACGATGCTACATGTATGCACACCAAGTATGCGCTTTGCTATACAGTTTGAAATAAGGTGTAATTTTATCACACACATGTCTGAAGACCTGTAATATTGTCTTTATCATGCTTAAGTCCAGTGGCGACGCGTGTCCTATCTGGAAGGGTGTACGGCCCTTCTTCAATGTTGTTTTTACATTTACCACTTAAATTAAAAATGATAAATTGAAATATATAAAATGTTTTATTAATAATAACTATATTACATTAGGCAACAATATATTCACAATATAACATTTAACAATTCATTAACAAAATAACATAAAATATAATATCATAAAAATTAATAATTTATATATAAGTTTGATATTACATCAATATGGAATAAATACAACTCTTCACATACTTCTTATAACATCAAACCAACTTTTTTCAAACAAAAGAGTTTGTAATTAGGTCGTGTACGAGTTAGGCTAAGTTGCGTTCTAAATGAGGGAAATTCCAAGTTTTGCCAATAATGTAGTGATGTGTCGATACGTGTTGATAAATGGCTAAATGTGTGCAGTGCAAAAATTCCCAAAAAATCTCCCATTTGGTTTAGCATCAACTTAGCCTAACTCGCACACATCCTTAGAACCATACATGTTTATGCAGTGATCAAACAAAATCGAACGCACTTCCAGCCTAAAAATGTGCGGCCAACTACTCCGTACATAAAGCGGTTATTATTTGCAGGAGCAACAGCTAAAAGGGAGAGACGATATTTGAAAGAAATATATGGTAATGTGAGCTGCAAACCTTAGAAGCACATCTAACCGCTTCGGTAAGTCAACATGTTGGATTCTTATACACGCAGTTGATATTCGAATAGAACAGAAAATTACTCTCATACAATTCTCAATCTCTATTTCTCATATTTTAAGCTAGAGCACACGCACATTATTTTGTCCATTCTACTTTTGTGCACACTTATGAAAGAAATTTATGAATGCAATTGCGTAAAGGGGAAAGACGAAATATGATAGAAATTATTTGCGATGTGAGCTGCAAACTTATGAGCACAACCAGCGACTATGGTAGCTAAGAGAAGCAAATTAATTGAGTTTTCATAGACAATTATATTTATTATATTCTTTATATATAATACAACATACTTTATTGATTAAAGTTATATAGATTTACGATTTGATATTAATAATAATAATAATTACGGCACGGCACGCTTACTCCTTTGAGCACAACGACGAACAACCACGCATTTTGTATTTTTCCTTTTTTATCTATTTCATTATACAGGGTTGCCATGATCGAATATACTACAGTTCCTCCCCCATCAAATAGTCCCTTAACCTTTTTGGCGGTTGCCTCTGCCGGTACGGTCGCGATTTTAATATTTCATCTCTTTTATCTTTTTCTTCTAATGACCCCTCTACTTGACTATCTGGTAGGATATATTCATTTGATGAATGACCTGCACTTACTTGGTCGTCTTGCTCTTTCGGTTGTGCCACTGAAGTTACTGCTACTGGAGTTATATTGGATTCTAAACTTGTCGGTGTCTCCGAAACTCGCTTATGCAACTGGTCAATATGTCTCGACAATATGTTACTATTTGATTGAATTTTGTAGTTGCGATCTCCTGTTGATTGTATAATCCCTGACATCCACTTTTCACCTCTTCCAAAATTTCGGTATCAAACACTTTCACCACACTGGAAACTGCGAACTGGTTTTATTTGTTTGGAATACTCATCAGAATTTAGCTGCTTCTGAGTGTTGTCATCACTGGGGTGCAAATGATCTAAGAATGTTTTCAACTTCCTTCCCATCAAGATTTCTGCTGGACTCGAATTTGAATTTGCATTAGGAGTTGTACGCAGATACAAAAGTATATTTGCCAAATTCTTATTGATGTCTGAAGACTGCATTTTCTTCAGGTGATTCTTAATGGTTTGTACAATCCTTTCTGCTTGCCCGTTTGACGATGGATGATACGGTGCCGTACGTATGTGCTTTATACCGCTAAGTTTTAAATATTTCTCAAATTCTTCTGACATAAACGTTCGCCCATTATCGGACACAATGGTATCTGGTATTCCGTGTGTTGCAAATATTTCTCTCATTAACTCGATTGTTCTAATCGCATTTATTGTACTGGTTATTTTTACCTCTACCCACTTGCTATGAGCATCTACGACGATAAAAAAATTTGTACCCATAAAGGGTCCCGCATAATCAATATGTAACCGGGACCATGGCCTTAGCGTTGCTGGCCATGGTTTACCTGTCGCTACTGGAGGATTCTTTTTGTTACATGCACACTTTTCACAACGTCTGGCTAACATTTCTATATCTTCATCTAAACCAGGCCACCAAAAATAGCTTCGCGTAACTGCTTTCATTGCCGACATGCATTGATGAACTTCGTGCAACATCTCAAGTATTCTGGGACGTAGTATTGCAGGTATTATTACCCTGGCTCCCCATAACAAACATTGTGCATTCACTGATAGTTCCTGGATTTTGTTTACAAACGGTTTAAACTGGATTGATTTATATGGCAAAACTGTATCTTTCCTTTGGATATGCCACATTACTTTTGATAGTACTGGATCTCTTCTGGTTGCTTGTGCAATGTCTTTTGCAGTGATTAAAAACTGTTTCTCAGCCTCATTGCAATATAATATTTCAGGTATTTCCGGTATTTCTAGCTTTACATCATTTAAAGGTAACCGGCTCAATGCATCTGCATTCTGGTGATGTTTCCCTTCTCGGAATTTAATCTCGTACTGGTAAGCGCCTAACTTTAACGACCACCTTAACATTCTGGGTGATATATGCTGTGATATTGGTTTTTCTGGGTTGAATAATCTCACTAGTGGTTTATGATCAGTCATTATTGTAAATTGTCTACCACTTAAAAATTGATGAAACTTTTGCACACCAAACATAATCGCTAGCGCTTCTTTATCCAACTGTGAATAATTTCGTTCCGCGCCCTGTAATGTTCTGGAGCCAAAAGCAATCGGTGCTTCACTATCATCCGGCATCTTGTGTGCCAAAACCACGCCAACTCCATACGGTGATGCGTCTCCGCATAATATCAGTGGTAAGTCAGCCGAATAATGCACCAACAGATTTTTTGATTGTAGTAGTTTCTCTGCTCGTTCAAAACTTAATTTCTGTTCTCTACCCCATTTAAAAGGTATCTCTTTTCTTAATAGTTGATACAGCGGTTCCAATAGATCGCCCTTATTCTGTAAAAATCTATCATAAAATGTAATTAACCCAAGAAAAGCTTGTAGCTGTTGTTTATTTATTGGTTCTGGTGTTTGAGCTATTGCCTTCACCTTTTCGTCAGTTGGACGCACTCCTTCTCGGCTTATCTTAAACCGCAAAAATGTTATCTCTTGTACTGCGAAAACACATTTTGATTTTTTAAGCTTCAATCCTGCATCCTGTACACATTTCAGAGCAGTTCGTGTTCTATCCCACAACTCTTCCAAAGTTGTTCCGCCAATTAGAATGTCGTCTAAATAAATAACCACACCATCTACGTTCTTAAGAACTCCTTCCATCACCCGTTGAAATATACCTGGTGCCGTTGAAATTCCAAACGGTAATCTTGTAACTTCAAAAAGTCCGCGATGTGTGTTTAATGTAAGTATCCTTGCTGATTCTTGGTCAACCTTCACCTGTGTATACGCTCGATCTAAATCCAGCTTTGTAAACCACTTACAATTTGCTAATGCTGCTAGCACTTCTGTATTAGTAGGTAATGGATACGTTTCCTTGCAAAGCATTTGATTCACTGTGCACTTATAATCTCCACAAATGCGTATGCTTCCATCTGGTTTAATAATAGGTACAACCGGTGTTGCCAACTCACTAAAGGATATTGAACGCAGTGCGCCTTCATCTTCCAACTTCTTTAATGCACTTGTCGATATCGAAGAAATTTCGGTTTACTTGAAACTGACATTTATAACATCACAGGATTTCCCTTGTAATCTCCAAGATTTCCATCAAAAAATGAACTGAAGTTCATCACTTCTACTGGAATAGTTGATTCTATATTGCATAAATTGCATAATTATAGTAATTCCCAAATCGTTAAACCAATTTCGACCAATTTCGACCAATTAGAGCCGGACCATCACCCGCTGCTACTAACAACTTTAGTTTCTTTGTGACGTTCCCAACTGAGACTGGTACTTCTGCTTCCCCACTCAGTTTAAGATTTTTCTCTGTTCCCCAAGTTCTTAATTGTATTTGACTTGGTTTTAGCGGAATATACGGCATTTTTTCTCTAAATAACTTTTCACTTACTATTGAGTAACTTGCCCCCGAGTCTATTTCCATTTGTACCGGTGACTTACTTATCGTAATCACTCTCTTGACCGATGGACTACCTTTAGCGAACATTGACCATAAATACTCCGTCGTTTGAGTTTCCTGGTTTGTATCTAAAAGATTTACTCTGTTTGGTCTTCTCCCATTATTTGTTGCTGGCTTTTTGGTTTTTGCTTTTTTTATGAAAGCTCTCTCAATATGTCCACGCTTTTTGCAATAATAACATTCCGCGTCTTTAAATTTGCACTGATCTGAATGATGATTTCCTCGACAACGATAACAATTCTGAATATGGTCCACTGGAGCACGATTTGGTTTTACCTTGTTGCTTGAAATTTTATTCAATCCTGGCAGGCTGGCTGACGTTTTAAGTTCCGTCGCATTTTTTTGTGCTGTTTCTGATGCTATAGCTTCCTCCTGCGCTATTTTTAATGTTAACTGGTCATTCGCCAGAAGCCGCTTTTGTAAATTTTCATCGTACATGCCACAGACTAGTCTGTCTCGTAACATTTCGTCCAAATCATTGAAATTGCAGTCTTGGCTCAATTTCCTTAGCGCTGCCAAATATTCGGAAATTGATTCGTCCTCTTTTTGGTTTCTCCGATAAAATTTAAACCTTTGTATTATTATATTCTCTGCCGGACAAAAATAACTAGTCAATAATTTAGTTGCCGCCTCAAATGTAAATTTTTCTTCTAAAATGGTAATCGGTGTGGCAACCGATTTTAATATCGTGTAGGTTTCCGTCCCACATGAGGCTAAAAAGATCGCTTTTTTCTTTTTTGCGTCTGTGATGTCATTTGCAACAAAGAAAAATTCCATTTGTTCCATGTATGTTTTCTATTTCCCCGACGCCACGTTATATTGACTTAATTCACCAAAATTTTTCGCCATCCTTTAATGTTTTATCCTCGTCGCCAAATTTTATTATATTCTTTATATATAATACAATATACTTTACTGATTAAAGTTATATAGATTTACGATTTGCTATTAATAATAATATTAATTACGGCACGGCACGCTTACTCCTTTGAGCACAACGACGAACAACCACGCATTTTGTATTTTTCCTTTTTTATCTATTTCTTTATACAGGGTTGCCATGATCGAATATACTACAATATTTAATTATTAATAATCTAAAACTTTAATCTTTAAAAATATATGTATGAAAATGTAATTAATAATATTAATTCTGGATGTAAAAATATTTAATAAATATATATATTTATTTATATAATTTAATATTTATTATATATATATATATAATTTGAAAACATAAAACTCAAAAATAACTGTTATTTTCGGGAATCAAATAGAAAATGTCGGCCGTTTTACGTTCAAAAGAGCAAAATAAAACGTATTTGCGTGAAAAGTAATAATACCTTACAATATAAGTTCATATTTCTTGATATTATACTAAGAATTGTACTTTCTAACATTCATAATCTATATTTAAATCTATCACACAAAACGGAAGGCTTCCGAACGAACGAACTTTTGCAGATACTATTACCTGCCAATGTACCTTAACATTTCCGACTGTGATTGAAAATGAAGGTCAATAATTTTGTTGGTCATACTGGACCCGTTTTAGATTTCCATTTCGTCATCGTATTTTGTTATTGTTGTAAGTTTTTCATCCATGTCTGTTTTTAATTTATTAAATAAAATTGATTTAGCAGTTGCAGTTTTTGTTGGTAATTTGTTTTTGTTTACAATTTGGTGTCCTTTGTCTACGTTTTTTATCTAAATTTTAACAGACGATGGTCACGCTAAAAAATGTCGAGGCAAATTTTACTAAGAAAACGGATTTAAAAATAAGTATATTTTTATCTCACGCATCTTAATAAAATAAAATAAAAATTAGTGTATAATTTTTAACAATTTGAATTGCTTTTCTTAATTTTTATTTATAACAATAGGGGTATTCAGGATGTCTGTGCATCGTTGAAATGCACATTCAAATTGCAAACTCAAATAATCATTAATGCATTATGTGCATATTAGTATTGAAAATATTTAGAACAGCCGATTTTTATTTACATATTTATTTACTTGTAAGATATAACTCAGATTTGATATGCATAGTTTTAACAATGCGAAGCAATAATAAAAAAAGAATATATTGACATACTTTGACGTTATTGGAAATCAAACAATTGGACAAAATCACAAAATTGCAAAATCAAACAAAATTTGACAATTTCGCTTAAGTATTGCCCAGCGAACAGCAAAGAGAGTAGTATTATTCACAATAGACGTAACAAGAGGTGTTAAAAATATGGTCTTGAAAATTGTCTTACAAATCAAATGCAGATTCATAAGAAAGGAAATTGTTTTTGTAAAATCAAATAATTTTGCACATGGAGCGATGCATAGACATCCTGAAAACCCCTAATACTTTAAAGTAATTGAATGCGTCATACAATACTAACATAACACTATACTCATAATTTTAGTAATAAAAAAATAACTATTTATATACATATATGTAATACCCTGTTTGAGTTAAAAATTTCACTGTTTCTGCTCGACGTTGTTTTGTAAGATGATGTGTCAATATTCACGACTGCCCCGAACATAGATTTTGGAAGTTAAAGGCGTGATTTGTGAATTGTATATAAATTGTTCACATATAAATGCGAAAATGTCTAAGGAAGTAAATTCTAAAGAACTATTGATAAAAAGTGCCTATGCTGAAATAAATAAATTAGGACAAAATGGTGAATTTCAAAAAGCAATTAAAGCTGTTAACCGAAGTGAGTACACATTAAGCAATTGGAGAGGTAATTAATTAAATAGTTATCCTTTATAGTACTGAGCGTTGTGCCAGATGATGAAACAGCGTTACGTTGCAAAGTAATATGTCTTATACAAGTTTCAAAATTCGAAGAAGCGCACAAGTTCATTGAAAAGAATCGACTAAATTCGTTGATGATATTTGAGAAAGCTTACTGTGAGTATCGCCTCAACAATCCTGAACAATCAATAGAAACAATTGATAGCTTCAAAGACGGTCTTTTACCACAAAATCTTAAGGAACTTCGTGCACAGGTTTTATACCGTTTGGAACGTTATGACGAATGTTTGGAATTATACAAAGAAGTCATTAAAAATAGCAATGATGATTTTGATGATGAGCGACGTGCTAATATGACTGCAGTTGTTGCAAATTTAACTGTTGATGTTGTAAGTAAAAAATTATAACTTGATTAAAACATAGAAATTTTATACTTTCATTTAGAGAAAATCATTGCCAGAAATACCTGAAGAAACGTATGAACAGTACTTTAACAGTGCTTGCATATTAGCAAATCAAAAAAAATTTGGTGAATCCGAACGTAAATTACGTGCTAGTGAAAAAATGTGCCGCGAAACATTAGAAGAAGATGGAGAAGATGAAATCAGTGAAGAGCTGTATGCTATACAGGTACAAATCGCATACTGCTTACAAATGCAAGGCAAACAAAAGGAAGCAAGTGCTATATACGCCGATTGTCTACGAAAAAAACCAAAAGATCCTGCTCTTATCGCCGTTGCCAGTAACAATTCTGTTGTAATTAACAAGGACCAAAACGTTTTTGATTCAAAGAAAAAAATACGTTTAGCTTTGGCCGATGCATGTGAGCATAAATTAAATACACGTCAAAAGAGAGCCATTGCTCTTAATAATTGCCTATTGGCTTTATTGACAAGCTCAAGCGATCAAGTGCAACAATTTTGCCAAAAATTATTAGAAAGCTACCCGGACTTAGAATTTCAATCACTGCTAATATGTTGCACACAATTGTGTAAGGAAAAAAGGTACAAGGACGCAATTGAAATTTTGAATAAATTTGCTAAAACTAGTAAAGAGAACGCATTCCAAACGAAATTTGCAATTGTTCAGTTACTTCTATTTCAGGTACTACATATTTTCATTTCTTTTTTTTTATAACTACATAGCTTTATATAAATAATAATTGTAGGGAAATCGAAAGGAAGCTATAGAAGTGCTGCTTTCTTTAGGTGAGGCCAAATATAAACCAGGAATTGTGTCTGCATTAGTTACTCTCTATTTGGGCACCGATAATAAACCTGCAGCATCGGACTTATTAAAATCGACTGTTGATTGGTATAAGACTAATAACGTAAGTAAATAAAATAGCGTTTCTGTACTTAGTTCGCAATAATAATTATAGAGAATAAATATTAGGTTAGTAGTGGTGATTTATCAGATATGTGGCGACAAGCAGCTGAATTTCATCTACGCGGCGGTGCTAGTGAAACAGCGGCTAGATCATTAGAAGAGTTACTTAAAATTAAACCGAATGATATGAAAGTGTTAGCACAGTTAGTTATTGCATATGCTCAATTTAATGCGAAACGAGCCTTAGAAATAAGCAAAAGGTTGCCAAAGTTAGAAACGTTAACTACCGCTTCTGATATTGACGCTTTGGAAGCAGCGAACTGGGTAATGTCAACAAAAGCAGCAAAGAAATCGGCAATTGCTAAAACTGATCAATCTCCATCGACACCTACGGCAGACAAAAAAAAAAGGACTAACCGGAAACGCAAGGGAAAGCTTCCTAAAAATTATAATTCTGAAATACCACCAGACTCTGAACGCTGGCTACCGAAATATGAGCGTACTGGTTTTCGAAAGAAACGCGATCGTCGTGCCAAGGACGTAATTAAAGGTTCGCAGGGTATGTCGAGTGGCGCTTCTGAACAATTGTAAGTAATTTTAAAGAGTATTTTTGATTCAGTTATTCAAATAATTTTTTAAAAATCTTAGCGACATGTCGAACCGTGTAAACGTTGTAAAACACTCTCCAGCTCCACCTACTTATCAAGAGTCTACACCAGGACCAAGGCAGCAGCATCGTAAAGGTGGACACAAGAAAAAGAAAGGAGGTCGTTTTTAAAAAGCACTTTGATTGCATTATTAATCACTTTTTTATTAAAATACATGATTGTTTTAGGAAAACAATATACACAAATATTGAAATCAAAATACGTTTTTTGTTATAAAGTGACATAAGTATTTAATTTTTCATTTAGTTTTTTTTAAAAATATTTATATTAAATTTTTAGAAATTAATATACTTTTGTCATTTCAATTTTCTACCGCCACATCCCGACGAACATCATATGAGTGCCGATGAAGTGTATCTAACCATTCCATCATTGAATGTTCCTTATATTCAGTTTCATATATATTAACGTCTATATATTTTTCAACAAATTCGTTTATCTCAGTCTCATATTTTTTCCAATCAAGAGGTTCGTGTAAGCCATCTTTTCCGTACCGTTCATTATACCGATCATAATGAACTGTATCTAAAACCAAGCCCAACCCTGGTGCCATTGGCAAATCAAGTTTTTCCTGTGTAAAAGCACGATCCAATGTAGAAACAGTAGTGTTACCACGTACAATGGCAATAGCAAGTCCAACCATTTTTCGTATTTGGTGTAGCATGAAACTCTGCCCCTTTACTATTAATTTTATAAACTCACTGCCATGAGGACTAAGAAATGGTTCCAAATATGTAAATGAAATTATATAACGTTTTGCTGAGGGATCATGATAATTTCTAAAAGTAGATAAGTTATATTGTTTTCAAGTAGGATTGTAGGTAAATATGTTACTTTTTGCTTGTGAAATTATGAAAATTTTTAGTTCCTTCATACGTTGTGAGAATTTCTTTCAATTTTTCCAATGTATTTAAATCAATACGATAACTTTTCGAATCATACTGTTTTTGATAATTTGCAAACGATATAGTGGGAAGCATATAACTGTAGGTGCGTGCATTACATTGGTCCTTCGAATTAAAACCTTTGGTAACTCGTTGCACTGTAAAAATTCGAATTTGTTCTGGCAAATCCTCATTGATAGATTTTATATCTAAATTATCCGCTATAAAAGGAATTAATGTATTATATAGTTATGTTAAAATACAAAACGTACGTAACTTTATTGAACAAACTTGTCGAGCAGCTGACACGCCTTTATCAGTGCGGGCCGCACGTTGAAAGCATGCATTTTGAGATTGCTCAAATCCGTCCTCCGTTATCCACTTATGTTTAAGCATTACTTTAAACAATTCTTCCTCAATTGTTGACATGCCAGGATTCCTTTGCATACCAAAATAATTTACGCCCGAATAACCTATCAGTATTGCTGACTTTTTACGTTTTATTCTGTCAGCTGCTTCACATTTATTGCTCGCAATATCAGTTTGCTCTCTGGGGCTATATTCAACCCATTTACGTTTTTTCGCATATTTTTTAAGTGCTTTAATCGTTTTTACTTTTTCAACAGTTTTTTCACGTTCTGTTTCCTTAATTTCATTAAGACATTCAACTTTCTGTAATGCTTCCGACATTTTTTCGGCAAAGCTCTTGTTTCGGATAGACTGTATATATAACTGGCTCTTCTATAAAGCATGCATCATATTAATAAATAACATAAATATATAAAACTAGTGAAAAACCTTTAAAAATGGGAAGCGAATTGAATTGAAAAACATTAAAATTAGTTTATGGATCTTTTTGAAGTCTAAACAATCGCACGTGCCCACAGCAACTTCAATAGAATATCATTGTTTAACTATTAAAGAAAACAAAGCATGCCTAGAGAGGTTGCCATATTCGCAATATTAGTATGTACTCAAATTTTATTTAAATTTGATCCATAATATAATTGCTTAAAATACAACTATTAAATATGTATTTAATTTAATAAAAAAATAAAATTAATAATAATAGAAGAATTGAGTTAGTTGTTATAAACATTATATGAATATTATTTACATAGTTTTATTTTGTATATAAACCATTTTCAAAATTGCAACACTGTGTCAACAATATTAAGTAACATCAATTCATATTTTATTTAACGTGAAATTAATTTTCTAGTTGTATAAAGGCTAATATCATTTCTGGAAATGGAGATTTTAAATTCATTTAAAACACTAAACCGCCTTATACCGGTATGTCCTACATATAAAGTTACAATAAAAAGTTTATAAAAAAATTTTTCAGTATTCACAAACACCTAGAATATGTGCCGGACAATTTCTAATGCAAGTACGTTGCCGTCAGACGAAGCACTGGAATCCAAAATTTAAAAAACAACGAGCACAAAAATTTATACATGTTGATTTACCTAACTATCAAGAAAAAAAGGATGACTTATCACAGGAAGAAATTCGAAGTCGTATGAAGGAACGTGGTGTTCTCCCACCGCGGCCATGGTTAGAACGTCCCTTTCACATAAGCTGTACCGGGGGAATTTTCGAACCTTATATTCCCCCTGAAGGAGATGGCAAAAAATCTTTAATTTCTGCTAGTGGAGCCAAACAAAAGTTTGAGTTTCTCGAAAAAAAATCTAAAAGTATGTTGGCTGTGCGCAAAATCCGATCATATGAAGAAGATTTTGATTCCAATGAATTTGCGACTGAAGCACAGGACGTATATTTAGACGCACATCGACACATGGCTTTAAAGGAAAAACATAAACTTAGGGAATTCGTTACTGAGCGATGTTATCCTGAAATGATGCATAATGTTAAAGATAAAACTATACATTGGAAATTTTTAAAGTCATTAGAACCCCCGCGAGTCGTCCACGCACGTGTCACCGATATAATAACAAAAGAAAATATGTTTGCTCAAATAACAGTGCGTTTTCATTCGCAGCAAATGTTAGCTATTTATGATCGTTTTGGACGTCTTATTCATGGAAGTGAGATTATTGCTAAGGATGTTTTAGAATATATTGTGTTTGAAAAACATATTTCTAATGAATATGGAAAATGGCGTTTGCATGACAAAATAATACCGGATTGGCTACCAGCACAACAAGTTCCTTTAGCCACTTATCAGATAATAGAAAAATTCGAAGATCACCAACTGAAAATTGCAGATTCTAAACCTAATGAAGACAGAGAACAGCTAGAACTTGAAAAACCAACCGATGGCGCAATCAAAGTAGAAAGATCTATAGGAAGTACCTCTTGATTGTTTTTGTTTTATTTGTTTGCTGCATGGAAAATTAAATCCGTGTGAAAAACAAATATAAAATTTATGTATGTAAATCATGTTATTTATATATATATATAAAGTAAAAAATAACAGTAAAATTGTTTTGTTTTTATAGCTATAATATCTACTACATAATAAATAATTTTTCGTTTTGTAGAATAATCATGTTTTATAATTTATACATTACACACATGATATATACATATGTATATATATATTCATAATGTAGTTTAATAATGATATGCATGCATAATTAAACGAAGCTGCTGCTGGTTTCTTCTATATAACAACGTTCATTAGATATTTGTGTTTTGCGACTGTGGTCTGTCAATGGTATTTTAGTGGATAGAGACAGCGATGAGGATGATGTGTGTGTGCCAATTACAGAAGATACACCCCAATTTGATGGCTTTGTAGGTAATACTTTTGGTTTAGGTGGTAGAGGTGGCGGGCTTTTCCCACCTAATACAATATCAGCTTCTACTGGTATACTTAATTCATCTGGTTGAATTTGCTGTAAGCTTTGTAAGTCAGAATTTTTCGTAGAATTAGATGTCGATTTTTTATTAGTAATGGAAAATCTTGGTGCTGGTTGAGGAAGTTCTTTTAATGACGATAGGGACTCATGTAGTGTAATCTGCTTACTTATTGGACTTAAATTTGCACGTACTTTCCGGAGATTAGAAGCAGCCTCATTCATATTTTCTTTATTTTTTAAAAAATCAGGTAGTTCAAAATTAATTTCAGTACCCCTTTGGTCCTCCAATCGGGCAAGCTGAGCACGTTTTAACCCTTCTAGCAGTTCATCTATAAATAGAAAATTTGTATATAAATTAAAATTCTGTCATATTGATACCGATATAGTAAATTATTACAATTACCTTGATTTTCAACCATTCGTTCAGTTACTTGCACTTTAACGCCAGCTTTTAATTTCGCAATTATTGGTTTCTTGATCTCTATAGTTGGAGATGTTCCATCAGTTAAGCATGTAGATTTAAAACTTGTAATATTTTCTTCGGAGTTTTGATTACAAAATAACTTGTTTTTTAGATTCAAACCTTGATTGTTTTTCTCCCGTGCACGGTTAAATAAAGACGAGGATTCAGACACATAATCATCTGACTAAAATATATAAAAATATATTGAAATGTTGTAGAACGACACAATATCTTTGTTTATGTTATGAAAAAACCAAAAACATATTTTCTTTAACACATTTTCTTTATTCTGATCTTTACAAAATCAGAATAAATACTAGTTCTTGAAATTCTACAATTTTATACTTACTTTTAAAGAGCACACATCATTAGGTGGTATTGACAACCGCTTGTTGGATGCATGTGCTTCAACTTTACCTTGCAATAGCTCACTAAATACTTTGTTAGTTATTTCGTCTAACGTACTTTGACCTGTATTTTCACAGTATATATTAGATTTTTCTTCACTGATGAAAGATAATTGCTCCACTTTAATAGGAAATGGTGCACTTTTTAATAAGCATTGCTTTGAATATTTTGATGTATTTGGTTTGTCTATTTGAATTATCTGTAAACGTTGACCATCAACAATAGTGACAGGCAATGATAAATCAACCATCTCATGTGTATCACGAAATACAACATGCACGTTATCTATTGAATAATTATATTTAAGTAGGATAGGACGAACAACCTCTTGCAATTGTTTCTTTGGTTTACTTTTAACTGATATAACTTTGGGATCAGGAAGATCTAATTTAAATGCTACACGTTGCTCTATAAATACTTCTTTACCCGCAATCACTGTTGCAGAATTTTGCAAGTCAATTGATTTTGCACTTCCATTAATGACAACGTCATAAAATTTATATATCAATCCACGCTTTTCCAATAAACGCTCAACTAACTGCTTTACTGTGTCTTCGGGACGAATTTGGACTATTGTAGTAGCACCATCACTGAGTATTACTCGGCAGAGCGAACACGTAATGGATTCCGTACTGTGGCTATCTACTTGATTAACGATATGTACTGACGGTAAGGCATCAAAAGAAGAAAGCGAAGAGCGAGAGCTGTGAATATCACTTGTAGAATTAGATTGGAATACGGATGGTATTTTAAGCGAATTAGCAGCTATCTGTGGTACTTTGCAAGTAGTTGCCTTATTCTCTGCTTCACGATCACGAGATTTACTACGCATTTTACGATGCCAAGGAAGTAAACTTTTGCGACGCCTGTCTTCTGCATTACTTACTGATTTTTTTAGCTTAAATTAAAATAATTATTTAGGACAAGTTTTGTAACAAATTACAAATTTAATTTTACCTTTGATAAGCTATTTTGATGAAAATGAGTTTGTAGAAGTTCATCAAAATCTTCCATCCCGTACGGTAACGGTTGTTTTTTTTGCTCTGCCTCTAAACAACTTTTATAAAGATCGGAACGTATGAACCTTTGATAACTGTCAAATTTCATTAAATTAAAAATTTGTTTTTGTGCCGGTATGAAAATGTCAATTTCGGCACACTTTAATTTTTCTTCAGATAAATTTCGAGCATGCGAGTCAACATTTACAGGTTCAATTGCTCCATCCCCTAAATGTTTATTAAAAATACTTAATGCTTGAACACTGCGTTCAGTTTTATTTTCCAACTGTCGATATCTTTCACACGCAGTCCAGAAATAAATATTCTCCGCTGAAAATTCTTTTTTCAAAAACTCGGCGAAAGTGTGTAAACCAAAGGGATCTTCTAGCATGCGTTCAAAAGAATTACCCCAAGCAGCTGCCCCCGACGTTACTAATTCTTCCATTATTTCTTTTTTTGCCTGCGATAATTTTGGATTGGATATCACAATTTTATTAGTTGTCAACTGTGCATTTTGATTGTCATTTACAGGAATACGATGTTGGAGCTGTTTTTGATAAAATTCTTTATTACTATCTGTCACAGATCTAATAGAAACATCGTTGTCTGAAGCTGTCATGGATGCAGTGCGACGAACTAATGGGCTTTGATTTTTCAGATGTTTATCCGTACGTGGCGTACGAAACGATGAATGGCTCCAAGCACATCTAAGTGGCGAAGCACCGACGTCCAAATCACAATTCTGCAAATAACAGAAAAATTATTTACAACATTTATGATCATATCATATATGAAATATGTCTTCTAATTTAAACTTTGTATTTTATACAAACGATTTGTGACTGAAAAAAAAACTGTTCATAGATTGAATAATGGTAATTTTGGGTAATTTTAAGTAGAATGTAGTAGTTATTTTTGAAAGCTCAATATAAAATCAATTATTTTAAACTTTTTCTGGCAATAATATTTTTGCGTTTTTTGGCGTTAATTTTACGACACATCGTATATATGTATGTATACATATGCATAAAATTAATATATCAATACATTGGTTTAAATTCATTATCATTTTAACTGCATGATTAATATGTAAAAAATGTCAGTGCTTATACTAAGTATCAGCTACATGGTCTTATGACACTTGAAAGAAAAATAAATGTTGACATACACAATAATTGTAAATGAAGTTCATATTTCATCAACAAAAAAGATTGGCGTGGCAATCAAATAAGGTTAATACAATATAACATATTAAACTAATTGGATCGTATGAGTGCGGTTAGAATTTAATCAAAAAAAAAATAATAAAAAAAAGTAAAATTTATGGCTAATTGACTATTCAAAAAATTAATGAATATGGAACTGGGCAGGGCTGACAACAGTAATACGCTGACCATTGCATTTTAAGTAACTTTAACTAACCGTCAAGCAAAGTCCGGTCATTAATGCAATTAAGTAAAACTAAAATTATATTAAAACATTCAAAGAATGAATTTAGTCGTTGTTTTATGCTTTGTGGGTTTTGTTGTTATTTTCTTTAATTAGTAAAAGTTAACATATATACTTTTTTCATATTTATTAGTTTCCGCTTATCTATATCTATATATTTAATACATATTTCATCAAAACTTTTCGTCTACGCTAAAATAATTTTTGTATGTGTCTGTATTATAATTAACACAAATAGAAATTTAACTTTTATACATCATAACCGAACAACCGAACACAACGGACATCACACGTCATACCACAACTTCAGAGCATTCAGCACTAAAATCGGTTTAAGTGCTAAGTCGGATTGTGAATAAAAGTTTGCTAAGGTTGCACACATATTAGATATGTTCAATAAATATACGAATATATTATACGAATAAAAAATACAAATGTGCATCTGAACTTTAAACTCAAAATATATTACAAATTAAGAAAGCAAATATTAAAAATATTTAAAAATTTGTTTAACGATGACTAGAAAACCACAATCAATTTAACAAACTCTCTGAACACCATAATAAATGGGCATATATTCAATTTAAAAATTGTGAAAGAGTGCTTGAGAGAGTACACTTACAAATAATTTAAATTGACTGCGGAAAATGAATGAATGGGGCCTCGCCATGCTCTGAAATAAATTGTAAGAAAATTGTTAATAATATAACGATATAAATGCTGAACTAATATTTTACTCTTTGGATCTTTTATACTCAATCGAGTCTCGATAACAAAGTACAACTTCGTATGAGCTAGAAAAAACACATAAAAACACAAAGTACGAAGTAATTTTAAAGTCTCTTTTTTATCACTCGGGAGCTTTGTAGTTGAAAGAGCGGTTGAGAATGAAAGTTTTTTGAGTGTAATGTCAACCTTCAATTTATTGTCTCTTAGCAAAAATAGTATATATTATTTTTGTTTTAATAAAAAGCGCATAAATTAGTGCTGCATACGATCAATTAATAAGTAAATACATACATACATATGTATGAATATATTAAAGAAATATATTGTAACATACATTTCATGTAAAAAACGGAACGTTTAATTAAAAACACTATATACAATATTAATTAAAAATTTGAAAACATTTTAAAATGGTTTCTTGTGTTATCACAAAACAAAACAAACAATTAATGACTCACATTAATTCTTTTCGACAGCGCATTTGCAATCGAATCAGGTAATATTGACGAGTAAATAGTCGCTGAATTGTTATTCTTCTTGCTGTTGTTGTTGGTGTTGTTGTTGTTGTTGTTGTTGTTTGTGTTTGAAACTGTGACTTTTCTTCTCCGATTTTTATGCGGTTTCTCATTTTTAAAATCGTTTTTATTATGATTGACAATTTTTGTTGTTGACGATAATTTAGGTTTCGTTAAAATTATATTTTTTAAGGGATTGAAATTGTCGTTACTGAAGCGAGGAATTTTTGTTATATACGCATTTCCTACGCGACATGGGGTTCTCAAGCATTTTCTAGGGGACTCAAAATCCGAGTGTTCTTCCACAAATTCATAAATGTTTCGATCAAGGAATGACTTGCATGAATAATCCGCATGACTGAAAACTTCATGAGTTGTTTTCATTGGGGAAATATTGTCTTTTGACTGTTTTGCAATATGTACATCCCCCGTTGTACGCAATTTTGGTAAATCTGTTGTACACATCTGTCGATGTGTAATTTTCTGCTGCCCATTTTTCATTGAATTATTTAAATTCGCATTTACAGATGACAATTGAGAGCTTGCAAATAATTTGTTTGTCTCTAATTTTTGATGACATACGCTTTGTACACGTTTTATTTGTTTCACTTCAAAACTATTGTCAAAACTATTGTTGATGCATGAGTTGAAATCGTAAATATATTCTTTAAAATTCTTAATTACATTATCAATTGACTTTGATTCTTGTGAGGGCTGTAAGTTCTTTATTGTTTTAACATAATTTATTTGTGGTTTCGTTACAAATGTCTTTTCGTTTTTTACTGCGTTTGCTTGTATGTCTAACATTATTAATGTTTGATATTATTTTATTAGTATTAATTTTATTGAATTCATTCCAACATTGAAACTAATGTTGAGTTGCAATGGCTCAGGAAAAACTAAAACGAAAAGTATCCTTTACTTTATTTATAAGGAACATCACTTCCACTAAGTGAATAGATTCTTTTAATTATTACTTATCAAATATCAAAATTTTTGCACCCCATTCAACAAACCTATTTACCTATAGATATGCAAATGTTTTTGAATGTTTTTCTTTATAAAGGATAAGTATTTGCTCCCTGAATATGGTTCACTCGAAAATTACTCGAAAAAAAGCTATAATGCAAATTAAAACCAGTTTTAAACCCTTTGAACCGCTTTTCCAGATGTTCATTTTTAAAGTTTTCATAATGAAATTTACATTTCCATTTCCATTTCCATTTTTAAAATGATCAAAAGTTTTTAATAGAAACTTTCAAGACAATTATGAATATTATTTGTATTACACATTTGTACATGCATACATAAGTAAAGCTTTAGATATCAGTATTTCATTCGTTTTATTTATTCATTCATTATATACTCTGAATTATTTATCAATCTGAATAATTAGTCGAAATTATGTATTTCACACACAATATATGAAAATATTTAATTGTCACTGAATTTTAATTGAAATGGTTATTTCGCTACGTTGTTGTTATATTTGATTCAAATTATTCCTATATTTCGCGCTCAAACAATTTGAATTTATTTAAAATGTTAGTTATATCATTTACTTATTTTATACTGAACTACAAAATATTTGACTATCATCGAACAGAATTATTTAGCAACTGTGGAGTGAGCGCACGGCAATTGTCAGTGCAAGTTTGAGCCGCTGAAGTCGTGTGCCCAACCTAGTGTGACCCGAGCGTGGTGGTTTGCACTTGTTGCTCTTAGTTTTCTTAACATAACATATGCTTATTTCTTTTGTATTAATATATTGAAGTTACAATTTTACCTAACCAACCACCAACCACCAACCATCAACCAACTGCTTCAGGTGCATTCAAATATCTATCTTGTCTGTATTTGTCTTTATTATACTGTATATGCTACGCTGTGTATGCTGTATATGCTAACATGCGTGTCATGACAAAATTGAATTCTCTCCAATTCACCAATTGTTGCTAAAAACGTAATGTTCTTTTAATACAATAATAAGCTTATTGCTCTATTGTAATTAATTTTAAATTAATTCATTTAATCCATATAAAGATGAGATTCTGTATGTATGCGTTACATATTTGACTTGAAAGCGATCGAATTTGATGAAATTTTAATAGAATTTTATTGAATGAGAGAGAAAGGTTTTGACCCAACCACCTGTCGGGATCCCCGAGTTAACGACAAATAATAATTTTACAGGTAATTGTTTTTTTTACAGGATTTAAGTTGTTGTTTATCATTTTAAAATAATATTAAACTAAAAAAAACACTTTTTTTTTAATTACAAACAGAAATTTAAATCATTTATTTATGTATACAGAAATTTCAATTCAATTCGAATTTTTGAACAGAATTCAAAAATTGGACTATAATAAAAATAAGAATCGCATTTCAATATCCAGTACAGTATCGGCTCGGTAATACGGACAGTGGATATTCCGAACACAAAAGTCAATTGTATTGTTGACTCTATAATCGGGACAAACAGTTGATTTTTTTCTATATGTATCACTTTTATATTGTTATTATTGATGTAACATCTGTAAAATAACATATTATTCATATGTTGTGCTTAAAAAAGCATCCAAGTGCCGCCATTAGGCGCCAGATCAAAAAGTTTTTATCTCAGGGGAACTTTTACAAAAAGATGCAATGGAAATTTATGGAGAAAAATTATTTAATAATCAAAGAAATACTGAAAATACTTTAGCAGTACACAACACATTATCAAAAAAACTTAAATTATATTAATTTTTTACTCTTTAAATTGGTTTCGGAAATCTGGACAAAATCATAATTTGGACATACGCCTCTGCAACAATTGTCAGGATTATCGAGTCACTACAAGATTATGAAGTTTTTATTCGAAAGATTTTCTAGATTTTCGATTTTATAAATTGTTTTAACACTAATCATTTTATTTCTATGTGGTATAATACAAAATAGTTTGAAAATAATGTATAAAATTTTATAACAATAAGTAAATTCCAAATTAATAACTTCGAAAGTTAGGGATTTCAAAATCAATGTAACGGTAATTTTTGTTTCATTTATC